TTCTTTCAGTTTTCCTTCATCGACCAACTTCTGAACTGCAGGTTCGTTATTGCTGTGAGGTAGTTCCTTTGCCATCTTCTTTTTGATGTAGTCGGCAATGAACACTTCCATAGACATCTGTTGTGTATTCAAGGACTGAACGGAAAATACCTCAGTGACAGCATCGACTCGATTTTTGGTCATGGGTGGTTCATCTGCACCACTGGATGCCTCTGAATCCAATGGTCTTTTGGTACCGGAGCCTGACGACTGAGAATCTGCAGAATCTGTCATATTTTGAATCGATTCAGGAACCACTTCACGCATGATTTCAACAAAATCATCTTGTTGGAGAGCTGCAGGTCTCCACAGGCTGTCGGGACCATTTTTCCCAGAGACACGTCTCCTAATCGGACCGTAAGTTGATCCGTCAGGTGGATCTGGACTACTTGGCACGGGTGCAGACTCTGAGACTGCCGGACTTGAGGATGTCAAAGGAGGAGGAGGTGCATTCACTTCCATTGGTTGAAACACCGACGAAGGCACATCACTTGACACACCTTGGGCAGAATCTTTACATGCTTCTTTCTTCGGAGGAACAACATCTTCAGCTACAGTCTGACTAGCTTCCATGGTTACCGGAGCAGGCACTACTTCGGAAGAAACAACTTGTGTGGATTCAGGCTGAGATTCCGGAACTCTAGCTACTGAAGGTTGGGATTGTTCAGCAACTGGTGGATAGGCTTGAGGCAACAGGTCAAGGTATTGCTGGCTCTTGAACGCACCACCTTCAATCAGATCCTTGACACCAAGCAAATCGGCTTGAGGAGAATGCAGCAAGGCACGCTCTTCGGAAGTTGCATAACGAACCTGCTCAGGTGCACATCTGAGAATCTGTTTGCGATGAGCTAAAACCAGATTTCGGCCTACATACCCCAACACAATTGCAGAACCATACCAACGTCCATCATTGTTAAGAACACCTTGAACCCACTTCTGATTTCTCCAATAGGCTACCAAATCTCCAGGCTTGTAATCATGGACAATACGAGGTCTGGCATTGAGCGCTTTGCGAAGAGCTACATCGTCTTGCAACTCCAGTACTGCTTTCCGAGCTGTGGTTCGAATCTCTTGAGCTTTCGCAATGGCTTGGTCTGTCAGAGACACTGTTGCTGGGACGACACTCTGGGGTTCATCCAAGAGATCAGTTGGAACTCTTGGATTTTGTCCAAAAACGTACTGATGAGGAGTATGGCCATGTACCTGAATCATGGTATTCTTAACATGTGCTTGAACAACACACTCCAACCAAGCTTCTTTCGAGGTGGGATGATGTTGATCAATGACTTTCTTGAGAATTCTTTCAAACCAACCACCATGATTTTCGGTTTTACCAAGCTGCCAATGAGCTCCTGCTGCAATTTGTCGGACTGTGCACCCCTGGTCTTCTGCTTTCCCAGTAACAGGTTCAGCCATATTGGTCTGAGCAGGATCAAGTATGATCTCTTCTGGAACACCGGCCCAACTGATCCAATGATCGTCGAGAAGCCGACGAAGCAGCTGAGAAGTCTCAGTTTCAAAGAAAGGAATCATGCGCTGAAAACTGCTTCCATGACAAACCACATTCAAAGCCTTGACTCGTTGATTTGGCTTCCATCCAGGCAAATATTTCACATCAAGTCCAATTTGCTTATTGAAACCTACCACTCGATCCACCTTAGCAGGCATGGGTGCTTTCGGCTTGACTCGGCTTTCACAAAAAGGGCATGCAAAATCTTTGGCAAGCTGAAGTGCCGTGGACGACGCCTGACCAAATCGAAGAACTCGAACCAAATCAGCATTTGGAGGATGACCCAAGTTTCGGTGCAGTTTGGTCAAGGCTTGTTTCAGTTCTTCGACTGAAGGCTCTGGCTTGGTCGACACGGCATGAATTTCATCCCAGCAATTTTCAGGAACAGAGTCACAGGTCACAGCTAACACTTCTTGAGCTTCTTGAAAACGAGGCACCGTGTTCAACACTGCTTGAACAAATTGCAAGGGATATTTACCAGCAAAGGTACTAACACGACCTACTTCCTTATCATGACCTGCGACAACATCATGACACTGGTGAGCAGGGTCGGATGCACCTGGACATGTACGGCCAAGGCTCTGCATGTCTTCATGTGACACCAAAAGACGAGTGGCTTTCTGAATAAAATTTTCACTGGATGGCAACTTCATTCCATATGCGCACATATGCAGGGACACCACATGATGCTTTCGGCACAAGCTAGCGACTTCAGGGTACTTCCAAATCTGAGACGGTTTGGGATGTTCAAACATTGCACGACCTCCTAAAGCCACTTGTTGCCGATACAGCTCACAGCAAAAACGCACGAACATTCGACTACGAGCGCGTAGTCGGAGGCACTCCATGGCATCCATCTTTGTTGCATTCAAGTGAAACCAACCACCTTCATGAGTGCAAGGGGGGCATAACACAAGAAGGTCAGGTGGAGATTCTTTCAGTTCTTGTTTCAACTTCTTACGGTTTTCAGCTATGGAGAGATCTACACCTAACGTCAAGTCGATGGATTTGGCGGAGAAACCTCAAGACTTGGCCACTGGAGCAAAACGTGGGGGTGAAAACACTTCTACCACGAGTGGCCTGGCTACTGGGTCCGATTGGACAGCATCGCACGCTCGAACCTGGGCTTTCACTTGTCGGCACTGATGTTCACTAAGGAACTGCGGTTCATCACTAGTCAGATCGCCTGACACATGCTGTGGCACTCGAAAATGAAATTCCGTCACAGTCGCTTCAACATCACTGGGCAAGACATGATTTTTCCTGGCACATGTATACGGAGTTACTGATTCATCAAACAGTACTTTACGATTCTTACGATTCCGAACAACTCTGCGACACAGATACTTCCAAAGCTTATCCTTCTTCTGAAACGTTGGCACTACTTTGGAACCCCAGTCCTCCTGAGTCTTCATGAGCACATGGAAGTCATTGGCAACGGAATCGGAGGCAGGACAACCCGGCTCTTCCACATCACATGGCTCCTGGATCTCAACATCGGGATCTGAGACTCGAAAGGTGGTCTCAGCGGTCATGACTTCAATCTCGGACTGCTGCACATCGGACTGGGTTTTCATCACATTGAGAATATACTGACCAGCTTCATTGGTCTGCAAAGAAATAGATTTCTGATCAGCAAACGCAGTCATTCGATCATGCTCAAAATCAATCTTGGCTTGGATCGTCCGCAAGGCTGGACGGGAAATCAACAGAGGTGCTGTTCCTTGAACCAGTGCAGCTTTGATGGTACCTTTACGACCTGCTATGTACACTGGCAGCCGAACACTCTGAGTGGAGACTTCTTGTTCTCCATTGCCATATCGAAAATGATTGATCTCAGAAAACGGAATAGGAACAGGAACTTGCTGCATCTGCCACATCATTGAAAACTGCTCAAACGTTTTGATACCTATGATCGAACGTCCGCATCCGGAGTCCAAAACTCCAAAACCAGGTGACGAGACAAGGAGTGTCTCTGATGACAGGGCTTCAGTCTTCGGTGGTTCTGACAACGCATCCGCAGAAACAATTGCACGATTGCGCAACCGATCCAACAGTGTCAAGGTTGGTGACACCATTGCCACAAAATGTACATCATCATCATCATCACACTGAGGTTCACGAGCCTCTACCAGAGCGGCACCAGTTGACGGTGGAGAAGATTTGGTTGAACCCTTTCCAGAGCCTTTTCCTTTTGAAGGACATTCACGAGCCCAATGGCCCAGCTTCTGACATCGATTGCATCGAGACTTCTTTTTAATCTCCTCGATTTCGACTCTGAATTGTCTTTTCATCTCCTTCACCTGCTGAAACTTACGTGCCTTCTGAAGTCTATTGATCTCAGCTCTACGTTCTTTCCAGGAAATTGCAAGAACTTCGGCAACTTCTGACTCTGGGAACTCTTCAGGGTCCAAAGCCTCAGGCACTGATTGCCCATGTTCTGCTAAGAAAAGCTCTATGTCATGAAACTCAATCTCCGGATCTGTTTCCAACCCAGTGTCAAGATCTTCAACAGCATGAACTGCATTCGACTTCCTAGACAAAGTCATATCCGGAAAACATGATCTCAAAGCCTTTCCAATTTCCTCTCGTTTGAGGTTCCCATTGCACCTAGCTAGGACCACAGCCTTCTCTTGCTCGGTCAAACCACATCGATTGAGAATCAACCAGCCGCGACATTCTTCTGGAAAAGAAATACCGGTTTTGCGTTTCAGTCTATCAAACAGTTCAGATGACCGACCAATCCATCCCTTCAGTGTTTCACCAGAATTGTTGCAAAGCTGAAAAATCTCATTCATCATTTCACCTAACTCATCTGTCTTGTCTTTGTCAGGGAAACGTGTGTCGAGCAATTGAAATAACACCTGATCACCACCTTCCTTTTGATATTCTTCGGGAGAAAGATGTTCTACACATTCCAAGGCCTTACCAGTGAGCAGTGTGTATACATATGGTCCAGCCGCTCCCGTAGGAAGCTTGTCCATGGTCAGAATCTTGTTCTTGACCCAATTCTTCCATCTGCGATACTCCTGAGCATCTTCGGTATCTCCAGAAAAGTAGCGGTTTGAACCACCAGTTTCAAGAGATGAAGCCGCCATGGCTGCTGTCTGGATTCCACCGTGGAATCACCGCGGGTGACCGCACCTACTGCGGGAGCCCGGTTTCACCGGGCTCCGCTACCAATTTGGTTGCGGAAGCCCTCCCAAGGGCACGCACGGGCACAAACCTTTTCCCTCGAGCATGGAAATGTTCCCTTGGTCACACGAGCTGAGCAGTTGTCACACTGATAAGAACAGATGGACCTGATTGGCTGCTGGCTGAATTCACATATATATATATAATATACATTCAGTTTTTTGTGGGTCTTGATGCTGAAGAATGGAAGCGCTGGGACCGTGCAAAAAGCGCGCCAACGACATTAAGTGTTGGGTGCGGGTAGGCTGGAGCTCCCATGTCGCTTGAAGTGCCTTCACGAGCTGCATGGCAGGTGGGGTTGGCATACAGCTTGCACACCAAAATTGCGTGAAATGCTAATGAGGCAATAAGAGTCTGAATGCTGTGTATACAATGTAATATGTACCTATACAGGTGTCAATGGGTATGTATACACTCATATCACCACACATTTCCACATCAGGCGCTACTGCCACGACCGGTGCCATCAGCTCCCTCGGTGCCCAGAGAAACACCAGGACACCGATGACGGAGGCGTTATTCCGGAAGGCATCCCCCTAAAACATAGGATTTAACCACCAAAACATGGGGTTCAATCACCAAAAACGGGACACCATACATATATATATATATTACATATATATATATATATTACATATATATATATTACATATATATATATATATTACATATATATATATATATTACATATATATATATATGTATCTTTCAACTGCTTGCAGCTGCAGTCTCGAGGAGGTGGCAGCAGTTCCAGCGCGCGCAGACCCGGCGTCGCCCTGAGCTCGCTGAGCTCGCTGAGCTCGGCGCCGTTGGTGGCGCTGGGTGCTTGGAGATCCTCCAGAGGTGCGGAGACAGCCTGGTTGAACTCGGAACATGGGATGGATGGGGCCCCCTTCAGCGTTCAGTTGAGATATGACCTGTATAATTGGCTGAATTCTATGGTTTATGGATGTTTATGGTAGATATAACATGATACAACGAACTAGTTAATGGGGTTATAAACAAACTTATAACTGGGGGGATCCTGTAGGGGATTTACATGGATTTACCCACAAAAGAAATAGGGATGTCATGAGGATATAGTGAAGATATATAACCAACAATATAAGAAATAGAACCTTTTGAGTGCCAAGACCACCAAGATCCAATGGTTTATGACGATTTTCTCTATTCAAATTGGGCCATTTTGGGTAGATCCAATGGTTTATGAGATTTTGTCTCGATTTTTCCAATCAAAGTTGCAATTTTTGTGTGGAAGGTTGTGTAGTTCCTTTTTTGGGACACACTCAACTGAGACTGCGAACTTTGACCCATACTATGCGTATGCAAATACGTATGGATGTGATAAGATGTGCAGTTGTTTCACTGAAATGGAACTTGAATAAGGTAATGATTTCTGGTCAGCCATGAGCAAGATTGTATCTTGATAGTGCTCGTCGACTTTTTCCAAATCAGCCACTTTAGCTCTTGAAGACGCAAAGAAGATTAGTTGGCAGCTACATTGTCCAGCAGAATCTTCAATTTTCAATGTTTGATTATAAACTCCAGTTCAAGTTGTCTGAAGCTTTCCTCAACAGCTGGTGTTCCTCAAACCGCTTCTAGGTCGTCCTGGTCGCTTCCGTGCTGTGCGATGTGCATTGCCGTCTGGTCTGGAGGTTCGCGGTCCGCCATACCCTCAATCCAAGGTGGCAAATTGTGGCACCAGGAAATCAAGCAATTTACTCTCTGGTAATTTAACATAGCTATTGAAAATGGCCATTTATAGTGGATTTTCCCATTGAAAATGGTGATTTTTGATAGTTATGTTAGTTTACCAGAGGGTAATGTAAACCCAGGATTTTGCTAAGTACAATTGGAGGCGTAGCGATTTGAGTAGCAAAAAAACTCACTATTTTGGGGCAATCTCCAAGATTGACACTACAGGAAGGGGCCCCCTAGCGATAGATATCTTGGTAAACACAAATCGTAAACATAAATAGGACTAACTGTTGGATGTATGGTAGATATATCTAGTGATTTATGGTAGATATATCTATGATATATCTATTGTTGGATGAAGCAACATTTCTGGAAGATATATCAGCAACTATGCTAACTATTGTAGATAGATCGACAATCATCCAGCAACCATAAATCATGTTGATGATTATAGAGTTCTACACAAATTTTGCCCATAGATACCCTGGGGTAAACATTTAGATAGATGTGGAAAAACCATGGTTTCCCTAGGAAAACTATCTACATATGGTGGGTTTTCCACATCTACAGTATGTAATACGTTTACCAATAGATAGTATCTCCCTCATCATAGACGTATCATTTTCATAATATGCTAGATATATTTTCTACTTGAATATGGGGAGTTTTATTTTTTTTCATCCATGGTAGATATATCATAGATAGATCTCCCTCAACCACCGTCCATTGCCAGCTGGACACCTCGCCGGACATCTCGGAACGCCCGGAGAAGCGCCTCGTGCCAGAGCTCAGCAGATACGAGGCCCAAGCGTTGACGGAGATGCCGTTGAGATGGAGATCCAATAAGTTGGGTATGAAATACCATGAAGAAATAAGGTGAAAAAAATTCAGCTGAAAAAAGTGGATTTATTCACCCAAACTTGGATTCAACCAGCATCCGAATGTTGATTTGACTATCAATTTTGATGGGGTGATGTCAGCATGAAACGTGTGGATGTCAGCATGAAAAATAGAGATTTCACCAGCCAACCCATTGAAACACCAATGAGTTGCAGTGAACAGAGGATGTCCAGAAACAGGCAATTTTCGTTGCAATGTTCATGGGGAAAAGGGTGATTAAGAACATTAAATTCATTTAATAGCAATGTATGGCCATAGAACAAGTACTACTGATGATGATGATGATGATGAACTTTACCTTATTTTCAATGAAACTCAGATGGGTATGGAGTCAAACAAATATTCCCCCCACCGGAATGGATGGTTTCAGATTTTGTGGATTTGGATGTCAATTTCTTGAGCTATGAGCACTTCCTTTGGGAGTTTCACTAATGAAATGGGGATCTATCTGCCTATGAAGCATGAAGCATGGGGATTTCACTAAGTTTCACCAGAAAAAAAGCTAGAAATTTAACCAGAAAAGCAGGGATTTACAGCAATGAACATGTTGGGATTTTCAGCAGCAAACAATTTGGGTGGCATCCCAGTGACTACAACCCAGTGGATAGCAAAAGCCCACGAGGACCTGCGATCATCAGAATCATCACCATTATTAACATTATTAACCATCTCTACTGGGATGCAGATGGGTCATTTTTGGGATTTTTCGTCCTGGACATAGGTTTATTATTAACATTATTAATGGGATAATTCCTATTGTTCACAGTATTAACCATCATTTATTGAACCAAACGGTGAGAACCCCATTCTCCGGAAGCGAAACCAGGACCCCGATGATCCCGTGCGACCTCCTGCTCCCCTTCGAGATCGCGCGGTGCGTTGACCTAGATCCAGCGCGATTGGCAATTGGGGGACCTCAGCATTGGGGGTTTCAAACTTCAGACTATGGAAAGATCCACCATTTTTAATGGGTTTACCAGAGGGTAAGATGTAAAAAAACCTCTTGTTTCAGAAAGGAAGCCAAATTAGGCCGCCAGCCGCCAACTTTTGACGATTCATAGTGACTGCAGGGACTCTGGGCACCTCCGAGTCCTGAAGCCATTGGAGCACCAGAGGCGCTTTTTTTTTGACCAGTGCACCCACAAAAAATGGGGCTCAGCCCAGCAAAATGGGTGATGACAGAAACCATGGATGAATGTTTGGGCCAACCTTGATGGATGGGTAGAGAAAAGGACCACTTGTTTTTTTTCGTTCTTTATGGGAATATCTTTTGGCACCAGCTAAAGTAAGTTCCAGCCATTGGAGTTTCCGTCCCATCGGCCATGGGATCATATTGAGTATTGCCATGGATTTTGGTGGTCGTTGATCAGCCAAGGTTGATTATAGAATGGGAAGCGTTGGGGACGAACATAGAGTTATGTTTTTATTCTAGAATAGGTATAACTTATACCGTATAACTTCACATAAAAGGGGGAAAAGAATAGCTATGACTTACATTTGCGTAAAGTCCGATGATATAAGATAGCTATGATTTACATTTACCTAGGTATAACTTAGGTATGATTTTACACGGGAATGGCAGCCAGGATTTCAGTGAGAAGATGTTGGTTGGAACTGGGTCCCCGAAACCACCAATGTCCAGCTGCTATAAGTGCTTGCTTCAGTGGTCATTCCAAATTCCCTTGAAGTTAATCATGTTAAACCACCATGTTTGATAGTAACAGTCTCAATCTCATAGGGGTATACATAATTCATATAAATCACAATTTATAATTTCAATCATTTCAATCATATAAATAAGATAAAAGCATAAAAACATATGGGTTTGTCTGAAAATAGGGTATATTCCCAATTATAGCAATTTAATAGGGATAATGATTATTAACCATTGGGTTTAGGGGTACACTATTTTCAGACACACCCATATGAATCATCTAAATCATAGTCATCCAAAGTTCCCAACGTTCTGATTCGCCTCCTGGGAGGTGCTGGTGGTGGGTCTGGGCCGACGCCTGCGTGTGGCTCCTGAGGATGGCCCAAGGGCGCGCCTGGGCGTTGGTGCTTTGGAGGCGCCCATTCCCAACCGTTCCCGGCGTATCCCAATCGATGCGGGTCACCATGGGGTTACATGAGACTAGCCCAACTGCCCCCAGGCGCTGCAACGGCGATACCAAATCCGAAGCTACTTCGATGCTGATGTCCAGGGGTGACCCTGGGCTTAAGATGGGTTAAGGGAAAGACTTCACCCGAAACTGGTTTGTTTCTACCATGAAATTGCTGGGGTTCCTCTAGTTCCATCCAAGTCTGGGACTAAACTCATTTTGGTGGGTTCAACCAGACAACCAGAGACCATCTGGAAAGAAACAACAGATTTTTAGCTGGGCATCTGCCGCTTCGCGCGTGCCTTCGGTAGGTACATGGCCACCTGCAAAGCCAGCCTCGACAAGAGCGGCCGGGCTGGCGTGCAGAAGATCCATCTGATGCAGCCGCTGATTGACGACGATTTCGATGTGCCCACCCGCCGTGCGATGTGCCAAACGTAAGTAGGGTATGAAGTAGGGTATGGATGGTATGGATCAGATGGATCATCAGATGGATCTTCTGGATCCAATCTATAACTAAGTAGGGTATGGACGGTATGGATCCAATCGGGGCAATGATGGAATGATCCAATCCATTCCCCACCAATGAGCTGCAGCTGATCCGGACGACTTGGAGAAGTAGCAATAAATTGGCATTGATAGGGAAATCATGTGTCATCAAACATGGGGAAATGATGGGAAATCAATAGGCATTTAGAAATGGAGCTTGGCATCTCCGAGTTTGGCTCTGATTACTCTGCTTCACAGTGCTGGCTCCATCAGCCAGTGTGTCATCGATCACAATAGCTGTGGTGCTATAGAACTAAATTGGCAAAGATTTGCACGAAATTTGGAATATTGGAAGATATTAGTTTGACTTGGATTTTTGAACTAAATTCAAATATTGGAATATCGGAAAAGCCTTCAAATATCAAATACAACACCGCACTCGTTCAGCAATGTGGATACCAGCTTGCTTCAACAGAAATTTGGATGGCCGTCTTGAAACTTTGACCATTGTCACTTTGCACTTTGCACTCATCGATTTCTGGTCATTTTTTTGCAATTTTCCTCGCAAAGGGGCAAAGTCGATGCCATGGCCGTTTGTTGCCGTCGAAATGCTGGCCAAGGTCCAAAGTCCCTTGTCTCCGTGCCAGCACTGGAATTTGACTTTAGTCCATCCAAGATACCACTGCAAAAATCGTTTATTTTCATTACACGATTTGATATGGGGGTTTCCAATTTATGGGGGTACCACTGTTCATCATCCATGTTTAATAAGATTTTCCGGCACAAAAACCATCCAGCTATTGGGGTACCCCCATGACTGTGGAAGCCCCCATATGTCAGCAGCTGGCGAGGCGACTACGGGCCTTCGCTGAATCCAGGCATCAAAATTTGCAATCCTCCCTGCAAGACGAGGTGCGCCTTCGACTGAAGAAAGTGACTGCAACGGAAGATGTTCGCAGCGTTTCAGTGTGTGGTGAGTCTCCAAAATAGATGGTAATGGTTTCAATTGCTTTTGATTATGAATCAATAGATATTTAACCAGATACTTGCTGTGTAGCAACTAGATGTTCCGTTTGGCTATGGATTAACACCTGATCAACACCTATAAGTACTATTTTAGGGGGATGAACAATGATGAACAACGATGAACAATAATGACAATCCATATGATATATATATATATATATCATTATATATCATTATATATCATATATCATATATACCAAGGTGGAAGAACATATATCATATCTGGCTATGGGTCAATACCGCCACATCCACAAATCCCAGCTATTTTGATGTGACCCGGCCGTTCAGGGTACTCCGCTGCAAGGCCCGCGTCCTCTTCCAAGAGGCTTCCGTGAGCAAGGCCGGCAAGGCGAAGCCGGAAGCGGTACATCCTCAATGTCTCAAGGAGAGGTGGACCTGGTAGTTTTTGTGGGATGCAGATCACCAGATATTGACCTCAAGAAACTTGAGAAAGTGAAGAAAGGTGTTTTTTTTTTTTTCCGGAGTTGTTTTTTTTTTCTGAAAAGCGGAGAATGTGCTGCGTCACGTCTTAGTCTCGCAGCGACGAGGACTTTGACCGCTGCACCATCCAAGTGGGGGCCGACATCTACGGACCCGGCAAGGCCAAAGACGACCTTGAGGAGGCCCGCGTTGGAAGTTCGGATGGAACCTGGAGACAACCAGGGAATTTATATTGTAGATATATTATGATATATTATAGACATCATTTATATGTGCAGATATGTATGTAATGACCTACTTATGAATATATATTTATATGTATTTTTGTCATTATACACTTGTCATGGGAATGGAAGAAACATGGGGAGTTGTTTTTGGCAATATCGGGATGGATCAAAAGCTGATCACAGACCTAGTGGCTCTTTTGCCACAAAGGAAGGGGACCATTCCCTTGAACCAGGAGGTAGAATCCTAAGAAATCATTGATGGGATGATCTATGAAGGTTGCAATTTGGAGACCATGATTGGAGATGGGATATGACAAACTGCGGCCATCTTTCAGTTTGGCTGCTGCAACTTGCTGTATTTGTCCTCGCAAGAAAATTTGCCGTCTTAGTTTCTTCTCTCAGAAAGTAGAGTTTAGATGAGTTTAGATCGTATTTTTAAGTATTTAGGTATATATATACAGTATATAAGTATGCATATATATATATGTAATATATACACATACATACATAATATGTACATACGGCTACATTGTCTGTTGCATCATTTGACCAGCTGCATGACTCGGCAGAATTGGAGGCTCGCGCCAGATTTGCGGAACGTCTGTGTCGAGAATGCTCACCTTGCAGTGCGGCAGCCTTACGTTCCTGGGCGTAGCCGGCGTAGCGTTCGAGTTTCACTGTGGTGGTCCACTCACCAAAATTCATGGGATTGTGTACATTAAAAAAATGATATCAATGGGAGATTAATGGAGACTGGTAAAAAGAACTAATTAAGTATGATTAATCCATATTAATCCCTTCCGCATAATGTTAAACACTCCCTGGAAACTCTGGTTATTGAGGGGGATTTACACATATTTGGGACCATAGAATGTGTGTCTTTAATATGAAACACGTAATATTCGGGGGATTGGAAGCCAGCAGTTTTGGTGTTTCGGCTTGATCCAGGGGTCAAAGATCCGCAGACGCACGAAGATGAGATCAGAAGTGAACAGCAACAGCTAAAGAAATTTGGACATCTCCAGAGTTGCTTTTGATTTCTTTCCCATGTCCCTGAGATTGGTCTGATATTTTTTTTGAAGAGAAGTTGGTTCCCCCGAAGTTTCCCAACACTTTTTTTGTCCACGATGTCGTTTTGGGCCCAGATGTCGTCTCCGCGCTGTGTTCGCAGCTCTCTATGGCGCACCTTTCTACGGTGTCTTGGTGTTGCCATTGAGTCATTGAGTCTCAAGGCGTTCCGGCAATCGATGGCTTTTGCATGTTTTTATTACCCTCTGGTCAATAAACATAGACTCTGAAAATCACCAATTTTTAATGGTTTCACTAGTCTTCCAACCCCAACAACTGCCAGGGTCTATGTTAATTTACCAGAGGGTAATACATCTTGTTACACATCCCATGTCCATTATTTGTTGATAGTGATTGTCGCTACACACACCTCCATGTAGCTGGGGGATTTCCCCAGCCACGTTCGGAGGTGAAAACTACCCTTTCTGTACATAGGATCATAATCCATTATGGCAAATCCATATAACCAACAACATATGGTTAGTGGATTATGATAAGCCAAACTTAGTATCACAATCCTTCAATTTATCGAATTACTAATAGTTTGGGCATCCAAAATTATCCTTTTAGCCAGCGTCCCAGGTCAGTTTTTCTGGGCCGCATTCCTATGCCCTTCCAGGTGTGGGCTGGGATTCAGTCACCGACCCGCTCTCTATTGGTTCTCATTTTTTTTTGTCACCAGCAACAAGTTGTTGAATCTCCATTTTTACAGCCTAAGATCCAAGGTATGTTGCTTAAATCTCCTATTTTCGATGATCAAAATCCACCCTTTCTTGTACGCAATGATTCCCACTCTGTTAGTGACTGCCAAGCTTAGCCAAATGGCCTCGCATCAGGCGGCTGTACCAAAGCGCGGATCCACTTGCGGAAAGAGAAGAAGGACAGTGGGTTTTCATAGTTCGAAGGACCTGGGTTTTCATACCTACCCTCTGGTTATTTAACATAGCCATGGAAAATCCTCATTTTTAATAGGTAAACCATCTGTAAATGGGCCATTTTCCATGGCTATGTGTTACATAGAAGGAACTAGCATGAACTATGCCGCCAGCAGGATTCAACCAAGAAGGATACAAACTGAAAATCGGGGGCCAAAGGACAAGCTGATGGGTTATTGATCAGTAGGGATGCACATTCATAGTTCTATATGGAAAGTGTTGTGAAGATCCGCGGGGGGAATATTGTCAGTGGCCCGTGTGGCGATGACCATGATTCATGGCGCATTTGATTGTTGGAGCTATGCAGGCAGGGCAGCAAAGAGACAGGTTTAGACATGAAAGGATCACTTTACCAACCAGTTGTCCCTTTGAGATTTTCATATCTACTCAAGAGGTCCCGATTGATGACTGGTCACATTTTAACCAAGAGGATCTGTTGCTGACCATCGAGCGGTCTGCCGCGCAATTTGAGTCTTTCTCCCTTCCAGAAGACGGAGAGGCGACGGAAGACACTGGAAGGATAAGAGTAAGTCCTTGAAGTCATGGTATGGAACGACAGCTTGGTATTGAACTGAGTTCAAATGTTTAGTAATGTGGGTAAAACACTAATAAACCACCCATTTGGAAATGGTGAACATACCACCTATAAAAAATGGTGATGACTGGGGGATGGTTTATCATTGTTTTACCCACATTACATGGCATACCTTGTTTTTTTTTCCCTCCAAGAATCACAAGTCTGACTGTGGAGCCGCCGGTGAGGTGAGGGACTGTCATAAGAGCTCCTTCATCAACGAGTCGGCTGAACTGCGGCTGCTTTGTTCCGATGAAGGTTGGGACCGGAAGGGATCGGAAGGGATCGGAAGAGATTTGGGGATCGGAAGGACGAGTCAGCCAGATTGATGATGGCATCCTGTCTCATCAATGGATTACGAATCGCAAAAAGTCAGGCTTATTAATAGATTAATCAATGGCTATAGGGTACTAATTGATGGATGTTAATGGATGCTTAAGAACTATTGGTATCTGTACATTAGTCAACCCCCTATGGCTCATCAACCCACGAGACAGCAAACCACAAGGTGGTGCCCCTCAGTTTTAAGTTGGTTTATGAAGCCCATCAACTATAGACATATCTACCATAAACCATAGTTAATTCACTTATATACTTATCTTAATTAGTTCAATATATCTTCCATAAACCATATTGATTTCATTTACTTATGTTAACTAGTTCGATATATCATTAATTATCTACTATTTACTATAAAGATCACAAACCATAGTTAATTCACCTAGGCAAATCTTCAACAAAGACGATTTCGACAACGGGGGACCATCACCTTGCCCTTGCGCGCCCCTGGTGCTTTTTGTGTTCGCAGGTGTTCTCATCGACTTGTTGGACGCTCGGGAGGCCATTTTGCTGTGCTTCCCCGACCAGCGCGTGGTGGTGCACGATGGCTTGCCACTGAACTTTGCCTCGCCACCTGCTGGCCAGTCCACCTGTGGCGCGGCAGTTGTGGAGTTCTGGTGACAAAAAATCGATTGCAAAAACCATGCGACAAAAAACCACCCATGACTGGGAATGATTTATAGCACCTTATGGTGAAATTGAGGATGGTTTATTGTTGTTTTACCAACATTATTGCTATAACTTGTATTTGAAACATGTTGGAACCCAGTGCAATTGGGATATTTGTCGATTATAAAGAGGACATTAACCCCTGGGATTTTAACCGGTTACACATGATGTTTTTTTGCCCGCAGGATAAATATTGATTGAATCCATTGCAAGGAATGTCAGATATCGGTTGGGAAGGTGTTCAGCAGCCCACTGCTGCCAAGGCGACCTTCCGCGCGCGCTGCTGCGGCATTTGCTGTCAATGTTGCTATCCAAATCCAAAGTTGCTTAGAAAAAAGCGTCACGTCCGGCGGGTTGTGCGACCTTGCCCCAAACAATTGTGGTGAAATTAGATGGTTGATGTCCACTTCAAGGAAATACCGTGAACTTTGAGGAAGCAACCAAGTTGTTGCCACAGTCACTTTTCTTTCTTCTTTTGGTGTATTATTTGGTTGGTGAATATCTGAGTTTCTACGTAGACTTGTGGAACATGGGATTCAGAGGAAAAAACATCTTGGGTTAATCCAATAAATCCCTAGTCTTGATGGTCAAATCCCTGTTTTGGCTGGTAAAAAATTGATGAATCTCCTATTCCTGAGTATCTCCACCATGTGTTTCTTCACTTTCGATGGGTTAAGATGCTTCAACCATTCTTTGCTGACGAAATCCTCATTTTCATCGTGAAATCCCCGAAAATTGGCCGGTGAATGATGAAAGCCCCAATTTCTGAGTATTTCCATGAGATGATTGAATGTATTGCTTGACTTTACAGCTGTTTTTTCTCCAATGAATCCCAGCTTTTGATGGTGAATGCTAGTGAAACATAGTGAACATTCCCCAATGAATCGAGGCATAGCATCGCAAGGTGATCCCAGCTGCGCAGGTCGCGCATGGCCTGGAGAAAGTTATGGAGAGACCACAACTGAACGAGGCGGCACGGCGGCAGGGCAGATATCACGATATCGGGTTTTAATTCAGGGGAATGATCGCACCATAGGTTTTAAGGGAAATGGATGAAATGGCAGATATCATGTTTTTCCCCAACAGCAGAATGCTTTGGGGTCTCAGCCCACATAGCCTTCGGGGTGCTCCGGGGCACTGCTCGACCCTGCCGCCTCGTTTCGCCGGTTCCGGGAACCAGGGTTCCGAGAACCGGTTCCGGGAACCAGGGTTCGGGGCAAGGTTCCGGGAACCCAGGGTTCCGGGAACCAGGGTTCGGGGCAAGGTTCCAGGAACCCAAGGTTCCGCAAACCAGACTTTCAAGCAAGGTTCTGGGAACAATGGGTTCTGGCTACCTTTTGGGTTCCGGGACGTCAAGGTTCCGGGAAGGTTCCGGGCACACTTGGCTTTCGACAAGGTTCCGGGAACCTTACCATGGTTTCGAGCAGCCAGAGCCTGGATTGTGCCAAAGTTCTGGAATCACCGGAACACCAATTTTGAGACATCCTGCAAACCCAGAGTTTGGGGAACCAGGATTCTGGCAAGGTTCCAGCAACACTGGGTTCCGACAAGGTTCCGAGAACCACCACAGATGCGGACCCACAGTTTGGATATACTTCCTGGATTATGCCACAGGTTCCGGACAGGGACAAGGTCAGAGTTCTGGCAAGGTTCCGAGGTTCCGGAAACAACCCAGGGGTCGGATATACGCCGTGGGTTGTACCAAGGTTCATGCTACGGACAGGGTCCCAGAAAACCAATTTGCAAGGAAACCAAGGTTCCAGGACCAAAAGGGCCCGGTCAACGAGCAATCGCTGACAGGGGGGGGGACAGCGTGACAATAAATCAGCGCGTCTCGGTTCCGGAAACCCAGGGTTCCAATATACGCTGTGGGTTGCGCCAAGGTTCCGGAAACGAGGGTTCCAGGAAGACAAGGTTCCAGGGACACAAGGTTCCAGGAACACAAGGGATTCCGGAAATCCCCCAGCCAATCTTGGGTGCTTTGTGGCCCCTCACTGAATTCCGAATTCATGTTCGTTTGCTCAGTGGGCGCACAGCGTCGGTCGACTGACCTGTTCTGATGTTGCTGTAAAATCTTCTGTTTGAACTGTTCCGATGTCGCATCTACCAAAGCACATGCCACATCAAGCAATTAAGTTCGATGCCTTGGAACACCTAAATATTGGCAGCAAACCTGTGTGAGGCTTCTCGAAGCCAGGTAGATGATTTTTTGAAGCTAAGTGACCAAACAGCAACACACAATGAAACTTCAGACACAGTTGTGACACAACAACCAAGTATTGACATGAAACTAATTCTGGAATCATGATGGACAATTTGGCCAAAACCAACTGTTTCACCAATCACTTGCGCAAACTGACCGATGTTGTCCAAGCACGACAAGATAATCCCAAACCAACACACACACACATTTTGTAAACACTTAATGACACACCGTGGTCTGCAAATACTGCCATTCGTTTGTAACCAAATGTATGTAAATTCAACTATGCGCGCTTTCTTAAAGAACATGTCTCATCCTGCCTTTGGTCCAAAAGGGGAGGGGGCAAGGCGGGCAAAAAATCGCCGAAGAGACTTAGGCTATGGAATCCTGTTCCTGCCATCATTAATCCGTCTTGGGTTGCAAAGTTGGACCACTGTTTGAAACCAACCGCTGCCGGTTCCGGGAACCAGGGTTCCGGGCAAGGTTCCGGAACTCAGGGTTCCGGGAACCAGGGTTCGGGGCAAGGTTCCAGGTTCCGCAAACCAGACTTTCAAGCAAGGTTCTGGGAACAATGGGTTCTGGCTACCTTTTGGGTTCCGGGACGTCAAGGTTCCGGGATCCCCAGGTTCTCGGCGCCAGGAAGGTTCCGGGCACACTTGGCTTTCGACAAGGTTCCGGGAACCTTACCATGGTTTCGAGCGGTTCTGGAATCACCGGAACACCAATTTTGAAACATCCTGGAAACCCAGAGTTTGGGGAACGAGGGTTCCGGCAAGGTTCCAGCAACACTGGGTTCCGACAAGGTTCCGAGAACCACCGCGGATGCGGACCCACAGTTTGGATATACTTCCTGGATTATGCCACAGGTTCCGGACAGGGACAAGGTTGCGGAACAACAATTTTCAAGAAGCCCAGCCCAGGTTCCAGAGAACCAGGGTTCTGGCAAGGTTCCGAGGTTCCGGAAACAACCCAGGGGTCGGATATACGCCGTGGGTTGTACCAAGGTTCATGCTACGGACAGGGTCCCAGAAAACCAATTTTCAAGGAAACCAAGGTTCCAGGACCATATAGGCCCTGTCAACGAGCAATCGCTGACAGGGGGGGGCACAGCGTGACAATAAATCAGCGCGTCTCGGTTCCGCAAACCCAGGGTTCCAATATACGCTGTGGGTTGTGCCAAGGTTCCGGAAACGAGGGTTCCAGGAAGACAAGGTTCCAGGAACACAAGGGATTCCGGAAATCCCCCAGCCAATCTTGGGTGCTTTGTGGCGGGTTCCGCACATGCCGATTCATGTTCGTTTGCTCAGTGGGCGCACAGCGTCGGTCGACTGACCTGTTCTGATGTTGCTGTAAAATCTTCTGTTTGAACTGTTCCGATGTCGCATCTACCAAAGCACATGCCACATCAAGCAATTAAGTTCGATGCCTTGGAACACCTAAATATTGGCAGCAAACCTGTGTGAGGCTTCTCGAAGCCAGGTAGATGATTTTTTTAAAGCTAAGTGACCAAACAGCAACACACAATGAAACTTCAGACACAGTTGTGACACAACAACCAAGTATTGACATGAAACTAATTCTGGAATCATGATGGACAATTTGGCCAAAACCAACTGTTTCACCAATCACTTGCGCAAACTGACCGACGTTGTCCAAGCACGACAAGATAATCCCAAACCAACACACACACAATTTTGTAAACACTTAATGACACACCGTGGTCTGCAAATACTGCCATTCGTTTGTAACCAAATGTATGTAAATTCAATTATGCGCGCTTTCTTAAAGAACATGTCTCATCTTGCCTTTGGTCCAAAAGGGGACGGGGCAGGGCGGGCAAAAAATCGCCGAAGAGACTTAGGCTATGGAATCCTGTTCCTGCCATCATTAATCCGTCTTGGGTTGCAAAGTTGGACCACTGTTTGAAACCAACCGCTGTTGGGGATCTACGTCGGCTTATTTTTTTTTCTTAGACGCAGTAAACAAGTTTCAGCGTCCAAGTGTTTTTTTGGATTTGGGATTGATGGGATGAATCCCGATGTGTCTCTGTATTCCTCCAGCTGGGGTATATACAGTACAGCTCGGAATGACGGTTTGAATGGAAAGATAGACCAAACATGAGACTATGGGTAGACAAACCAACAAGTTACACAGTTACACCCAAAATAAAAATGGCTTTTCACCGACACATGGGGATTGCAACTGACCTGGCTTTGGATGATTCGGCATATGGTTCCGGGTGAAGTTGGGACCGGCCGTAGCTTTCCAAGTGGATCCAGGACAACTTCAATGCAATGCGACTGGTTGTGAGGCAACACGTGCGGTCCAGAAGCTTGAAACAAGAAAGTCATACCTAGAACTCGGAGACCATGTCTGGTCAGGTTTCTTTAGAAGCTATACTCATAGAAAACAAACATAGACAGAAAACTGACGCAGACAACTTCTGCGGCTTTCCAGCTGGTTTAGGCCAGAGCCTGAGCAGATTGCTGGTATGCAACGTTCGATGTCGCCATGGCGATGCAAGGCGTCGCCAGCCATCCCATCGACCAAAGGTTTACAGTGACCGGATTGACTAATGGCAGATCTGTCGGTCGCAGATGGCAGTCAAAGTCAAAAGGTGGCAATTCCCTCGGCATCGCAGCGGCAGCCTTCTTTTTGACTTCCCTCTGCCCCGCGAGACACCGCGCGAGACACCGCGCGAGACACCGCGCGAGACACCGCGCGAGACACCGCGCGAGACACCGCACGAGACACCGCGGTCCCCGGTGCCGCCGTTGCGCCGTGCAGTTTCTGGTGGGCCCTGAGGCAGAGACCGAAGGTCCATCGGATGTGAAGCTGGGGAAGTTGCTCAGCTGGGCACGGCAGCAGGATTTCATGAAGCTACACCCCTGCTTGAGCTTTGGAAAACCTGGTGGACTGCAGCTGTCTGTTCCAGTCTCTGCTGGCACGCCCATCCTGGGCGTTTTGGACGACACATTTCTGACGAGCTCCGACCTGCCGGAGCAATGGAAGGAGGTGTGGGATGGAGCCCGGGAACGATATCCAGAGTGGTGGGCGTTGCATCTGGGCATCACCTTACTGAAAGAGCGCCGTGATCCATCTTCAGATGCTTGGGAAGCGTACCAGAATAGTGCCTTGGTATGAAGACTTTGCTGATTGTCAACCTGATATTGAACCATCTGCAACCAATGTGGCAACAAAATTGATTTTTACTGAACTGTAGCTGTTGGTTTACTGTTGGTTTACAGTTTATCACAATTCCATCAGTCCGCGGCTTCAAAACCATGGGATTCCTGAGTGAAAACGGACCAGACATTTAGATTATTTTGGGAACAGGACACCATGGCTGGTTTCCATGCCGTTTTCTTCATTCGCTGAAACTTCTCAATATTGGTCAATCTATATCAACATAAAAGTCTAAAGATGATTCTCCCATGCTTTTCATGACTTTTCCATGGAAAGTTGCTGGTTTGAAGGCGCCTGGCCAAGGTGTAGCACCGCAGCCAGCAGCTCCGTTGCTGTGGAGTGCCGCCCAAGCCCAAGAGCTGCGTCTTGGATTCCGCTGATGGAACGATCGTCCTGTTTTTGTTTGGAAATGTTTGGAATGAAGATCCATTGATCTGATTTTTGAGTACTCACCAGGGTACAGATTGAGAAATCCAAATGGAATTGAGCAAAAGGCTCAGTTGGGTGGGGCTATCTATATGGATGCCGGGGTAGCTAGGGGTCAAAATTTGCTTCATCATGATCATACCAATACGAGCTGTATTGCGGGTCAAGGGTCAAATCGGTCAAATCGGTCAAATCGGTCAAATCGGTCAAATCGGTCAAATCGGTCAAATCGGTCAAATCGGTCAAATCGGTCAAATCGGTCAAATCGGTCAAATCGGTCAAAGTCCTGGTGTTTCACGCATTTATTTTGGCGACTTAAACCACCATGGTTTTTCTGCTGATACTTCATGGATAGATGGAGGGAAGCCATCCATCAGTTGCGACCAAGGCAGTACGTTCCCATGAAGAAGCAGCTGCGAAGTCGGATTGAGGCCATCCAAGAGTTCTACCAGGAGATCCTAGTGCCAGCACCTTGGTGCCCTTGGTGATGTTTGTTGGTTTAGTTTCACTCTTTCACCCCATTGACCATAGATTGAATGGCCATTTCAGGAACCTAAATTGGAGGTACCTACCATATATAAGGCCTATGTAAGGCCTCTGTAAGGGGATATACCCCCAAATATGGCCTTATATGGTACAGTACCTCCATTCTAGGATCCTGGAATTCCCATTGATAGATATATCTACCTTAAAGATCAATGAAGAATAGTTAAGCTAGTTAATTACTACCCATCAAGCATCTGCGCTTTCAGAAATCGCTCAAGTTGATGGCAAGGAATCACAATGTGGACTTTTGCTCTTATTTAGCTGTCATTTGCTACCGATTTTCAGCTTCTGCTGCTTCTACCCTCCGACAATCAAACATGGCCTGCCGGAAAATCCAGATATTTCTAGATGATTTTCCCTTCGAACTAACCTGCATGGCTAGTTCCGGGATTAGCAATCGCCATGTTTTATTATCATTTTATATTTACTTCTATCCCAATACTTTAGATTCTTGAAGGTCCTGAACCTACTGCATGATGATAATATATTATAATCATCAACAAACAGGAGTTTGCAGCTGCAAAACTATAAAAATTCGATGGATTTTGCGAAGCTGGTAACCTCCATGGCTCGTCCCAGGTGTTGGGTGAAGCGCCTAGGCTTCCTTCGGTCTTTGAGCTGGCGCAGGCCGTGGCCACGGCCAGGCGAGCTATTGAGGTGGGGCGTGGTTCTTTTTTCGTCATTTTGGATGGGAAAAACTCGGAAAAACCATGAAAAAACTGGGGGAACCCCATGATTTTGCATGAACTTCAAATTCATGAATTGGTCAAGTGAATTTGGGATAGTCCAATAGCTGGTCGATACTCAAATGGATCACGGGAACCCACGCGAAAAACGATCAAAAGATGGGGGGGATCGGTGGTCTGGCAAATAGCGGAGATGGACCATAGTACCAATAACCTTCGAGATGGTTTTGATTGACTGGCCTGGAAAATGATCCACTCTTCTGGGTTGTTATCATCTTTTAAACTCACATAAACTCACATAAACTCACACTCGCAGATTCTCAGTTTTTCCCCAACAGCATAAGCTAATGGGGTCTTCAGCCCAGAATAGCTCCGGTGTGCACTGGTGCAGGCGCCGGGTCAGGTTCAACAAGGTTCCGGAGAAGGTTCCGAAGGTTCCGGAGAAGGTCTGGGAGGCTTTGGTGCAGAGACAGGTCAGGTTCAACAAGGTTCCGGAGAAGGTTCCGGAGAAGGTTCCGCGAGGCTTTGGTGCAGAGGCGGGTCAGGTTCAACAGGGTTCCGGAGAAGGTTAGGGTTCCGGTTCCGGGGAAGGTTCCGCGAGGCTTTGGTGCAGAGGCTGGTCAGGTTCAACAGGGTTCCGGAGAAGGTTAGGGTTCCGGTTCCGGAGAAGGTTCCGCGAGGCTTTGGTGCAGAGGCTGGTCAGGTTCAACAGGGTTCCGGAGAAGGTTCCGCGAGGCTTTGGTGCAGAGGCTGGTCCGGTGAAGGTCTGGGAGGCTTTGGTGCAGAGCCAAGTCAGGTTCAACAGGGTTCCGGAGAAGGTTCCGAAGGTTTCGTCTGGGAGGCTTTGGTGCAGTCAGGTCAGGTTCAACACGGTTCTGGGCAAGGTTCTCGGAGAAGGTCTGGAAGGCTTTGGTGCAGAGCCAGGTCAGGTTCGACAGGGTTCCGGAGCAGGTTCAACAGGGTTCCGAAGAAGGTTCCGCAGAAGGTCTGGGAGGCTTTGGTGCAGAGCCAGGTCAAGTTCAACAGGGTTCTGGAGAAGGTTCTGGAGAAGCTCTTAGGAAGCCTTGGTGAAAAGCCAAGGCAGGTTCAATGGGTTCCCGGAGAAGGTTTTGGGAATTTTTGTTGCAGGGCTAGGTCAGGTTCCAACAGGCTCAACAGGGTTTCCAGCGCTTGGCTACGCAGCACGCTTCAGAAAGATCAGCACGCTTCAGAAAGATTTGTAAGAAGAAAACGTTGCAGCTGTTGGGGATACCACCGAAGCTTATTTTTTTGGGGATGAAACGCGCACTTTCCATATTTTTTTTGGCGCCTCCGCAGCCGGTTTTTCCCATGGCAGGTTTCACCGGGCCAAAGGGCCTTGCTGCCGTTGCTAGACATGGTGGGGTCACCGGAGGCCCGGACGGATGTTACCCTCTGGTAATCTAAAGTAGATATGAAAATCACCATTTCTAATGGGTAAATCGTCATATTTATCATCAATTTCAAGGGGCCATGTCTTCCATAGATATGGATCATGATATATATTTTCACCAGAAGGTAAATTAATATTTAGAATTAGTAGTGGTTATAATTGTGGTGTTGTTGTTGTTGTTGTTGTTGTCGTTATTACGAAAAATATCATGCATGTAAGATATGCAAGTTGTAGTCAGATGTCGTGAGGGGATATCAAATTGATTATGACCTGTGAACCCTCCAAGATACGTACGAGTTCACTAAGACTAAGGCCCACGTACCAACCATGTGATGCGACGTGAGGCCACGGTACCTGCTGGAAAGCCAACGCCGGAGGCTAACTGTGAGTTACAAGTGGAACCTGAGGGAGGTGCGCCAATGGGTGTTCAGCTGCCATCAGGGGCATGGGGCGCCGCATTTTTCCTGTAAATAATGGCTTTTGTCACATGTCCATGTGCATTTCGACTGCGCAGGCTCGCACACAGTGTGTGTCGCAGTCATGGGGCGCAGCATTTTTCCAGTCAATTTCTGCATAAACGGCTTTTGTGGCATGTCCTTGTGCATTTCGACTGCGCAAAGTGTGTGTCGCATCCTCGGGCGCGGCATTTTGCCTGCAAATGTCCGCATAACATGCATATGTATTTCGAATGCGCAGGCTCGCACAAAGTGTCCTCCTCCACATCATTATCCTCAACATCATCATCTTCCTCCTCCTCCTCAACATCATCCTTCCCAACATCATCAAATTCCTGTCATCCTCCTCAACATCACCATCCCCCACCTCATCTTCTGCAACATCATCATCCTCCACCTTATCATCCTCCACTTCATCTTCAGCATTATCATCCTAATCCTCATCCTCCTCAACACCATCATCCTCAACCTCATCCTCCACCTCATTATCCTCAACATCATCATCCTGCACCTCATCATCCTCAACATCATCATCCTCAACCTCATCGTCCGCAACGTTCTCATCCTCCTCATCATCATCATGATCATCCTCAACATTATCATACAGTATCCTCACACACAGACACACTCTTTGGGATCTCTTGCCGGTATATTTTTTTGAAATTTATTCAATCTCAATCCACATTTTGACGATTGAACCGCCACATATACAAATGTTTGCAAATATGAATTAAGAAATACTATATTATATAAATAAATAAAAGATAAGTAAATAGGTAAATAAATAGGTAAATAAATACATATAAATAAATAATAAATAAATTAATTAAATGAATATATATATATATATGTATATATGGTTATCTAGATCCCACCTATTATGTCCGCATTATATCCGGACTATGTCCCATTATAGAAATATTTTTATTTGTGATGCTTAAAACACACAAATTTGATGGTTTAATAACTATTTTTGCTTAAATCGCCCTTTTGTTGATTATATCATTATTTTTGTTGATTAAATCGCAATTTTCGCTGGTTAAACCATTATTTTTGTTGATTAAACACAATGGTTTGATGGTTAAATCACGGTTTTGGTTGTTAACATTTTTCTTCCTGAAATCTGTAAAAAACAGATCCACCCGTGTTGCTCCAGGCCCCGGCGGTCGGGCCATCGCTATCCTCGTGGCAAAACACGATGTGCAGCCGGGCGAGACGCTCAGCCGGGCGATCCTCGGGCTGGCGCCGGATGAAGTGCTGCTGGAGCATGGCTGGTGCAGCACCAGGCGTGGAAAAAACGGAAATTTGGAAAATTTGGATATATCCGAATATATACATTATATATATATATATATATATATTTTTTTTTAAAATATATGTATGTATATATATATATATACTGTCAATTGGCAAGCGGATTCTATTCCAACACCACTTCCACCAGAAAGCTGCGGCCTCGCAGCAATTTTCCCCAGCGCACGCCTCGTGCGAAGCAGCCGTTCCACGGCTTTGTAGAACCAGGCCGTCCACGGCCAAAACAGCCAACCGTATGGCGCCAAAGGTGTAACCCTCCCACCGCACAACCGGCTCGCCTGAGCCATACACCTTTGGAACACTCAAGTCTGGGACCTGGCAGAATTATTTTAACAGGCATTAGTGGTTTATACAGGCAAGTGAAGGACCGGTTGGATGGGAACCCTGGCATGCTTAAGGGATCAGAAGTGTACATTTCACATTCCCAAAACTTCAAAGTTTTTCAGATTCAGGACACTTCTGATCAGTCGCAGTCCGCAACCATTTGAGTCGGTTTCGGTTGGATGCTCTGTTTTTCAGGACTTCCTCGGAGTCGTGCAGGCAGTAACGTCCATTCCTTAAGGTTTCCCTGAGAAAGTTTGCTCCCATTACCTTCGTTAAGGCATCTGCAAGCTGAGCTCCTGAGTGGACCCAGTGAAGTCTTATACCTTCGGACATGATGTCTTTGATCGATCGCGCAAGGAGTTGTGTTCGGAATTCCTGGCAGTTCGGAATAGCTGTTCTGGTTGTCAGGTCATAGAGGCTTTTACAGTCAGTTATGGCAAGGTCTTGGTCGTTTACTTTATACGTAGGAAGGGAAATTGCAGGTGGAAGGTTTTTCGCTTCTTCGGGTTTTTGCCATGCAGTGTTTGGATTGAGGATCCATGCCCAGTATAAACGCATCCAAGTGAGTTGATCCAGGGTAGTTGACAAAGCTGTTGTTTCAGCCGAGAGTGTACTAGTGACGATTCTTTGAATTTTCTTTGTTCCCCATGATAGGGGGCTTATGGGACAGGATTGGTTTCGGGTGATGTCTTGGTGGGTTGAAAGAATGATCATACCGGCATGGGAATCTGGCTTACTTTTGGATGCAAAAGATGCATCAGAGAACGCAATAAAACGCAGGTCCTGTGTGTTGATGGGTTGTATTTTGATGCTGACGTCGCTGTGTTTCTTGGCATTATGAAGCACTTTATTGGCAGTTACCAGTGTTGCAATGGTTGCACTGTTGATTTGGGATTGGAGGTGGCTTAGGGCGCTGGCGATATCGGGTCGGGTATGTACGGCTGCGTACTGAAGGGATCCTACCAGGCCTCTAAGATTATGCCTTTCTTCCTCGGTTACAGGTTCATTTTCTTGGTGCTTTCTCTCGGGCTTGATGGCAATTGGAGGGATGTGATTCACATATTTTGTTTGAGAAAGTTCAATACTTTTGTCGGGATGTTGGCACATTTCAATTCCGGTGAAGGTGAACGCTTTTGACTTTTTTGATCCAAAGGGATATTTTGCTTCGAGTTTGGTAATTTGAGAGTGAAAATATGAATCACAACCATGAATTCCATCATCCACATGGATGCCAAGTGCACCTGAAAGTTCTTTTGTCTCGGGATGTCGTAGAACGTAAAGGCATGGGTCAAATGGGCTGGCTTGGAAACCAAGGGCTTTCAGCTCTTCACACAGGGTTTTGTACCAAAGGAAAGGTGCATCAATTAGTCCGTAAGCGGATTTATCTAATTTGCACACTTCATTTTCTTTGAGGCTCATGGCTTTGGACAATTCTGGTACGGGTTCAATTCCAATAATTCGATCTTGTTGAAGTTTTCCTTGTAGAAATGCTGCACGGATGTCGAAAGAACCTAATGACCATCCCTTTGAAGCGATCAGCTGTAGAAGGAGCATTTTGGATTGTCTTCCAAGGGTCGGGCTGTCTCTGGGAACTTCAGTGACGTCGGGGTCAAGATATCCAAGGACCACTAATCTGGCTTTTGGTTTGTGTGTCTTCAATTTTTCTGACTTGAACTGACCTGTTTCCTTGGATTCGGCTTTTTCTTCTAAAGGTTTCCATACCAAAATCCATCTGCATCGCAAAATTTGTTCAGGAGCTAATTTTGATCTGAGGATTTTGGACACGGTACCTGTGCTTATCCAGTTCTGAACTTCATTTTCTTTTGCTCTTTTGAATGCCTGAAGTTCCTCTGAATTCAAGGATGACAATTTCACTTCGGTACGCTGTCTCTTCTCGGTGGAGGCTATTAGGATCTCATCGGCATGCCAATGGGATAGCTGTTGTGTCGTGACATTCTTTGGAGCATCCAATTCAAACCTCCATGCGCAGGGTGTCTCGGTGGGATCAACGGTCATTGCCAAATCATCTACGCATAGCAGGTGCGTCGTGACGAAGTCATCGGCACCTTCTGGCTCAGGATCATTCGGTTCATGTGCTGTTGATTCATCATTTCGATCTTGGCTGTTGGGCACATCAAGAGGGCTTTCGTCAGGTTCCCCATCAGGTTGGTCTTGGGATTGGCTGTTATTGTCAGTGTCAGGAACTGATTCCTCTGGGTTATGATGGTTATTACTGTTGTTAGTAGAAGGTTCATCATGTGGAATGGAGATTACTGGTGTGATATTGAGTTTTCCTGGAGTGGTTATTGGTATCTCTTCGGGTAAGTTGTGTGCTTCTGACGCACATACAGGTCTCACATGTTCGGGGGCCCTTCTATGCAACTTCCCTCCCATGGATGCCCAGATCGAGAATCGATCCTCTTGTTGAATTACCTTCAGTGGTCCGAACCAATAGCCTGGCAAGTTCTTTTGTGGTTGCCACATCATGATCCATTCACCTGGCTCATATGCTGTTCGATCTGGCCTTGATCTACGGAGACAGGCTCTTCTCAGTGCCATGTCATTGTCTGCTTGGTGATATGCAATTCTCGCCTTCTCACGCAGGGCAAGGTTCCGGCGAAACATGATTCCATGGGCATCTTCTCTAAGGGCGCTTTCGTGAGCTGAGACTTCGTCACTGCTCACATTGGAACCCGGAATTTTGGAACTTTTGCCAAACACCAATACTTCAGGGGAAAAACCTCTGCGGATGCTAAGAGTATTCTTTGCATGAGTGCACTGGATGAGGGCTTGTTGCATGTCATGAAAGGAAAGGATTGGATTTTCGGCATCAATCTTGGTCAGCATGGTTTGCAGGATTTGTCCATGTCTTTCACTTCTACCGTTCTGCCAGTGGGCATTTGGACATGTTACAGTACTTTTGACGTCATGTCTTTGAAGAAATTCTTCAAACTTTTCACTTGTGAACTCCGTTGCTGAATCCATGATCATGGAATTCGGGGGTCCTGCCCATTGAATCCACGCCTCGGTAAGCTTCTGTACAGCTTGCTCGGCTGCTCTGCTGGGTGCTGGTACAGCAACATGGTAGTTGGTGGCTTGGTCAAGAATATGATAGAAATGAAATTTTTGTCCCTTTTGTGATGTCCATGTAACCCCATCGATAAACACCTTATCGTTAAAATCCAGTTCGGTCTTGAAAGTGCTGGGTCTGGAAATTTTGGGTCTTTGTTGGGACGCACATGTTGAACATTTCATATCATAGACTGCTTGTGACACCTCTGATCGGCACCCTTGACTGCGCAACACCTGGCTAAGCTGCTCGGGACTAGGATGGCACAAATTCTTGTGTGCCCTTTTGAGCATGGCTTGCTCTTCTCGAGGCAACGCACGGAATCGTGGACCATGCGATTCTATGTCTGAGGTCTCCTGCGGTGGGTTTTCGCTGATATTGTCTTTTGAAGGGCTTCTGGCATCAACACTTGGTTCAATTGTTTCTGACGAGTCAGGAGTGAAGGCTTCAAAATGTTTCTGGGATTCGTTCATGGGATGTTCATGGGCGACCTCAGGCATTCCTTGGTCTGATGGCTGAGCAGGCTGATTTGTTCCTTCTGGTTCTTCTGTACATGGTGCACGAATTGGGGTCGATTCAGGATTGGCTGCAAACATCGTTATATTCACCCGACACGGCGGAGAAGGTCTGATGAGCTGCCTTTTGGAAATCTGATCATACTTTTCCCAACTTCGTTCAACAAGGATTTCCTGAGTGTCTCGAATTTTCAAGATTGACCTGCGAAATGGAGCTTCTTCCGGATGCATGTTCAGAGGAGGTCCGAGTCTACGATCAGTCCCTTTACAGGCCAATATTTTCTTGATGTTCATGTCTGCAAAAATTTCTTTGACAATTTTCAGGATATCTGGCTGGTCAAGCACTTTTCTGCCTACTCGTGGAAGAATGGATTCGATTTGATTCATCATCTTTTGGATTTGCTCGGATGCAGGTTCATAGTCATGGAAATTGGGTGGTTGGTCGGTCTGCTCTTCAGTGACCACCTTAGGTCTTTTGGCGGTTCCAGGCCGGTCGGATGCGCCAGCTGCAGCAGGGGTCTTATGGCCCCGAGTTGGATTCACTCGCACTCGCTTGGACGGACGTTCTTTGACACCTGTTGCATAAATTTCATTGTGCATTTGATCAAACAATATTAAGGCAGGGTCGGCAATTGTTCCCAACGGCTTTTCCTGTGGAAACTTGTTCTTGATCAAAGACTTGGCAACCAGGCGACTGAACTTCCTTGGATAGTTTTCGGTAAACTCAGAGCGCAACATCGGTCTTCCTTGCCACACTGTGGAACCTTCAACAACTTGGTGGTCATGATCTTGAGAGCATTTGAGGTGATTGAGACTGTCGAACATTCGTTGAGAACTGGTCATAACATGCAAACCTTTTTTCATGAGAGCATGATTTTGTGGGTCTCGAAGTTCACCTGCACGACAAAGATCAGGTTTGGCGCTCAACATGTACCTATGGAGTTCCTGTAGGTATGGCAGGCGGATCATCAGAGACCCTTTTGGTTGCTCAAGGTGAGCATGTCTCTGGCATCGATGTTGGTGACGGCACAAAACGAGGCACAAAGCAATCTGGCCGAGCATCTCTCCCCTTTGTTGGTTGATGTTATCCCAAGCTGCTAATGATCTTTGGCTGTTGAACTGTGACCATTTTCCCCAAGGACCACAAGTTGGACTCATCCAAATGTTGCGGGGTTGATACTTCAAAACCAGTGCAAACAGCCTACGGCGGCCCTCAGTGCTTTGGAGATCGCCTTGGCTCAGGCCGAATCGGAAAGCAATCCCACCTAGTTTCTGGACCTGTTCTGTCAGGGTGCTTTGTGGACCGCAAAAAACTTCGATGGCATCGATGCTTCTTTGGGATGGATTTGTTATTCCCTTCATATAGATAAGTTCCCTCTCAATCTTATTGACTAAGTCCCAGAACTTTATCCTTTCATGATTGGGGATTGATTCACAAAATTCATCAATTTCGCCAGCTTGCAGGGACCAATCGGAGGTCTCATCCCCTATGGATTCCAGGGATCGTCGAACTCCACTTGTGCAGTCTCGTGGGTCGGCATGGCATGGGTGTTCTGCATCTGGTGGTTGGCACTTTGGGACATGAGCGCGATCATGCGCTGCATGGCATTCTCCAAGTTTAGCATTCTCTCTTGGAGCGCGTGGACATTCTCTGCCAGTTCCGTGGTTTCCGGATGCGGCGGCATCAGTCCCTCGGACATCATCTCGAAAGCTTCGATCTCTGGTTCCACCGGCAACTGCCAGTGATTGCTTGGGCTGGGCATGCTCTTGGCTTTGGCAGCCAGGGATTTGGGAAGTCCCTTTGGCTTGATACAAGCCTGAGGATTCTTGGCTTCCCCGGCTTCGCTCTCTTCCACCTTCAACTGAATGAACTTGATCATGAGACGGTGTTCCATTCGGGTGCTCTTCTGGTAGTGACTCATGAACCATTTCACCCACTCCGGGTCTGAGTGCCATACTTCCTCGTGGGATTTGCCCAGATGGGTTTTCCCAAACGTCACTGGGGTGTCCTTGATGTCGATCAGCTTGAGACCATCGATTGTCTCCTGGTCGGCTGCTGGAATCTGTGCCTGGGCTTTGGAAAGGCACTGATTCCACGTGCTCATGGCTGCTTGCTGAACAGACCGGGGACTTTTCTGCACGGTTGTTTTGAGGCCAAAAGTTGCTGTCAGCACATTTCTGTGCTTCTGATTCTACCATCGCAGTGCCTACACCTTGAACCTCTGAGCCTTGTGGTCTACTGTTCTCTGGTTGTGGCTTCATGGAACTATTTAAGGCTGGCAAGCTTTCCGCTGTTGTTTTGGCAGGCTCCTGAGTGTCCTGGGCATATGTCTCAGCAGGCTCTGATGAGCTTTTGGGCACGGGTGCAATCTGAAACAACATGTTCATGTCGATTAGATACAAACCTTTTGACGACAACTTCAGGGGAATTTGGCAATCATGTTTTGGCATGATGAGGAGATCCCTTTCCGTGTCTATCATGGCACGCAATGCGCGCAAAAGCGTGTTGGAGATTAAAAACGGAGTTGATCCTTCAACCACAGCAATCTTGAGGTTCATGCCCGCCACAGGTACAACCATGGCATGTGAGGCCTTTAAGGTGCCCTGATTTCCAAACCTGAACACAACATCGCATGAACAACGTTGCACTTGTTTCCTGACTTTCGGGTCCATGGCATTGAGAAAACTGGTCACATGATTATTCCCCATTACGGTCTTAGTAGCCCCAGTATCTATTATTCCCCATGAGTCATGCGTGGCAAACATTGCATCGGCTGCGGAGTTGACAGTGGCTGGGATTGGACTCCTCACTGGTGAAAACTTTCGGGAACTTTCGCTTCTCAGGTGGCTCACGGTCGGTTTGGAGGCAAAATGCCTTTCTGTCATATTGCTCGGGCACAAAATGTGCTCATTGGTCATACTTTTGGACTTGCACGGGCTCGGATGCTTCGTCTGCGAACGGAGCTTCGCTTCAATCCTGTGCACGAGTGACTTTACCCCAGAATTAGAACTATTGTTACCCTTAACATAATTCCTAATTCTCTCCCTTATGTCCCTCATGTTCTTGGATTGGCAGGCTGGCTGTGAGGATGTGCTTAAACATTCAATTGAAAAAACTGTCTGTACAACATTTGAGGCTGCAATCACGGCGTCCTGTTGGTTTTCCTCAGACACCAAAGGGAGATCCATGAACTCGGCTGCCATCACTTGGTCAGATCCAGTTGTCGAAGAGGCAACCGAAAGAGTCACTGCAGCGGATTGTGACGTCCCTGAATTGCTTGCGGGTCGGGAGGGGCATTCCCCTTTCCAGTGGCCTTTGCGACCGCACAATCTACAGTGGCTTTCCAGGATTCGCTGCTGCAAACTCTTTCTACCCCAGTTGGATCGGCCCTTGGCCTTGCCTTTGCCAAACTTGGATTTTCCCTTTCCGATTGGAAAAAAACCTCTGGCTCGAAACTTCTCACTGAGCTTCTTGCGGGCTTCGACATACGACGTGTATGCCGTGGAGAGTTCATCATCAGACTGAAGCAACTCACTGGCTGCTGCTTCGTAGTCAGCCACAAATGCGGCATCATTGTCACCTTCGGCAAGCAGTGTTTCGATCATCTCGTCCTCATCAAAATCCTCGTGGTAGACTTGGTGTACCTGGTCATCCATGTCACCTGAGGTCTCTTGATCTTCCGTCAGCAAAACGTTTGAGTCATACACCTTTGTCTTGACTGTCTTGCGTCCTTGTCCGGTCATCTCCTGGAAGAAAGAGGTTCCGAGCATTCTCACTGCCTCTCGAACACGGCTGATTGTCAGTTTTCCGTCCAACGATTGGTCGGAATCCAGGATGATTCGCTTCTTGTCCTCGCTCGTCAGCGATGCTCCCCGAAGCGTTATGTACGCTTGGAGATCTTCCATCTGCAGTTTCTGGCTTGCAAGCTTCGACCAGAGCACGTCTGCACGTGCTAAGTATGAGTCATGGCTTTCATCGGCTTGTTGATTGCACTGATACAAAGCTTTCTCCGCATCTGAAAAACGACGTTCAAGGCCTGTTTGGCCCCAGTGTCCTCCGAGGTGCTCGATGAGCTTGTGTACTGACTTGGCCTCATTCGTGCTTAACTCAGTGTGGTGCAGCTGCAACTTAGCAAATGCAGAACCTGACGTATTCAGAATGAGCCTAGTAACAAGCTCTGAGATTCTATTCGGAGGCCAAACTGTCAACACCATTTGTACCTTTTGTTGGTACATCTGCAGATCATCCTTCGACGGGTCAAAACTGGGCACTAGCGAAGCTAGTTGATTGGAGATGTTCCCCTGACCATCTCCTCCAGAGCTCACTGACATGACTGCCAATCCAGAGATGAAAACTTCGTCTCACCTTCTAAGAAACCAGTCAAATCACCAGTGGTAGCCCCGGATACCCCCTGCTTCACGCAAGGGGCTCCGCTACCAATGTCAATTGGCAAGCGGATTCTATTCCAACACCACTTCCACCAGAAAGCTGCGGCCTCGCAGCAATTTTCCCCAGCGCACGCCTCGTGCGAAGCAGCCGTTCCACGGCTTTGTAGAACCAGGCCGTCCACGGCCAAAACAGCCAACCGTATGGCGCCAAAGGTGTAACCCTCCCACCGCACAACCGGCTCGCCTGAGCCATACACCTTTGGAACACTCAAGTCTGGGACCTGGCAGAATTATTTTAACAGGCATTAGTGGTTTATACAGGCAAGTGAAGGACCGGTTGGATGGGAACCCTGGCATGCTTAAGGGATCAGAAGTGTACATTTCACAATATACATATATACATATATACATATTATATATATTATATATATATATTATATATATACACATACATTTATACATTTATACATTTGTACATTTATACATTTATACATATACATATACATACATATATAACTATATATATATATAAATCAACTAAAAGGGGGAAAAACATGGTTTTGATCCAAATGGGGAAACATGTGGATTGATCCAAAAAAATGGGGGTGAAACCCAGGCTGGCCAAGTTCATGGGGAAAACGAGACAACGAAACATGGGTGTTGTACCTAGATTTCAGACAAACCCAGATGGAACACATTTGAAGGTACAACTGGGTTATTGGATATGAAGGGATGATTAAAACCTTGGATATGTTTAAACATTTAAACATAATGTACAATGTACACTTAGAAAATATCGAAGGTCTGCATTATTGGGATAGAATCATATGGAACAATTCTGAACAATTTGAATGATTTTGATGTGGGGCAACTTGGAATTATGAACATCTCAGCATGGTGAAATTATGGGATTTATGGGATTTATGGGATTTATCCACTGGGATGATGGTGAGTTGATCTGAATGTGATTTTTCTGGGATCTGAAACCAGTGGACCAAGAAATGTTGCCATCTCTCACTCCTACACCATCCACTTGTTGGTCAGTAAAATGTCCGCCGGGACCCACCATGCCACCGGGACATCAAGGGACCCACGATGTTGGGGACCTGAAGCATCACCTGGACCGAGGCCTGATGATGTGACCATCCATGTGGGTCTGAAGAAGGCTGTGGTGGAGTCGTGGCAACTTGCCACTCTACGACACCCGGCCAGGAAGACTGGGATGAAAATGACATGAGAAGACAGCTGAAGATTCTAAGAACAGAAAACCTGGTTTCAGGTGTCAGGAGGGCTGTACATGCTGTGAAACACATTTTCTTTTGGGGAGTTGGACAATTCTTAAAGATCTGAGATACTTTCATGGATTCTAATGGTTTTTTTTCTGAGAAACGGGGATCTCATGGGGATTTCTTCGCCATCGATTTTTCAGGAGAGGTCATGGACTTGGAGGCGGGCGACTCGCCTGGTGACTGGATGGCCTCGGCCAAGGTTCGCAGGACTGTCCGGACGGTCCGGTTTTTTGGAGATGGCTGGAGAGGAGGAAACATCTCATTTTTGGGGGGGTTCTGGAAGGTGTGTTTTAGAGGCGCTTGATGAGTTTTGCTTTTGACATCACATTTGATGGTTTAAATTAATTACATCGTTTTCCCTACACAAATTACACATATGGCTTGATTGTCTGAGCTGGACTTAACAGGGGTGCTGCCACAGAATATCTGTGAGGAGTTCCGTGCTAACGCAGGCGGTGGATGCCAAACTGATTGCAGCTGCAAGTCACTTAGGCTGCAGGATACATGGCCTCAGGATTCGGCCGTTCCCATGGCTCACGTGATTTTTTTTCGAACGGGGAAACAAGGCCCGGGAAATCCATTGTGAATGGGTTAGTGCATACACCCATTTTCATTTGGATGGGTTGTCTTTAGGTCCACTCAGTATTGTGTGGTTGTACCGAAATCGGAATTGCTGAGATCCCCAGCCCAGGAGTTTTGAGTGCCAAGTCTCGCGAGGAGGTCTTGGGTGCCGTGGCTTGTCTGTTTCAGATCCAAGTTTTTCACAACGTGTAGCAGTCGTGGCTGGAATCTGCCACGGTGCGTAGTTTTGAAGCAGATTGAATCAATCCAAGTATGATGCGGGTATGTGCCCAAGACTGTTCTGACTCCCAAAAGCTACCACGTGATGGTCTATTTAGTTGGGAGAAAACTACGCGTCTCCATTTTGCGGGCATGCTCATGACTTGGGGGGTGTATCAGGAGTGGAACTTGATGACCAAAGACGAGATTCTCAATGCTGGTTTTGAAGGCCGCGCCCGTCAGAAAGATTTCCAACCAAACCTTCAGGGGTCGCAACAGAGCAAAACCTCTGTCTGTCCAATGTATTCGCACCACGATGGGATGGATGACCATACCCCGTTGCTATGAAAAACAAATATTACTCCCATGGAACTTGACCATGGCACACATGAGAAACTGGGATATGAATGGATATGATATTGTTGAATATTCTTTCTTGTGGATCAATTGGTTCCCATATCCATCAGCTAATCTCTCAACACGGCAGGCCTATCGTCGACCCGACGTCGTAGGCTCCTCTTCGTGTTGAAACGAGCCGTTGAGGCTGGGGCCGGTGAAAAACATGGGGACATTCACCAAGATCCAAGAATTGATCGGACAATTTACAGGGAACCCATCGATTTCAGTAGATTTCCCTCAGATCAATCCATTGACAAGAAGAATGGGCATCTAATGATTGGATGCCTTCTCAGAAGTTTTTGGGCCGCAAGATCCAAAATGCTCTGTTCCAGTACTGAAAGCCATCTGAAAAAGAGAAATTCTGCAAAAAAACAAAGGGTCGAACAGATTTGAGAAAAACTCAAATGGAACATGAGTCTGCCAAATAGATATCCGTTTTGAACGAATGAGTGGCATTTTCGAAGATGGGACATGTCCTGCCTTGTACAGAGTTCCACCCCTTCCGAAGAAATTCACCATGAGTGATTCACCTCTGGCCTACACGGCTTTCATGACCGTCTCCGCCACAGGGTGCGTTGGCAGCCTATGATACGACCATCATCAGGGACCAGGAGCAACGGTAGACCTTCAGAAGTGCAAAAACCCTCTGGGTATCATGTGTGATGTGTTTTGGAACGACCCATCTTCCAGGAGATTCTGGAGTACCTGCAGGGTCGCGAGCGGGTGGCTGTGGCCTACAGGCCACGGATGAGTGCCGGCCCTTGCCATTTTTTCTTTGAAGACTTTGTCCGTGAGGCTTGGGAAGAAGATGATCCTACAAGACGTCCAAGCGCAATTAGTGTCCTGGCCAAGCGGCCGTTTGGTGGGGGTCACCCCAGGGTCGCGAATGCGAGCCGAGGAGAGAGCAGATGAGAAGATACGTCAGAAACAGGCAAAGCGGGAGAAGGCTGGAGCCTCAGATGGATCAAATTTTGCTGACTCTGCGATGCTGTGATTTGTCTGTGAATAGGAGACAAGCTGCACCTCTTTTTCCGGCCATGGTATGTTTTCCCAGGACTCCGCCTTGCCCAGCGCGGTCACCGGCAAGAGGAAGAGCCCAACGCCCGGAAAAGGCTTTGGCTGAGAGAACTCGCAGCTCCAAGAAATCGTCGATCGATGACACGATGAATCTGGAGCCCAGGGCATCCCCGCGACCCGAAGGTGAGGCGCCAAGGAGAGCTTGAGATGCTGAAGATCTGCGGAGCATTGACGAAAAAGGGTGCCTGCTGATGGAAGTTACTCGAAAGCTGTTCCTCTTGTGTAATGTTAACCCAGGACGAACATACCTCTATATAGTTACCTAGTTGAATGAGTGCTTACCAATGGTTACCATTTATAGGGCGAAATATAACTATTAGTTGAGGGAGTCGAGGATACACATCTGTCATATGGAGGTTTCACAAGGCAGGGATACCCCTGTTCATCATCCATTTCTAGAAGGATTTTCCATGATAAACCATCCAGCTATTGGAGATTCCCCATGACTATGGAACCCCCCAATATTGTTTCAACTGCCCCAACCCACCAGACGTTGTGAGGCCATGGTCCTCTTCGTCCTGAGCGACCCCAACTTGCCATTTGGTCAACTGCGAATGCGCCACTCAGCTAAGTTCAGCTCAGCTCATGAAGCATCCTTAAGCACTTTGTCAGAATCTAGGACCCGGGAAACCCAAAGAAACCCCAAAGAAAACCCAACATTCTTCCGTCAAAATCCTTCATCTACTGTTTTTGGTGTTATCTTGACAGCTGCCTTCTTTTGGCACAGGCAATGCCTTCGACAAGACCAATCCATGGCTGCGTTCTGCATATGCAGCACTAGGTAGCAAGCCCAGTGTGGAGCACACCAGACGTCAGCAGACAATTTGGTTTGGGTATGGACCTACAAAAGTTGTTCTTTTGCTTAATCATTCAATCATCCATAGTTTGGGGTGTTGATAATTTTGACACATGCGTTTTATTTTGGGTAGTAAACAATCCATTTTGTGGTTGGATCGATTTTTTTGACCCATACCCAATTAGCTTTGAATGATACACTTCGATCCGAACGCCAAGATGAGTTTCAGCCGAAATCTCGATGAAGATGCTGCACATTGTGGCTCATTAGATGGCCCATCTCCCAATGCTGGCAATATTTCATGTCATAAACTGTAATGGACCAGAATCTATTGATATCCATGAATATCCAATTTTACCACAATATTTCAGGTATTCAAAACCCCAAGGAGCAGACCCGGCGCGTCTACCACGGATGGTCGTGTCAGTTGCGACTCGTGCGGCTTCCAAGGACCTCAGAACCGTGTCACTTGTCTCTACATCGGTGCGGGTGCAGCTGCACGGTCTGAGGACAAGGGGGGGTTTTGGAATGGTTCGGATGTAGATGCACATGCAGTGAATACTTGGAAGTCTGTGGTAGCTTTTGGATACGTTTGGATACTTTCGGTTTTTTTTTTTGCACTGAAGCGTTTGGAGTATCAAGACCTCGACCACATGATGCCAAGCCTAGGCCTAATGCCAAGGGGCAAAGGCCCTGGTGACCCTAGTGAACCACCAACAACGGGTTTCACTGGCCACATGGTAGAACTGGACCATTTCTGTCAAATACCATAAATACCATGGTCGAAAATCTCGTTTTCGTCATAGAAGCCATTGGTCAACAGGGTTTAGTCATCTGCCCTGAATCAACGAAAGAATTTGCAGAGGATTGCCACTTCAAATTCTGCAAACTCCCACTTTTTCATCCCAGTCATCCCAACAATCCCATGATATCCCCGATCCCATGATATCCGCAGGAGCTGCTTGCCGCGGAGGCTGCAGCACTTCCTACTGTGCTGTGCAATGCCGCGACTGCCATTGAGGTGGTCCAGTGAGTCCAGTGGGGCCGTAGTCGTATGGCTTTCACCATGAAATTCATAGGGATTCCATCAATGAATCATGGATTTATGGTGAAAACCATGGGATTTGGATTTCTTTCGAAAATATGGGGATATTCCCAAAGTCCGTTGCTTTCAAAATATTGACATGGTGAAAAGGGGCTTTAATGAACAAGAATTAGAGGATATGTATTAATATAATACAGTTACGTTACCATCAATGATATTTGAGAGTCTTCCTATCGTGGAGGAATAAACATGGAAGTCATGGAAAGATGAACTTTCAGGGAATCCCCTTCTGTGATGTTGGCCCAGAAGACACAGCACGAAAGTTACATCTGTACTCCACCCAATCCTGCGTTTTTCACTCCAGAAGGCTATTTGGGTCTTCAAAAAACAGGGAGAATCCCACAATTTTGGGGTTCATCATCATTTTCCCATCATTTTCCTCGTTTTTTGTATGGCCATGGCCGCCATGGTTTTTAAGGAGACTTCGCCATGGCATTTCTTTCGGCATCAGGTTTGGCTCAGTGAATCGGACCTGGGACTGGTGATGCGATTTGTCAACAGACCTGAGGCCGCTGTGTCTTCTGACGTCGGCATGTGATATGACCTGATTCTGGTAGTAACCCCCCAAAAAGATGCTGAAAAGTAGAAATCCTACTAGAAAGGTGATGCTGAAGACTTTGCTATCTTTTTTTTTGGGTTCTTTCTTGAAGTATTGAGCAAGGATGATATAGCCAATGGAACCAACGGGTGATGGGGGACATCAGCCACAACTGGCGATGGAACAATGAACCAGAGACGACACCAACATTTCGAGCATGGAGTCAGAATGCCTTCAACTTGAAACAGGAGCCACAGGATTGTTCCAGCGGTTTTCTGATAGGTATAGGCTATAGGTTTCATGTTTGATGTTTTCTTCTAGTGCCATTTTGGCTCAAGCTGGCTCAGACGACTTGAGCAACATTCCCAGTCTGAAAAACATGGATGCGAAGCGCATCACTGATCTGGTCACAGGCGCAGAGGAAACGGTCACGGACCCAGACGGAGTCAGGTCCAAAGGAGATGAAGGGCGTCCCTGCTGCGCCTGCCGCTGGACCGACAGCAGTGCAACAGCCAGTGGCAGCTGCTTTTGGAGGAGCCTCTGCTGAAAGTGCTTCCCAGGTTTGTGCGCTGCAGGCAGAGATCCGGCGCTTGCATGCGCTTCTTCAGGAGGCCAATAAGCACAAGGAAGATATCACGAAGGGCGTCCCAGCTGCGGCACCGGCTGTTGCAGCGGCAGCAGTGCGACAGTCAGTGGCAGCTGCTCTTGGAGGAGCCTCTGCGGCATCGCCACAGATGTTCGACATCAGCAGTGATTTGGACTGCGGGTCCGAGGCGGCGACGACGCAGACGTTCGACATCAGCAGTGATTTGAACGATGTGTCCGAGGAGCCGGTTTTGCCGGAGATGCCCGTCGCGCCCCCTGAGGACAGCGAAGGTGAGATGGATCTTGTTTGCAGGTGCACCCCAGCCATGCCCGAGCCAGCGATTACTGTTTGTGTGGAAGGCATGGCATTTCAATATCAACTGGTGCACGATGACCCCCACCAATTGTTCATGCGTTACGGATATGTCAAGAAAATTTGCTTGTACGAGGCAGCCACCCGTGCCATTATGATCTTCGATCAAATCCGAAGTGCTCAGGCATGCATTGATGCCCTGAACGGCAAGGTGCCAACGGGTTTGAGAGGAACAATGAGAGTCAACTGGGCGGGCAGCCCGGCCATGGCTTTGAGCGCAGAACTCGAAGCAGTGCGACAGGATAACAGGGCGCTGTTCTGTTTGTACAGGGCATGTGTCCCGAGAGATCCGGTCCAGGTCAACATTGACATCTAGAACTGACATTTGACACATCGTGCGCGGTGATCTTGCTTTGTATTGCATGTACTCAAACCAACGCTGTCCAAAAAAAAAAGTTTGGGCTCAAACTCCCCCACGCCCTACTACCTTCCTTAGTGGGGTGTTTGTACCCACGGGCTGCGCTGTGCAATAGCCTTCGTGCTGTCTTTCGTGGCCACCTGACATTGCACGTGTACTGCTGCTACGCATTTGTGTCCCGGCACATACCTCTCGGGGAGTCGCTGTCGTTGAATCGACCGACTAGAGGTGCTTCTGGACAACTTGGCATTGTGTGATTTTCCACGTGCATTACAAGTTGATCTGTGGGTATTTCTTATAATTTTTGGGGCCTTTGTTCACTGGTTCTGCGGTGGCCATACACCGGGCCCGGAATTTGCAACACAGCTTCTGAACTGGTACTACCCTGGAAGCCTATTTGTGAATTTTGATGCGATTTCAGACCTTTTTTGTGGCATTTTTCAATTTGATTTGCTACAACGGCATTGACATCTGCGCTGCGGAGAAGGCAAAGGCGATCGAGAGCACTTGCCAGGTTTCTGTGGTGGCAGATCAAGAACGGATTGCGAAAAACTGGTGTGGCAACTCTGCGTTGGGTGAAAAAGACGCTGAAGGCTCACCCTTCAAACGATCCTCATCTTGGTAAATTGATCGACAAGAGATTGAAAGTAGCAATGGCAGACAGTGGCAAGCAAAATGCGGGGTGGCTTTGCACATGGTGCAGAGCCATGAATGGGAAGCATGCCAGCCATTGCCATCGATGTGGAGGACATTGGCAAGATACAAACTTCCTACAATGCCTGGCACCAGGAGCAGCGGTACGACCACGATACGTACCAGCAGTGGCCCAAGTCTCCGAGACACAAGTCACCGTGGACATGGGGCAAAGGAAAACAGAAAGGTCGAGGGAAAAGTCCCAGACCAAAGAAACCAAAGACGCCGCGCGGGGGGGAGATTGCACAGCCTCCACCACCGCCAGATGTTCCAGCGGTTCCTATGGTTGCTCCTGGACTCTCATGGATGCAGGCGGCACAGAACATACAGGTGCCTGCACCGCAGACTTCAGAAGAAGCCCAAGCTGCTCCTGCCCCGATACCACCGGAGTACAAGTCGTTGATCGACACACTTCGGAAGAATCAATCCAAAGGCACTTTGCCGGAGGATGTGCAACAGGAAATGAGAACGATCCAAGTCAAAGAGGAAAAAAAGCAGAACAAAGAATTGAACCAAGCAGTCAAGGGTTTGCGGAAAGCACGCAAAGAGCTGCAGGATTCCTTCGAAGCAGGGCTTTACGAGTCAATTTCAAGCCCAAGAGCAAGTTGCCATGACAAGGATCAGCGAAGCACAGCAGACACTCAGAGAAGCAAAGGCTCAGCTGGCTTCATCCAAGGAGATTGCGGAGTGGCATCTCAAGCGGAGGGCTCTACAGCAGATGTCGACCTTATTTCGGAGGACGACACATCCAAAGTGACAGACAGTGCACTGAAGATGCAAGATGGTATGCAGAGCCTCACCGCAACATTGGAGCAACTACAGCATGCAGCAGAAGCGATCCACGAAAGCGAGCAAGCCGCCAAAAAAGCCCGGCTGGACAGACCCTGTGTATTGCAGTGTTACACCTTGCAAGAGGTGGAGTATTCCTCAGCGAACACCCTGCTTGTCCGGAGGATGAAGAAAAAGCCAGTATTTGGAGGTCGGCACTTGTAGGTTTGTTGCTGAAGGATCCAGTCTGCAAGCTTCAGACTTTTGGCCAGTGGAAATGGGGTAGTGCAACACCCAAACCCACAGGCCTTTTGAGTATCAGATTGCCTTTTCTGGCCAAATCAATGTACGCTTGTGCTGATGGAATTCTTCCTTATCCTACGCGAGTGGCACAGGGAACTGATGAGCACGGCTCTTTCCACGCAGCAGCATGCAAGGAATATCCTCCTCTATTTTGCAAAGCTCTTGCGAGAGTATTCACTGATCAATTTGAGGCCTCGTTACGTGCACGAAAGGCAATTAATTGCATGGTGGATAACTCACTCCTGCACAGACGGCTGCATGAAGCAGCTACCGAGAGTGAGCCAATCCACAATTTCACCACATTCCGGCCTGATTTCCAAGGACGTTGTTAGTGGAGTGCACTTACGAGACCTAGTCTTTTGTCCTTTAATTTGCATGTGAAGGGGCATGCAGTTGCAATAGCAGCAAGAGCTAGACTCTTAGATGCGCAGCAAATGGCAAAAAAGTGGGACACACACATTTGCTAGCCCTAAATATATCTGGAACATCCCTACTTATATATGGGATTATAGGGGTTATATATGGTTTATATATGGATTACAAACCAGTTATGATTCGTGGGATGCACATCCAGCAGCCACTAAGACCTAATGTGTAGGCCCGTGGGGTCAGGTCTATGAGATGCCACCGGGCTGGCCATACACTCACCAGGTGCGAATCCATTTTTGTGAAGGGCAGCGATTGGGAGTTTGTTTTAAAATAACCAATCATTGAATATTAAATAATAACCATCAATCGTCATCAATCATCATCAATCATCATCAATCTCCATTTTGATAGAACAATCCAAAGAATCATACTGTAAATTGTGTATACATTGGCCATTTTCATCCATCGGATCCATCGCCAGAGGGCTACACATTCCATTGCAGTCGTCCAAGGTGTTGGAGGACCCTGCTGCGGGTGCTGCGCAGCTGGAGGTCCGAGTGACTGCGAGTGATTTTCTTTTTGGTATTTTTTTTTTCTGAAAGACTAGGCTCCAGGATTCTTTGGGATTCTGATTCCGAGTTAATTTTTTTTATGTTTTTTTTGGAAAAACCGAGCATGAATCATGTTCCTGGAACTTTTGGAAAGGATTTCTGTTTGGATTTTCCAAAGTGGATTTCGGGCTTTCGTTTCAGGCCGACGAAGTAGAGGCGGCTGAAGGTGTGGTGGGTTTGATGGGCTTGGGACAACCAAAATGGAGAGTTTTGATGACGTAAACATCAACTTGTAGCATCTAGCCATCCACTTTGTTATCCCTTTATAGCACTTCATTTAGGTACCTACCCATCCGGCGATAAGTATGATATTGGCATTTGTTTCCATCATTCAAATCATTTGGGTGTCTATCCATCCAATTTTAAGTATCGCAACATTCATTGTTTGCAACACGCATTGAGGTTGTGGTGATGATTGATCACCTGCAGAGGACATGTGTTTTCCAAAATAATAGTAACCCTGTTGTATCAAGGAAATAACTGGAAGGGAAAATGTTAAAAACTGAGTCAGACCAACTTTGTGGAATCTTGGTTGCTATTGACAAATTGAACATCGAACAATGGCAAATCCACCCGGCTGGGGTGTTGGGAGGCGCGCCATTGCTTCCACAGCGAGGAACCCAAGGTTTTGTGGAATCGACAACGGAGTATGGCTCCGACAGCCGACAAAAGGCTGGTCGTTGTGAGTATCAAGCCATCCAGTTTTGAGGATACCCACTGATCCAGCTGAACCACCGATGCCGAGGTCTTTGATTGGACCCAGCCCGGGTGAACAGTATGCTGGGACCTGAAGGATCTGAAATTTCGAGACTTAGACATGTGGGTTTGTCCAACCCCAAAGATGCCATCTGTATAGGAGATTTGATGATGCTTTGGATTTCAGGTAGCCACGGGTAGGCTCTTTTCAGACTAATCCATTCATTGTTTAAGTCTCTATTGATTAAATACCCAGGGGGATCATCCCATAGATATCTCACGCGAACAGCTGAGGCACTGTTCGACCTCAACCGAGACAATCCCACAGACATCCCGGATGTGGCCGGGTGTCCCGAAAGTCGCGGCGTAGCCTTCAAAGCTTAGATTTCACATGGAATACAACCGATTTCGGTCATGTTAGTCGCTCATTCTTGTGAGTCCCATGTTAGACCCCTTTGGGTAGAACTTATGAACTTTTTTCTGTATCAAAATGTATGCAATCAGGTCGACTTTCTCGTGATGACTGATGTTGGCTCTTTCTCATTCCTTTTTCCATAGGCTTCTAGGTTCTATCAGTTCCACTCTCTGAGGTAATCGGACATGGCACTGGAAAATCCTTAATTTTTTTTCCGAAAATCATCTGCATATATGACATTTTTGAAGGGGAGTCTTCCAGCAAACTAGGTTAGTATATACTGAATGACAATTCCCCAAACAGTGTTGGTAAAACCGTTAAACCCATTCTTTTGTGGCTGAAGAAACCCTTCCTCTTGGTCCGTTTTTTTCTTGGTGATAAGCAACCGGACCACTTGCAGGCGCTTGATCTCATGTCTCCCAGCTGTGCTCTGGCGGCCGGGCTCTTGAGGTTGTTGGCAACGGGACGGTTAAGGGATGATTAGTTGATAATTGGATACATCATTAATCTCTTCATGGGATGGAGAATGGTTCCCACACATCAATAGTTGATCATTAAATATTCGATACATGGCATATGCCACTTGTGTTGGTTCACATCTCGTTTTTGGATGGGGCATCCCAGTGAGAACGACGCTGAGGCGCTACAAGAACGGCCCCATGGTGATGCGATTTTGCTGGCCGGTCGAAGGTGCGACTGCGGATCGTTGTTTCAAAGTGGGGATAGACCAATGGCAATTTCGATAAGGAACATGGGGGTTTAGCCTGTGGATTTTTTTTGGCTTCCCAATTCTGGGGACAATCGCATTTTCATGCAATGAGAGTTCGGGTTGCAGCAAGCTGTAGCCGAGGGGGTTGATAACACCGTTGATAATTGAAGAGTCTGACTGTTGCTACTTATCTTGGCGTTTGAAAGTGCCTAGGTATCCTTCTCTTGCAAAGCTACAGAGCACAGTGGCGGATATTGTCATTGAGCAGGACAGGCCTTTTGGATCTCTTAATTGGGGCTGGTCATGGCTGTTCCGACCAGACTGACCAGACTCCAGGAGCCGGGGCAGCACCTCAGATTCGAGGACGACGAAGACGCCATGAAGACCTTGTTGAGCTTCCATCCAGAGGGAGACAGGTGAGGGCTGGGCAACACAAGACACGGGCACAACTGCTGGGTGTTACCCAGTTGCCACCCCAGTTGCATCCATTGAACTCGAACAAAACCATTAGTCGCCATGGATTTTTTGCAGGCTATCAGGCTATCCATTTATTTTTCAATATTTTTCAATCCATTTTTCAATCCATCCCATGGATGATCAGTTGGATAACCATGGATAACATCATTTTTCATCAGGAGATAACCTGTTGGCTCCCAGGTTACTAGAGGACCTGGTGGCCATCAAAGTGGACTCTTCCCCCGTGGACGATGATACGAGGTGCGTTGAGCTGTGGGTGTTGACATCACCGAGAATTTGAGTGAGCTATTAGTACTACTATTAACATCTATATATTATCATTTTCATATAATCATTATTGTCATTATTATTAGTTGAGTTCTAAAAATGTTTAGATAGATGTGTTTTTTTCCTGTTTTTTTTGGTGTTTTGAGATATTCTTAGCCAGTCTTGGAAAGTATGTATGCATGTCCGTTGTCCATTTGGGTTGCACTCACTTCAAAGAGGTGATGAAAAAACATTGCGGCAGGTGTTTGTGGGTCATCAAGTACGATGGCTACGAGGACGTTTGCAGAGCATTACAATTTACATTCTTCTTTTTGCAGGGAACGCAATGGTTCAAGTGGGTTTCTTTCAACATTGGATGGTCCACTTAGTCTACTTAAAATCAATCTCTCACCGAACAGCCATGAACCTTTGAATCTATGGTGCCCCATGGTGCCCCCGAGCGATCCCACTATTCGGCTGAGGAAGATGTGAGCCTCAGGGCTTGCCTCGAAGGCAGGGAGACGCTTGGAGACTACTGATACTGGTCAAAAATCGTTGCCCTATCAAAATTAGGAGATTTCCTAAGTCATGGGGGTATTCCCCAGTCATCCTCCATTTTTTCCTAGGATTTTTCATGAAATAAACCATCCAGCTATTGGGGTACCACCATTTTAGGAAACCACCCTTAGACCAGGAAGCCATGCACGGCGATGCTCAGAGGCTTGGAAAACGTGTTGAATCTCGAAGACACCCAGACCAAGCAAGAAGGCGGCTCTGGTCTAAGGGTTGAGAGGTTTCAGCTGAATGAGACCAAGCTATCATTTTGTTGGAGAGTTCTTGATATGTTTACCAACTAGATGAACTAGATCCGAATCAGAGAGCAACAACAGACTTTCTACTGTGAGATGTTCAATTCATCAGATCTTTTGAAACGACCTGAAGCAGAGGACAGGCGATTCAATCAGCCTCTGGCAAACTCACATTTTGCTATGGAAAATCACAATTTTTACTGGGTAAATCAACTATAAATCCATTTTCAATAGCTATGTTAGTTTACCGGAGGGCAATTGAATGCTTGAAAGATTGTGACTGTGTAGTATTACATGTTATGCGCAAATTTCGTGGCTCCTGCTGCCCTGCCCTGATCTTGGCATCAGTTTCGTGCCCAGATGTTTCCTTGGGGGGCTGATGTTTCAACAAGCAACTACAATCGAAAAAAGAAGCACACCATCAGAAGAAGACTGTTTCCACTATTGGTTGTAGGTGATAAGGATTATACGATATTATACGTCACTTGCAGCCTATCCTCAGTTTTCCAACTCGACTCAGTTAGCACTGCATCTAATTAGAAGCCTTGGAAGTTCCCGGCGTCGAACGGCGTGTGCCGTGTGACACGGGTCGTGGTCGTGGTCGAGATGTGGCAAGGATCCATGGGTCGAATGGAGGAGAGGCTCAGAAAGGAGATGGCCACCACCACGAAGCCCTTTGATGTGTGGTTCTCACTGAGGCCAAACACAGCCGGATGTCTGAAAATCTGAAAATGATTGAACATGTGGATTTTCTTATTGTCCATCTCAATGGCATTTAATGGCCCAAGGGGCCACATGCACACGATTTTTGGACACAGCCAGTTATCAGAATCTGTATTAGAGTAGGACGCACGAAAACAGATGGGCGCCCCCAATCGGAATCACAGACACCAGCGGTTGCCAGAGTGAGGCAAAAAATGCCATGCGAGGCTGTGTCATCTTCTTCTCTGTCAGTAGTTTACCAAGTAGATGATTACCAAACTCGCCAAGCAACTCGTGCCTTTTCCATGCCGACACCGCGTACGTGTCAGGTGTCTTGGGCTCATGACCTTTTTCGGCTGCATGTCCGCCATCTTCTACCCGGTCCTGTGGATCGGTGTCATCGTGCTGAGTCTGGTGCCGCAGATCGGTCAGTTGTATGCCCCACCCCTGGTGATCCTAACGGCCTTCGGCACGGTCTATGGATTGCTGATGATTGCCATCTACTACCTCAACACCCGAGTAGGCCAGTGGAGTACTATACTAACATATACAAAAAGTATAAAACAGGCCCCAAAACATCAGCCAAAAAGCAGAGAGATGGGTTTGGGGCCGAGATGTTGAGAGATTGTCAGATATCCCCATTGATGATATTCATGATATCTGACTTGTATTCAGTTTTATTTGGAGTTGATTTCTGTCGCTGTCATCCACTTTTTGCTGTTGAATCACTCTGTTTGATGACAAAACCAACCATTTCTGATGGTTAAACCATGTTAAACCCACCATTGTTTGTAAAGCCTTTTTTGCTGTGAGGCATCTCGCTTCTCCACATGGCCTGTAGCGTTTCCCTGGCGTGCCTTGGGCTCTTTGGCGCAACGATGGCTGAGAAGATGTTGGCCGAAAATAGACAGGCGCCTTTGGCCAAAAACGGCGGAACCAACGATTCCTTGGGAGGCTTTGGTGAACGCAGTTCCCAAGTTTGGTCTCCAGTCTTTTTTTCGGAGTACATCTCTACTTCGACTGGATGAATTCCTTAATTTCTGGTAGAGATGTCTCCGTTTTGAGGGTGAAATACTCCAAGTTTCTTTGTGCCCCGAAGCGACGAGGCCGAGAAGAACGGCAAGGTGATGCTTCGCATAGTGGCGCAGGGGAGGCCAGCTGTGATCATCCCATGGACAGCAACCCCCCATGTGGCGGTACCTGATTTTGACTCATACCCTGTCCCCCAACTGGATTATCCATATTATCCTCTATAAGTAGCTAATCATCCTACTGATTAGCCAGTGACGAGTTGCAAGGTTGGTTTGTCAACCACATTAACTCTAGATATATCTTCCATATAGCAGTTAACCTATATATATATAGATAGGCATGTTCACCAACTTAGCGCGTCCGAACTGGGGCACCAGCAACCACTTACCAATTCCTCTTATATGCAGAAAAAAAACACCATAGTGATAGGGGTCCCATCTTCCAACTTAGGTTATACCCTTCAAAAAAATCCAATCTGGAGATGGTTTTACTATGATGATCTCACATTTCCTATAATTTCCCATGTTTTCGGTGTGAGCGCCTTGAGGAGCGCAACGCTTTCGTCCTTTTTCAACACCCCCCTGACCCTGGGGTGGGGTTGGGGTTGGGGTGGGGGTCATGTTAACGTTCATCTGAAGTTGCACACCCACGTGATGCTACGCTGGGTATGGGGTGGGGTTGGGGTTGGGGTGGGGGTCATGTTAACGTTCATCTGAAGTTGCACACCCACGTGATGCTACGCTGGGTATGGGGTGGGGTTGGGGTTGGGGTGGGGGTCATGTTAACGTTCATCTGAAGTTGCACACCCACGTGATGCTACGCTGGGTATGGGGTGGGGTTGGGGTTGGGGTGGGGGTCATGTTAACGTTCATCTGACGTCGCACACCCATGTGATGCTACGCTGGGTATGGGGTGGGGTTGGGGTGGGGGTCATGTTAACGTTCATCTGAAGTTGCACACCCACGTGATGCTACGCTGGGTATGAGGTGGGGTTGGGGTTGGGGTGGGGGTCATGTTAACGTTCATCTGATGTTGCACACCCACGTGATGCTACGCTGGGTATGGGGTGGGGTTGGGGTTGGGGTGGGGGTCATGTTAACGTTCATCTGCAGTTGCACACCCACGTGATGCTACGCTGGGTATGGGGTGGGGTTGGGGTGGGGGTCATGTTAACGTTCATCTGAAGTTGCACACCCACATGATGCTACGCTGGGTATGGGGTGGGGTTGGGGTTGGGTTGTGGTCAAACACTCCCGTGCAGAGTTCATGCGCAAAAGAGGTCGAGCTCGCACAGCGGGCACGCAGCAGTTGCATAGGCAGTGGCACCATGTAAAGAAAAGTGTGCCGCACCAATGGACAACGACTTCCAAAGGGAAGATCAGAGAGCGAGCTCTTGGAAGGACAGTGGCATCACCTCAATGAAGGACACGTGTTCACCAGCCTCGGAAAGTTGTGCAAGCACCACCGAGATGAAAGGTAGAAAAAAAAGATTGCCAATGAAGACAGCTTGGAACACAAATGCAAATACATTGCAAAAAACAATGAACTTGCACAAAATCACCCATTTGGGGCGCGCAGTTCTACGTTTTTGCTCATCTGCATATCCACGATCAACATGATACATACTAAAAAACCTTGCGTTTTCTCACAATATGTCAAAAACATGTGATGACGCAGACATTGAATATCGCAAACAGTACAGCGCTCCTGCGGGCGCTCTGACCATGTTTTCCCAGTCGTTTCCCACCGCCATTGTGTCCGGGTCGGTATGGAGGTATACCGTGACTCCCATCTTGGCCCTGGGTAGCCTGTTACCGTTGACCAGTTGGATCTCGGCACTCTGCGTGGCTTCGGTCTGCGTCTTCGCTGTGAAGAGCGTCAGATGGCTGCTACTCTTTCACTGCTGGGGAGGACATTTCGATTCCAAGTCGGGGAAGCCCATGAAGGCCGGGCGAAAGCACCAAACAGAAGAGGTAGGGAGCGTGTACGTATGTATATATACATATATATACATATATATATATATAAACAGCCATATTAAACGTACATGATATGTACATATCAATAGCTCTATTTCAATATCAGAAGAATACGTAAAGAAATGGATAAACCTGATTACCTGGTGATGTCCACCGGTTCAAACTGCCAGGTCCTTCTCACGGGCGATTCGTTTCCACCGAAACTCGATGGAGTGCAGAACTTCGCGCGGAATACGATCCAAGCCTTAGTGAGAGATGGGCACAAGGCCGGCCTGCATAACTGGATGGTGCCGAAAGCAACAGATGAATCCTGGTGGGCGAAAAATGTATAAACATGGATATGAGATCTATATGACATATCTGACAGTCACTATTTTAAGGGTGCTTGGAATAAACAATCATGGACATTTTACTGTCCTGTATGTGTTTTTGGGGATGTATCTGACAAACATAGGGATGACATGTCATCAACCAGGGTAATACACATACCTGCAGGCGTGTGATGGAAGTTTGTTGGTCAAATCCTGGGATTTGGGGATTTGTATTCCGAGTGAGATCTAGTGTGGTAAATCCAATAAACCCTCCCAATGACTTACCACAAATGGGGATTCAACTCGTCCTGAAATGGTAGCTGAGTTTCTACCAAACTTACTCAAAAACAATGGGGGTCGACTGTCATGGCTGACATGGCAGGTGCATGTGTTTTGCAGCAATGGCAGCCCAGAGACACCCTTCGCGCCGGAGAACTATGGAGCCACCGTGACAAGGGGACCTGGAGTGGAGATTCAACCAAAACATAAGATCACCCTTCCCTCTCCTCACTTTTTAGTTCCTTGGTAAATCTTGGGGACAATCTTTTTTTGGACAGCGAAAATTCTTGGGGGTCATTCTACATCATCCCCATTTGGGAGGTAAAACCAATGCCATAAACCTCGAATGTGGGTAAAACAATGCCATAAACTTAACCATCCCCCAGTCAGAAAACCATTTTTTGGTTGGTGGTATGTGACTACCATTCCCAGTCATGGCTGGTTTATTTTACCATTGTTTTACCCACATTAGAGGTTTATTAGGTAAACACACATGGATTTCTTTGGCCTCAGGCAGCCTTGATGCACTTCAAACCACACATCATCCAGTTCTTCGACTTCACGCCCATGGCCTTCTTCATGGTCGCCTTTTTGTGGTGGCTGGGATTGCCTGTGGTCATCTCACACCACAGCAGAATAGATCTCTATGCCACCTATGTCCCCGGCTTCATCGGGGATTACTCCCCTCAGGTCATGAGGGCTGCCTGCGAAGTGGTTTTCCCATTGGTCACCGGGCATCTGTTGATCGATGGCAACCAACGGGACCAGAGTTGGTTTGCAGGGCATTCCAACATCCGTTTCTGGTCGACCGGTTGCGACCTGGACTTTTTCCATCCTTCCAAGAAGGATTCCAAGGCCAGCCCTCGGCGGGAGTGAGATGGACCCAATTTGCTTCGCATTTATAGATACCCTCTGGTTATTTAACATAGCCATGGTATAGACGGCCCATAGAAATAGATGGTTTACCTATTAATAGCATGGTGATTTTCCATGGCTATGTTAGTCATAACCAGATGGTACATATATATATATATAGGTATATATATATATATATGTATATGTATATGTATATGTATATGTATATGTATATGTATATTGAGAATTCAATAGGGGATATCAGCCCTACACCTAGACACCCTGTCTATCCGCAAGCCAGTCTGATTCCTTTTCCACTCAAGATCCCGATCCCACCCACCTCGACCTAGAGCCATGCATGTGGCACGGCAAGACCGGCGAGTTGAGGTTGCATGTCATGCATGAGTCCAATGGTGTCCACAGGTGTCCCAAGAAGTCAGCACTGATGAAATGGATGATCTCATGTGGCCAAAATCACACTCGTCAAAATCTCAAAATTTTGAAACTTTTGTTTCCATGTTCTGCATGAGATCATGTGCTGGCTTCTGCACCTTGGCCTCCTGCTCTGACAGCCACTTCAAACGCTCACGCTTATCGGCTCTTTGTCGCAGAATGTCCAATTCATCAAACATTGAGTACTTCTTAAGTGCCAATGCTTTTCTAAGAGTACCCCCATCCATGACTTTTGTCAGACAGTCTGCAAGCATGGCCTGACTACAGACCCAACGGAGTTTGCAATTCTCAGTCAATCTTTCCCTAATCAATAGACACTCCAGTGTTGTCCGAAATTCCTCACACACCGGTGTTGATGTCTTTGTTGACAAATCGAAAACTGATTTGCAATCCGTTGCAATTGATGCCAGCGGAGACTCTTTGAGCACTTCGGTGGGATTGGTCCAGTCAATGCTTGGGTCCAGAAGCCATGACCAAAGCAAACGCAACCAACTCAGCCTATCCAATGTACTGCTAAGTGCTGATGCCTCAGCACTGAGTGTACTCCTTATGACACGAGGGATTTTCCGGCTGGACCAAGCCATTGGACAAATCACTGCCAATTTGTTCTCGGCCATTCGAGAATCTGTCGTGAAAATGATGGTACCCTGTCGTGAGGCCGTTCCCTTCTTTGTCTCAAAGGAAGCATCAGAAAAGGCACAAAATGAAACCTGACTCTCAGGTATTGGAACAATGACAAGGTTTACATGATTTTTCTTGGCCTCGAACAGAGTGCGATTCGCATCGAGGAGATCCTCTATGCATGCTTTTGGAATCAGTGATTGGAGAATACCCACCTTGGCGCTTATGTCAGGCCTGGTTTGGACCGCAGCGTATTGAAGAGAGCCCCACAGCTGGCGGAAGACTTGTCTTTCCGTTTCTGTCACTGGTGACTGAGGCTCCTTTCTACGATGTCGACAGACTTGGATCGGGTCTATTCTTTCGATATACTTCTTTTGACACATCTCAATACTTCCATCCCTCCATTGACGATAGTGGATACCACAGAAGTCAAATTCCCCAGTATTAAATGCCCCAAACGAGTACTTTCCCCGCAACTGTTCTATGACACTCATGAAGTAGTCATCTCCTCCCCCGATCCCGTCGTCCACATGTATGCCTAACACACCACGCACCCAAGGTCGACCTTGTGAGTCTTGTGTCACAAGCGAGAAAACACAGCCATCCAGTGGACAAACCATGAACCCCAAACTTTCCAGGGTCTCCCTAAATGATTGATACCAAAGATAGGGTGCATCAATACGCCCATAGGCTCCCCCTTCCAAACCACATTGGTCCATGGATGTCATTTTCAGGGCTGCTGCAATCTCAGGTGGTGGGTGTATCCCAAGTGGTCTCCCGTCCCCGGCTCCTTTCAGAAAAGCTGTTGAAACATCAAAATTGATCAAAGTCCAGCCACAGCTTGCAACCTTCTGCAAAATCAACTGCTTTCCATCCTTGCTCAACGTTGGAGCATCATTTGGGACTGAGGATATGTCTGGGTCTTCAAATCCCAGAATCACCAGTCGTGCTTTGGCACGTTTTTCTACCGTGCCTGGCAACGGATCTTTCCAGGTCAAAATCCACCTGCACCGCATGATACGATTTTCGGGTAAAGCCCCTTTTGCTAGTTTTCTTACAGTTCCATGGTCAATCCAAGCCTGTACCTCCTTCGCCTTTGCCTTTCGAAACAACTCCCTCTCAGCTTGGTCTAATGTTTTCCATTGGACTTCAACCCTTTGTTTCTTTGCGGTGGTGGCTACAAGAATGCATTCAGCCAAGCTGCCATCTACCACACCCTCTTCGAGAGGCATCTCAGGAGACTCCATTAAAGTGATTTCCCATACTCCAGAAGTTGTTGGTGGCCCTTCAAAATCATCCCCGAAAACAGCAAGTGAGTCATCATTCTCATCATCGGACATTGGTACTGGAATTCCGAGACCCCCTAAATCCCCACTTACAGGTACACCATCTGGATTGTTTACTTCGGGGTCTCCCATTTCGGGGTTTCCACCCAACTGACTTTCCGGGGGAGAAGCTTCATCTTCGGGTTGTTCGCTATCTAGATCAATGATGGGAGTCGGAGCAAGAGAGGGCTCATATTCATCATCACCTTCATTTGAACCAACAGTTGGAGGAAATTCATCCAGTTCTACATAGTTCCGAGTCCTAGTGGATACTTGTTCATCCCTTACATGACCATGCTCATCCCTAGGTAACGCATGATACTCTCTCATGGATGCAGGCCTCAAATGTTGGGGGCTGGCACGAATCAGGTATCCCCCATGACTCAACCACACAACTCGGGCTTTCTCAATGACCTGAGCTGGACCATACCAGCGGCCTCTCTCATGTCTTATGTTGCCCCTTACCCTCTTCCAGTAGAGGACCCAGTCTCCCGCTTCAAATTCGACCGCTCCTGGTCGACTCCTCCGGAGGAGCGCACGCCGGCAAGAGCTGTCATTGTCAGCCCTGATGAAGGCTCGCCTTGCCTGCTCCCTACGCTCTAAACTAGCCCTGAAGCGCACTCCCTCTGGTGTTGAGCTCTCAGCCAAAAGGTGAGCTCCTGCCTGGGAGTCGGCGGTCAGCGAAGCCGGCAGAGCTCGGGCTTTGCCCAGCAGCGCCTGCTCTGGAATGAAGCCTTTGGCTCTTGACAGGGAATTCTTCGCAGAAAAAGCTTGCCTCAAACACTGCTTAAACTCCTCCCCATCCTTTATTGGGTTGTCCTGGTCCATACGAGTCAACATATCCTTGATGATCCTACCATGTATCTCAGCCCTGCCAATTTGCCAGTGGCTTTCCCCGGCAGCCATGACTACCTGGATGTTTTCTTGCTGCAAACGATCATTCCATTTGGGGTTTACATACTCTCCAGCAGGATCAAGATACAAAGTTTTGCACGGACCAGCCCAATGCAGCCAAACATCCTCAAACACCCTAATCTGCTCTTCAACAGTTCTGCCGCTTGGTGCACCAAGATGGAAAAGGGTGCCCTCATCGATAAAATGCATAAAGTGGAATGTTTGTCCCATCTTTGACTTCCAGTAAGCCCCATCAGCCCCTACTACGTCGTTGAAATCCAAATCATCATGAATCGATGAAGGATGAGGCAACTTTGGTTTCTTCTGGGTTTCAAGACAAACATCACACTGCATATCTAGAGCACCTTGCACCACAGTTGGCTCGGCACCCTGTTCGAGGAGGAGACGCTGATGTCTCGCTGGATCTGGATGGCCCAAATTACGATGCAATCGGACCAAATCGGTTCTCTGCTGTGCACTAAGTGCTCTAAAAGCGGGCCCATGCCTCGGAACAATTTTCGGGGCCCATCCAGGAACCAACGCTTCTGCTTCGGGCTGGCTTTCTTCTACTGTTTTCTGTTGAGAATTGGCCAGAACCGTCATTGAACTTGGAACAGAGGATCCCTCTTGTTGGGTGATAGGCGCATGCATCTCAACATCAGGCATTTCTTGAGATTCCACAACAGGTACATCCAAAAGACACCTTTTTCCAAAAACACTGATAGAAATCTTCGCAGGGACTGCCTTCCTCACCTGTTTGGCCTTTGAGAGTTGCTGCCATTCTTCAAAATCACCCAAAACTTGGACCTCACCGCTTTGCCGATGGACAACCACAGTTTTACGAAGGGGGATATCATCCCGAATGATGTCATTCTTTGGAACTCGGTACCTTTCGGTGCCCCGACACAAGAGGACAAATTGGATGTTGATTTGTGGATATTGCTCTTGAAGTTGAATAACCCGGGGGTCATCCCTCCAAAAGTATGCCGCACCAACCCTTGGAACATCCCTTTCAAAACTGGTGATTACCCCCTTCCAATCCACCACATGAGCTCCAGTTGATGAATCTTCATCCATGTCCTCAGGGAACGGAGGACTCTTTGTCCCATGTCGCCGCCGACACCGCCGCATTTCCAAAACTTCTTGTGCCACTGGTCGCTTGGTCCCCTTTGAAAGTTCTTCTCCAACCAACAATTCTTCGAGGATCAAAGGTTTTTCTCCCATTCCCAAACTCTTGATAATGCCCTGGACCACTTTTCGTGCAAAAACCGCAGTATAGGCAGCAGCATAGGCAGATACTTTCACCCATGGTTCACCTGGTGCCTTTACACTACCTTTGATTTGCTGATGTTCATGATTCCTTGGACATCGTTGATTGTGAAGCTGTCCATGAACTATCCTACTTGTGGTAAGGACTTGACTTTGTTTCCTCAAAATTTTTTCTGTGTAGGGACCCCGGAGTTTACCAGCTTGGCACATGTCGAAGTATGCGGGAAGGGTACCTGTATGGACATCATACAACTGCGGTTGCTTTATCATGTCTGACCCTCTGGGTTGCTCCAAGTGAAAGTGACGTCCATTTGAGACCTGGAAAAGATAAAGTTGGTTACACAATTCTAAATGACAGATGTCACCTTGCCTGCCTTGCATGATCATGTTTCTGGTGGTAACACTTCGACCCATGTTGAACTTTGAGAAGGATCCCCAAAACTTACACTCAGGTGCAACCCATATGTGTTCGGGTTCATACATCATTACCCAAGACCAGAGTTTGTTGATCCCTTCTGGGGTTGTCAGATCACCGTGCAAACGTGTAAACCGAAGTGCAATCCCTCCCATTCTTTTCATTTGTTGTGTCAGTTGGGACTCCTTTTCACAGTATACTTCTAAGAGAACAACAGGCCGACTCTGGTTAGTGGGCTTTTGGGGTTCCAAGACATTGGCCTTTTGCCTGATTTGATTAAAGTCTCTCTCGATCACCCCAACGAATTGATCAATCTGGGCCTGCAGCCCTTGAACTTGAGCCTCACTCAGAAGTGCTGGTACACGTTTCAGATGTCCTCTTCCTCCGGAATCTGTGTCTCTCGCGCCAGCTCCCTCTGCAGGAGGGCAATCTGTGTCTGGATCTGTTGCACTCGCTCGGCATTCTGTTCCACGGTCATCTTGGTCTTGTTGGGCTGCTCCCAATCGGATGTGGTCCGCTTGGATGCCTGGGTCTTCTTGGCATTGGCGGACGATGCTCCTGCCTTGGTGATCACTTCCCACCCTGTCTCGGTCTTTCCCTGAGGTGCCGAAGGTCGAGTGGTTGTCGGTGACTTCGATGACTGCCCCGATCCTGCTGATGATGGCAGAATGGGAATCTGATTCAGTGTTTCGTACTTCCGCCGGGCAATCACGTAGTTCTGTAGATTCCTCAGCCACGGTGACACTGCTTTGCGGTTTCGGATCTGGAAAATGTAACAGGGATGATTGTTGTACACCTCCGCAAAGGTCTGTCCCTGTTGAACTCCCGAGGGGATCTTGGTCTCGCCCCACTGCTGCAGATTCGTGATCCCTGGTGGGACTTTGTACTGCCGATCGGGTGCATCCATGTACACTCGATCTGATTGGAGACCTGGGTCTTCGTCCCCTGACAGATCCTGCACCAGATATGAGGACTTCATCTCCTTTGAGCTTCCCATTGCTTTGCACACTCTGGTCGGTCGGAGATGGTGTAGATGGCAGCTCAACTTGAGCCTGTACTTTCGCAGAAATAGCGGTGTGACATGACTCTACATGAGGTGGATCCTGTACAATGAATTGAGATTGAGTGGACATGCATGTTCGAGGTGGGATATTGGACCGTTCTACTTTTTCATTTGTCATGTCTCCCTTTTCCTTGTGGTTGACCTCTTGTTGATAAATCTCTTCTACATGTTTCCAATCAGTCTCATTACTTGGTATGTTCAGCAAATCAACGACTCCAACGCAAAGCAGATTTTTCCTACAAGTTTTGAGGGCAACTGTTTTGGGATTTCCCAGGAACCTCAATACCTTGTTTCGTGGGTCAATCATGACTCCAAGTTCTTTCATGATTGCATTAGATACCAAGAACGGGGTGCGACCCTGCACAACTTCCACTCGGATCCAGCCCTTTTGGCGCCGTGGAATGCACAGTGCGCACATACTCTGAAGTGTGCCACTGTTGCCGAATCGAAAATTGACCGATGAAGCCATCCTCTTAATGGGGGTTCTAACGTTCCCAGACAAAGCTTCTAAGAGGCCCTGGACCCTTTCACTGCCAATCACTGACCTACTGGCACCAGTATCTATGACGGCTTCTCCGGCACACTCTTCAGACATTAAAATCACGGCTGGAGAAAACAGGCTGGTGGCTTCGGAGTCTTCTGGCTCTGAAGTTCGAGTGGGCTCTGCGGTCGGTGCCAACTTCACGGCATGTCCATGCTTCCTACAGCATTTTGATAAAGCACTTTGAAGCAACCCCTTGAAAACTTGATTGGTGGACTTAAACTTTGTCAAGGTACCTGATGATACTGCCAAATCATTTGATTTTGACCCCTCAAAATTTTGAACATCCCCGTCAATCATGAAACACTCCTCAACTTCACAAACCCCTGAGGCATCATGAGGTGTCAAAATCCCTGAGTTTTGGCCTAACGTGCCTAAGTCCTCGGCAGATTCTGGGAGCTCGTCGATCAACTCCATGGCAGGCATCTGATCCTCATGGTCTTCGGGATGGGCAAAGAGCGCCTCTGCGATGGAGATGGTCTCCGTGGTGCCCTTGCCCTTGTTGTCCCCCTTGTTGAGGTTGAGGGGGCACTCACGCTTCCAATGCCCAAATTGTCCACATTTCCTGCAGGCTGATGAGGCAATTCGATCTGCTAAAGATCGGAACTTGGTGCCCTTGGACCCCATCTTTCCTTTCTTCCCCTTGCCCTTGCTGGCACCTGGACCACTCATCGGCCAGAAGCCCCTGATTCGTGCTCGTTCCCTGAGTCTTGTTCTGGCCTCAAGGTACGTTGCATAACAGCTTGCAAGCTCTGGAGACTCCTGAGCAACTTCGATGAGCGTCTCCTCAAAGTCGTTGATGAAGATTGCATCCTCATCTCCCTCATCATACATGACTTGGAAGACGGTGTCCTCATCGCGGCCATCGTTCTCCGAGAGGACCATTGCTGTCTCTTCTGAGGCACCATCAGTGATGTTGATGTCATAGGTCTTTTTGTTCGGCTTCACCCCTTGGAGCTCCTGGAAGAATTTGGCTCCCAGCAGTCGAAGGGCTTTCCGAGCATTTTCGTAGGAGAGGTCACCCTTGTTCTCCAGGATGATGCGTTTGCGGTCCTCAGAGCTCAGCTGGGACTGTCGCAGCAACACGTAGGCTCGAATCTCCTCCATGGGCACCTTGTGAGATGCAAGGTCTTCGAATGCCACATCGTGGCGTGCCAGATAGCTGTCATTCGTTTCATCACTTCGCTGGATTGTCTGGTAGATCGCCTTCTCGAAGTAGGCCAGCTTCTCTTCACTAGCTAATTTGCCCCACTGGCCGCCCAGAGCCTCTACCAGGTATTGGACTCCCCCTTCACTCCGCAAAGTCTGAGGGTCAAGGCGAGCCACTTTCTGAAAGGCCACCCCTTCCACCTGCAAGGCCGCTCTGGGTGCCAATTGCGACACATGTTCTGGTGGCCAAATGGCCTTCAGAAACTGCAGTTTCCTGCTGTACACCTGAATGTCTGTCTCCTGCGGATTGAAGGAGGGGATCTGCTGCCACGGAAACTGGCTCGCGGGAAGGCTGCTAGTTCCCGCTGCTTCCGCAGGTATGGCCGATCTGACCGGCTCGGCACCGTTTCCGGTTCCATCCATGGCTCACGTGGTCAGTGTTTGACCTCCTTTAGGCTGTTGCAGTTTGTTGGACTTGCAATGTTTTGAATTTGAGAGAGGTCCTATGAACCCTGATGCACAAAACCCCTTTTTAAGGCACCCTGCCTACCTTAGGGAATTTGGAGCTTTACCTGCGGCAGCTTGAGCTCCGCTACCCATGAGAATTCAATAGGGGATATCAGCCCTACACCTAGACACCCTGTCTATCCGCAAGCCAGTCTGATTCCTTTTCCACTCAAGATCCCGATCCCACCCACCTCGACCTAGAGCCATGCATGTGGCACGGCAAGACCGGCGAGTTGAGGTTGCATGTCATGCATGAGTCCAATGGTGTCCACAGGTGTCCCAAGAAGTCAGCACTGATGAAATGGATGATCTCATGTGGCCAAAATCACAGTATATGTATATGTATATGTATATGTATATGTATATGTGTATATATATATATTATATCTAGTGACTATAACTAGTGATTGATGGTCATATATAATATATGTTAAATATCCAGATGGTAGATAACACGCCACCATTTGTCTTTCACCATCAGTTTGGTGACCGACTGCCACCAGGTGCGGGAGATCTACAGCAACGGCAGACCGGACCTGCCCTTGGTGGTCTTCGTCGGCCGCATGTCGCCCGAAAAGCAGGCGCCCGCTGCACGCGGTTTTTTCCACAGCGGGGACATGTGGCTGTGTATACATCCAAATGGCCACTTGAATAGGGCAAATGATGATACAACATCATTTGTTGGGGACCTGGGGATACCTTAATTTCAGACACACCCATATCAAGTCATTGGGGAAACGGAAGGGAAATTAGTTGGTTGAATACTAAATACGTGACCATTAGGGCAATAGAGGTTTCACCCGTGACCAGAAATGAACATGAATGCAACAACTTCAGAACAACGGAGTCAGACTATAAATCGACATATGCTTGTAGGGATATTTTCAGCAAACTGAGATGGTGAGATCTTTTAAGTTGCTTGGTAAATATCAACATCACGAACAGTTGATCTCCCAGCTCATTTGATCTCCCATGGCAGATCAACATGACCCATCGCAGGTGGATAAGATCGCGGATCTGGTGAAGGAAGCGAACCCGCCAGGCCGGGTAGCCGTCACAGAAGTGGATGAGTTGAGGGGAGAGTTGACTGATTGGATGAGTTGCTGTCATTGTACATTTTTTACTCATGAAAATTCTATAACATATAATTGTAAATGAATGAAACACAAAAAAATCATGTACAATTCAATGCATATAAGAATACAAATAATATACAACGGATACGATTCCAAGAAACTTTTACTGATTGGAGTTGATGGAATACTTGGCAAGCGAACACCTACTGGATGGCTGAATATGCCATACTTTGCAGGTGGCTTCACAGATTGCATTTGGGTTTGTCTGAACATATGGTACCCCGAAATCCTTGACTTTCATTTCCAAGGGGCTGAATCTGCTGCTTAATCATCATGTTCGCAATTAATGTGTATATATTATATTATATTATATTATATTATATTATATTATATTATATTATATTATATTATATTATAATATATATATATATTATAATATTCTATACTATATGCATTCATTTTTTTGATGGTAGACTCCATTTTTAGACACAACCATTTCAGAGGCATTTTTCCTGGGCCCAGTAACCAGTGACGACGCCCTTCCAGGTGAACCTGAGCTTTGTCGATTTGCCATCATCGGCCATGGCGATTCTTGGAAGTCGATTCACGAAGAGATTGGACATCGACCTGACACATGGTTGAAGGGCCTGGTGACCCTGGAGGGATCAGTTATCCAAAGGTTGGGACATCCAATGGGGAGCCAGTTGGAGCTAGGAATTGGGTTTCCCAACCACCTGATAGTTGCGGAGTCACTGTGCTTTTTTTTCCATTTTTCCAGTTTTCCCAATGGGAAATCTTCCAGAAATCGGGAATTTGTTCCGGGAATTTTCTGTGTTATCCGCCACAACTGCTGATTTTGTGGGGGAAGATGAAGAGGTAGATGACAAGGTGTTTCCACCAGAATTAATGAACCTTTTTGGGGCCTGTTGCATGCGATATCCGTTGGAGGCCCCATTTTTCTTGCACGATGTTCAGGACGTGAACATGCCCGGAGTCGTCACCGGAGAAAAGCTGGCAGCTTTGGTTGCCTCGTCGGACATCTTCTTTTCGCCAACGGTCACAGGCACCGTTTGCTGAGATGGTGAATCCACGAATCATTTTCCCATGAATCCACCTAACCACCTAATTTAGGGGATCTATTGGGAAGATTTTTGGATTTTTTTGACAAGTTCGGTTCAGCAAATCATGTTGATAAGCAGTCCATGTGGCAATTTCCGTGGCATGTTGCTGGATCTTTGAGGTCCCCAACAACATCAGGCATCAGTGAATATTCTTAGGCCTTAGGACATTGGAACATGGTAGGCACCTCCGATTTTTGTTCGGCCATTGGAACATGATTTTTGGATCATTTCAACGGATTGGATTGGATTCATCCACCTTTCCAGGCACTCTGGATCTCGTCTTCATTGAATCGCAAGCCGCGGGTATTGCAGTGGTAGGCCCAAGGGCTGTGGCAGTTCCCCTGGTGGTCGAGGAGGGTGTGAACGGCTGCCTGTACACACCCTTGGACATGAAGGATGCCAAGAGGGCCATCAAGGACCTTGACTATTCATCCATTGAAATGGATGTTTTAAGATGTTTTAAGCATTTCCATCATGAAGTTAAACCACCTTTTTTGGATGGTGAAGTTAAACCACCATTTTTGATGCAGAAATTCGTGAGATGGGAGGGCCAGCAACTTCTTTTTTTCCTGGTTTTCATCTTTTTCAAACCGTTGCCACCAGGATGTGATCCCCCAGCTGGACAAGATGAAGGTGGAAGCTCGCAAAAACGCTGAGGCAAACTTCAAGTGGTCCAAGTCATCCGATGCCGCTTGGAGATTTCGGACATCCGGGGAGCTGTTGGTTTTTTCTTGCCCATCTAAGATTGAACACATCCCCATCCCCATTATGTGTATCCCCCCTACTAAACCATGATTTCTGGGGGGGTGTTGATATTAGGGGGGATTCGTAACGGCTACCCTAGGGTAAAGATACAAGAAAATGTGGAAAACTCATGGTTCCCATAGGAACATGACGGGATGAACATGGGATGAGCATGGGATGAACATGGGATGGTTGATGGGATGAACTTGTAATGGGATACAGTTGGGATATATGGGGACGTAAGTGGATATTTTCTTGGGATATGTGTGATGATACTTTAGTAACTTCAGTTACTTGGATGATTTGCATGATTTTTCTAATAAATCCCCTGCTTAATGACTTAATCCTATTTTTTTTCGAGTCCCCCTGGATTCGCAAATCCAAGGAAGCAATACAATTCTACAAAGATGTTTTACAGTACACCGCCAATGTTGCCACCTGACAGTTTTGGCAATTGAGCTGCCAATGTCAGTTACGTTTCCAACGTTGGTCTGTGGGAAAGGCTGGTGGTTCACGTCTCACGACCGACTGAAATGAGGGGGTGCCGGAGGGCCGCCCTAAGCGGGAGCAATGAAACTCCCACCTGTGAATGACACAGCTTGCGCGGCAAGGTGAAAATGCATTTGGGGCGCATTTGGGGCCATAGTAATACCTCCGTCAGTTAAAATATGACCAGAACTATACCTGGAACTGCACACCCCAGTGCTGACCATGCCGGAGATTGTGGACATTCAAGCCAGCCTGTGTTTTTGAGTTCAGATTTGCCGGGTAAAAGCCAATTCCTTAATAGGTTAAATATGGTTAGATATGGTTAAATGATTTAAATCCGAATTGTTGTTGGTGAATTCAACATGCTTGATAGGCACATCCACCATTTTTATTGATTACGCCATATGAAGTCCTCATTTTGGATGGTGAAAATCTGCCACGTTGAACCCATTGATTTTCCATGATTTATTGGTCCAAATCCACGTTGAAGCCCTGGCCCAGCCATTGGGGTTTAACAAAATCTCCCCAGGATTCCACCATGAAAGCCATTCCCATGGTTTCATGGTGATTTTTATCTGCTAGTTGTAATGGTCAAAATCATTGGGAAAACTAAATTAATGATGGTGAAATGGTTGAATGGTTGAATGGTGAAATAATCATTTAACCATCATAGAGTTTCCATCATAGAGTTTTGATGTTTTTTTTTGAATTTTGATGGTGAAATCCCCAGTTTCCAGCTGGATTCCGAAGGGAAGCACTTCCTGCCACGCCTGGGTCCTGGACGCTGGAGATTGCCGATGCCCAGGCTGCGAAGCCATGGTTCCTATCAGGATGTATATGATATTAGATTAGATTATATCCTGATAGATATAGCCTATAGCTATTGTCCACCTATCTATCTGTCTATCTATCTATCTATCTATCTGTCTATCTATCTATCTATCTGTCTATCTATCTATCTATCTATCTGTCTATCTATCTATCTATCTATCTGTCTATCTATCTATCTATCTGTCTATCTATCTATCTATCTATCTATCTATCTATCTATCTATCTATCTTATCTATCTTATCTATCTTATCTATCTTATCTATCTATCTGTCTGGATATTAGATTCGATTAGATTAGACTACATTAGATTAGATTAGATTAGATAGATAGATAGATAGATAGATAGATAGATAGATAGATAGATAGTAGTTATATATAAGCATTAAAGATGGGGATTTCAGTTACAAAAGTGGGACTTCATCGGCAAAAATAAAGGTACCATGGGGAATTTTCATGCCCAAAGGATGGTCATTTCCCTCGGGCTGACCAGTTAGTACTATATCTCACTGCTAGACTACTAAGATTTGCGACCAACAGAGGATTACTAACAGCTTAGTTTGCTGATTTACTAAGTTATTACAAGGTGGAGCCCCCCAGTTATAAGTTGCTTTATACCCCCCAATAACTAGTTCGTTATATCCCCCTAATCAACCCGAATGTGAAGAAGTTCTTTGTCCCAGCTTCGCTATCATAAATCAGCTCTAAATCCCATTAAAAATCCAGATTTTTGTTGACTAAACCACCATTTTCCCTTGGGTTTTCCCATGGTTTTTGTTCTGGTTCCGTTAACGTTAACGGGGGCCCCGGGGCTTCCTATGGTTTCTGCGATCGCGTGATCCAGGGAGTCGACGGCTGAGCGGGCGCAACTTGAAGAGTCCCGCGGCATCGAAACGATCAAAACCTCCAAGAAACGTGATCCGCGGTGACCAGTAGATTGTATTTATTATGGTCATATTGGATATATACATTATGGATGTTCCATGATATATAACATCACCCATAGATTATACATACCCATTGTATAATGGGTGATGTTCCAAATTCCCACTGGTTGGTTGATTTTCATAGAGGCTTCTCCCATTCAAGAACCAATAATTATACCAAACCGGCCCTTCTTTTTTTACAAAGAATACTATCGCTCAAAGGTACAGGTATGAAGACCGAATCATTTTGGTTTGTGTGTTTGGTACTGACTGTGGTAAACCCAATGCCACAAATCATCCCAACAACCAACCATGAAAGGGGGTGATAATAAACATCATCCCAAAAATAGTATTTCCAATAATAAACCGAAATTGGGAAGCTATTTTTTGATTGGGTGTATATCACCAGCTGACGTTCTTGATGCATACTAGTATCTGCATTCAAGTGACATCAGTCATGGTCACATGCGCAACAGCCACATCTGCACTGAGTAGATTGCTGTGACTGGATGCGCGAATCAGAAAATTTCGCTTGCTTGGTAGTTGGGGACGCGGAGAAATCTCTCGCCATGTGATAGCATCCACAAACATGGGAATACAGCGCCAAGCAAGAAGCGGGATATCACCAACTTACAGTATGCAACTTGTTTCCAGTGAATATCATCTGTAAATAAAGCTTGATGATTTTCAACATGACCAGTCTATGTGAGCCACCGACCATGCTGAGGCCCGACCAAGTCCTCTTATTTTGGGTCCCAGGATTCTTATTTCTCTTGTTCTTTGGGTCCTATGGCCGGAACGTAGGCAAGGCTATCCCTAGCTCAGCCATGAACTGAGAACAATTTCATGCTGGGACCATAAGCCATTCATCCCATGTAACTCAGCCCAGTTCCCAGATTCTCGTAGGAGAACTCGGGCTATGTCGGGGTCCTCATCGGTGACAGCAACCAGAAAGTGACCATGAGGTCGGACCTGTTGAAGCTTGGGATATCTTGGGCCAACTTTTGGATGACCCCAAGCTGGCGGCTTCTCGAGTTACCGGGGAGTGATCACAAAAACCTTTGCGACAGCTTGGGAAACATATAACATACACGAATGATATATACGGTACACAAAGTGTGGAACATCTATAACGTTTGTCAGATCTATAGCATATATCACATATATCACGTATGTCACACATATCGTGTACAACAAAAAACTTCACCTACTAATCCCTTTCAATATCAAATACCCCAGTTGAAATATTTGTTTGAAGGTATTGGATCTATTCATTTTGGGAACCGATAAATTGTCAATAGTTGATATTTTTTTTTGACTATCTATTTGTGCATATATACAATATATCCATTTCCGGATGCTGTAACCATTTAGAACCACCACCTTTTTTGATGGTAAGACCCCAATGTTTGATGGTAACAAGGTGGTGCCCGCCAGTTCTATTTGGTTTAGTTTCACCCCATGAACTACTTCGGTACATCATGGGGCCATCATGGGGCCATTTATAAACCATAGTTATACCGTTATATCCATATAAACCATGGTTAAATGGGGTTAACCACAAACATCCACAGTTACCATGGTTAATTCACCTAGGCAAAGGTTCACCAACTTCGCTATCGAAATGCCAGGCTAAACGACCCCAGCCTGGCAGTCATTGGAACCCACTGTCGTTTGCCACCGCCTGGCTGGGAGGTGCTTTGGGAAAATCAACAAATGGTGATTTGTTGCCTCAATTTCTTCATTTCTGGGCAAACTTGGTGATGATTTGGATGGAGAAAATCGCATGTTGCCTCGATTTCGCTGTTTTTTTTTCAACGATTCGACAATGAGGACTTCCACAACGACGCGACGCGACGCGACGCGAAGCGCGAGTTGTGTTCCATCCAAATTCGGTCATCATAGATCTGGAACACAAAAAAAGAAGCCAAGCAGGCACTCCCCTGGTGAATCCCGGTAAAGTGGGTAACTATATGAAATACACTATAGCTATATATATATATATATTTATCTATACATTATATATTTATATATAATGATATATATATATATATAATACACATGCACACACACACATATATATATATATACATACATACATATATATAGGTTGAATAGGTTGCTTAAACTCCCAGCCAGTCGATTCCTCCAGATCGCCAGGTGAGGCCTAGAGGTCCTAATGGCCCTCAGCTCACGAGTCGATACTGGCAATGTAGCAAGCAAAACCTGGAGGCGACGGCATGGCTTGATTCATTTCTGATGTTTATCATTTATAAGTTCCATTACCCATAGGATCCATGGTGCTGGTATATATGCTAACATAAAGGGGGTATGTTGATGGGATCCATGTTACCATATATAGCATACATGGATCCTATGGGTTATTATGATGCATTATGGTACAAGATTGAAGTTCCATTATGTATAATAATCATGATTATAAGTTCCATTATGTGTACAATGATTATAATTCCTATTCTTGTCGTCACTATGGTTATTGTTCCTTTTGCCACGATAGTTCTCGTGTCACAGCCCTATTGTCAATAAATTGTATTTGCTGCAGGCTGCCTGGGCAACCCACATTGAGTTGTCGCGGAACAAGGTGCGTAGAAACGACAGGACATTCTCGGACCGAAACCGAAACGACTGGCTTGGCTACTACCATAAAATCAAATGTGAAAATCGTGAAAGCCGCCTTCAAAGCCAGATTTTTGTGGTTGCATGGTTTCTGAGTTTTCAGGGAACTACAAAGGTTTCGCATTTTCGCAGTAGATCTAATGACCAAACATGACATGAAAATTCACATTTTTTACTGTGCTAGAAGGGTAGATGCCTTGGCCCTTGGCCTTCAGATTTCAGGATCGGAGTTCCGGGGGTTGGTCGGGCCCGGTCCCCTCTGGGGGCGCACCCCGCAACCCGCCATGGAGTCGGTGGATCCCTCGAAGATGATGCCCAACAGTACCTCCAGTAGCGAACCGCAGGCCTTGACGTTGCACTGGACCCTGGGCATCAACAAGGACGATTTGCATGAAACATGGGGATTTCACCATGATGTGACTCTATATGATTTAAATATATTATTTAAATCAAGAATTTGGATTTCATCCGAGGGGTGGAATTGAGAGGAACCCTGAAGGATGTGGTGGCAGGTGTGCACAACCTCTCCGACGCGGAGTCCTCCGACATGTTCTATGCAGCCGCCCACACCGGTGTGATTTTCGACTACAACACAGGGGTCCAACGGCTGTTGCAGGGTCATGTGAATCCCATTTCAGCAACAGCCGTGTCAAAGGACAAGAAGTGGATCGTGACAGCAGACACAGGGCCAGATAGCATGATGGTGGTGTGGGAGCGGGAGTCTGGCACTCCCGTGAAGACTTTCTTCAACCCTCATCCTTACGGGGTCCACGCGCTAGATATTGCTCCCAAGCTCCAATATTTGGTGACTCTGGCAGCACCAACACCTAGCTCAGATCCCAACGCTTCGCAGCCAGAGATGAGCCGAGAGGGAAAGAGCATTCAAAAGGATGGAGAACATGGAGAGACGGCCGACTACCAAAGCATCTCGGTTTGGGATTGGCCCTCAGATCATGATGGCCCCATCTGCACCGCGGCAGTGGGCACCAATGATGTGCAGACCTGTGTCCTCTTCAATGCTTGGGACACCCATGAAATCGCCACCAACGGCAAACGAAGAGTCTTCTTTTGGACCTGGGATGTAGAGCAGCCCTTCCAGTTCTACTCTCCAGCCTTAGCTCCCAGGGACTTCAAGCAGCGCATCGGGGACTACACGCAGACCATCTTTTTGCCGGATTCCACGCAAGCTGCCACTGGAACCATCGATGGAGATGTTGTGATCTGGGACCTCTCACTCATCGTTGATGGCCTGAGCCGGCCGGATGAGCGTAGAGCTGTGACTGGATCGGTGTAGTTTCAGAGGTTTGATTATTTTTCCAAAACGAAACATTGGAAAAGGGTTGAGAGTGGTTGAGGTATTTCATGTGATTTCGCAATTCTTCGGTTTGTGTCATTGTTCATCTGTGAAAAATGATGATCCCAGCTGTCTTTCACATTGGGACCGCCTCAGGTCAAGATCATCAAGCTGTGCCCAGACATCTCATTGAACGTCCTGCAGGTTCATGAGAAAGCCAGAGTGGTCATCGGAACTGCAGATGGAGCCGTGCGCTTCTATGACTACCAGTTCCGTGTTCAGGCAGGGGTCGGGAGAACCCATAGAGCAGTCAAACAAAGCTGAGGCGCCCCAGTTATGAGATGTTATGTTCGTTGGTTTGCAAAGCCTATTCATATATATATTATTATATAACAAAACTGTATAACTATATAACTATATGACTATATAAGTATATAACTATAAACTATATAACTATATAACTATATAACTATATAACTATATAACTATATAAGTATATAACTATACAAGTATATAAGTATCTTCCTAATCAACCCAACAGTTAAGCACGTTGTAAACCAACTTAGCTACTCTCATAAATCAGCTACAAATCCCATTCAATCCCCATTGTTCTTGGTAAAATCACCAAGACATCATAGTTGTGAAGCCTGACATGGTCCACCCAAAAAGCCCAACTGCGGATGTTCAACTGGCCGAAACAGTTCATGGAATAGCTGGAATCCCAGGAACATCAGCATAACTTACATCCTCACGAACATATATCATATGTATATAATATAGACCATACACACATATATATACACTATATATATACAAATATATACAAATATATACAAATATATACATACATATACATACATATACATACATATACATACATATACATACATATACATACATATACATACATATACATACATATACATACATATACATACATATACATACATATACATACATATATATACATATACATACATATACATACATATACATACATATACATACATATACATACATATACATACATATACATACATATACATACATATACATACATATACATACATATACATACATATACATACATATACATACATATACATACATATATATACATACATACATACATACATATGTATATATTATATATTATATATTATATATTATATATTATATATATAGACTATATTATAAAGGATAGGCATATCTCATCTCCGGATTCTTCCGGCTTTTTTTGGCAGGCCTGGTTTGAAGATCTCCTGGCGGGCTCCGTGAAGTCCATCAGCTTCGAGCGCCACGGGGAGGAGGACGACTTCGATCCCGGCATCAGCTCTGTCGGTGTGGAGGACACCCGGTGGACGTCCGTGGGCGAACGGCAGGATATGGAAGGATGGTGGTCCCTGAAAGGCAAAAAAAAGCCATGAAGAGTGGGGACATGATGGGGATATAAAGGGATTATGATTATGATTATTATTACTATTATTACTATTATTATTATTATCATTATTATTATTATAATATATATATATGATGTATATAGATATGGATATAGAAACAACAATCTAGGCGCCATGGTTAAGTTAAATTATATCCTCCCAGTCCGACTGGGGGATGGGGATGGATGACCATGGACCTGACACACCATGTTGGAATCCCTGGTGGAATCCCAAGATTTCACGGGCTTTGGTCAATGTCCCATGGCTTGGGGATTTGTTTCACATCTAAAACTTATCTGGCAGTGTGTCAAAACCTTGTACCCCTGTAGTTCACATCAAAATAGCTGGGATTTATGGATGTGAATAACCCACTAAAAATGGTATTAATAGGTATTGATCCATACCCATGTATCTGTTGGAGATCAAAAATCCCCAATGAATTTCGGTGATGTGAAAAAACATTGGACATTTACGACATTTACCAAGCCCTGTTCCATGGAGGACGACTTCAAGTGTCCCAATTTCCTGGTTTCCACGGGCTCCGCTCTGGTGGTCCTTGTGGAATCCAAGCTCTTCTATGAGCTGTCGCCAGAGAACCGCCGAGGCGGGGCACCCCCAAAATCATCCGTTTTCGATTGGGAGTTTCCATTATAAACCATCTATTTTGGGGTACCACCATTTTTGGAAACCCCATAGAACTTATATATATATATATATATGTATATATCTCTCTCTCTCTCTTTATATATATATATTATATATATATATCAAACAGTTGGAATCTTACTACTGAAGTCAAAAGAGTCAGAAGATGATGCAAAATACAAGATCCAAGTGATCCAAGATGAGGTCATTCGGTTTAAACCTCGGTGCAGCATCCACCGTGCGCAGGTCGATTAGTGTTACAGGGCCTGGATTCGCCAGTCCATGGCTTGTGCTGTCATCCACAGCTTCCGCTGGTGGCGGTCTGCGGCTACTCCGGATTTCTGCACATGTGGAGCCTTTGACCGATGGGTGGTGGGGAGTAGTTTTTCAAAACACGCCTTCGAAAGGCAGGAAGATGTTGGAAGGAGCCCGTAGTTGAAGCAATCCCAAAAGGTGGGCTTAACTACTTCTGCTGAACAGGACATGACTTCCTCGGTTTGAAATATGCGCCATACCCATTTTATCCCATTTTGAGATCCTCTTTTTCGAAGCTTTACTTCCTTCAAGATGTATATATCAAGATGTCAGGAACTACAACACCAGATCATTGCACTTGGTGAAGATTTTTGAGAAGCTAGTGCCACATATCCTTCAGTTCTCGCCCGATGGCAAGCTACTGGCGGTGGGGTTTACCAACGGCCACTGCAAGTTGTTGAAGTCCACAGACTTGTCAGAGGTGCGGACAGCTGAACAACTTGAATTCGGGGGCACTCCCACGAAAATTGGTGCTTTTTTCATGTGAGTTTCTCTGATGATTTGGAGGAACAAACCCCAAAAAATATGATTTCTGATCATCATTTTCCGTATGAACAGCGCCGTATCTCGGGGGTAAACCAGGTAAACCTCAACTTTTCGGAGCCATGTAGAGCAGAATAGTTGGACACCATCCCGACCTGGGATGGGTTGATGTTCCGCATGTCAGCAGCAGGGCTTTGAGCCATTTTCTTATCGTTCGATGTTGAGTACCCCGAAGTTTCAGCAATTGATCCATCCCAATATTCAAGATAAAATCAGGATAATCTGCGTCCCTCTACATTTCTTCCGGCTTTTCCATATTTTTTGCCAACCCTTTGGGCTGATGCCAACCCACCAGAATTTTCGGCGCAGGTGGTGTCCTTTCGGGACTCGCGCGACTGTGTGACTCACATCGCCTTCAGTTCGGACAGTAGCCACTTGGCTCTGGCGCATGCGGATCGATCGCTGTGTTTGTACAGGTCCCTTGGCAGCGGGGCAGCGGTCAACTGGTGTTTGGCGACAATTTCTACGAAAGATTTCGTCAAATAGGTTGATGTGGAAGAGTATCATAGATCAATTGACCCTCCAAGTTTTGGATTACGATTCTTTGGGGACCGTCCTGAGTGCTGCGCCATTTTTTTTGCTGACTGGTTCAGATGCAAACACTTTTTTATGCGCCACGAGTAGGTATGCTCACCGTCCCAACGACAAGAATTTCCCCATGGAATGGATGTACTCCGCGAAGCACAAGTCGCACTGGCGCCCCATTGTGGGGCTTTGCTTCGCAGTGCCAGAACCGGGGAAGCAGCAAAGACTCTTTTCCGTGGGCGAAGATCGACGACTTGTGGAGTACAGTGTGAAAAGTTCTGAATTCGGTGGCTTACAGGTGGGAATGAAGCCAAAACACTCAATTGTTTTTTTGGGGAAAACAGTCCTCGCTATTTTTTTTTTGGTCAAGCTCTATGCCACTATGCTCTGAGAAAAAACATAAACCCTCCCAAAAAGATCTTTTAAACATGGACCGGACCCCCAAAAATTTCTCTTTGGAAGATCCTTTCACTATCGGACATGACATGATACGACACTTTTTGGGGTTTCACTTCAAATTTCGTTTTATGGGGGGTTCTTAAACATGGCGGATCAATACTAACCATAGACGAAGTCATGGATGAGGTCATGACTTGGATGATTTCCCCCAAAAATACCAACCAATACTACCTGGTAATACCTGGTATGACCTCGCTGTAGGTCGTTTCACCAGACACGGTGGTGGAGCAGGAGGCGCGTCCCACGGGATGCATGTGGTATCCCTACTGCGGTGGCAAGGGCGACAATCAGAAGGTCCTGACCATGAACGATGAGTACAAATTCAAGATCTGGAACACAGTACCTGGGCGGATTTTCGGAAGTTTATATTTTTTATTGTTCCAGTTTCTTTTTGGGGAAAGATGTGTGAATATAATTGAATATATATATATATGTATTATATGTAGATGATTCCCTGATGGTCATTCTGGATTTTATAAGGTAGGGCCCCAGTCACAAGTTGGTTAAATCTCATTAACTATATATATATATATACATTTCTATTACTATGATTATATCCCTCGTAAACCCAACAGTTCAGCTCGGGAAATAAACCAACTTAGCGATGATCTCCCGAGGTGAACAGATCTTGCCGAAAGACTGCCTTGGCGCCCACCTATGGTGGCCCCATCACCCGTATGACTCCGGTCTATGCGGAAGCTGACGGTGAGGAGCAGTTCATGCTCTATGCCACCCACGAGAAGGTCTTGGGCTCCTTGGATCTGATGAGATGATCCTTTTTTGACGGTTTTCCCAGTGGAACAACCACTGAATGTTCCAAATATGTACCCTCTGGTAATTTAACATAGCTATGGAAAATCACCATTTTTAATGGGAAAATCCACTATTTCTATGGCCATTTTCAATAGCTATGTTAAATTACCAGAGGGTAAGGGAAGAACAACTCCATTTTCTGGATTCCTGCTTTTTTTTTCTCCATTGGTAACACTCAAAATATCTGCGGAATCTACGTCTTAAAGAGAGGCTTGGTGCAATTGCCACTGGATGGCAATCCCAACAAGTGCATGGGCTTAATCGCCCACCCGGGGCAGATCGCGAGTATCTCCGTGGACTACCAGGGACAGTATGCCTTCACTTGTGGAGGAAGCGATTTGACGGTGAACCAGTGGTTGATCGACCCCCAACCTGTGGCCAATGCCAGTGTCATGGGTGGAGGGGGCATTGAGCCCTTCGTGAAACTGCTGGATGGTGGGGAAGATGGCGCCTTCTTCTGCGACATGAAGGAGGGATTTTTTTTCGGAAGTTGCAGGCTTGTGATTTTCATAAATTGGAAGTCTGGCGTTGCCATAGTGACAACAATAACACTCACCATAATGCTTATATATACATTATTTTATACATATACACTACCAATACTGCGGATAGCAACAGCAACCAAAGAAACAGCGATAGCGCTTTTTCCGCGTCAAAGATGTGCCACTCAGCAGTTTTCCATGCCAGGACTATTTCTACTACTCGCAGATCAGATCTCAGGATGAAAACACGACCAAGGCTCGTGTGTTAGATGGTATGATCCCGGTGGAAGAGATCCCTCACCTGATGTGTGCCTTGGGATACTTCCCAACGCAGCTGGAGATCACCAACATGACCAACGAAGTGAAATACTCCAAGTTCGCGGAAACCAGTGACTTGGGCTGTTGTGCCCCCCTCCACAGAGACCGTGTTGATGTTTCCCGTGTTTGGCAACCTGATTTCTGCTGCCCACATGACTCATATCCGCATTTTTCATGAAACTCGAAATCAGCTGGTGATATGATTCTTATATGATTCTCATCCACCTGATTCTTGAGACTTGCACGTCTTCCACGTCTTTTCCCGTTCTAAAAATCCGAACAGAACGGTTTTTCGTGCCGAGGCGAGTACGTGGACCGGATAGGCTTCGATGACTTGGTGAAGCTCTACGTGAATCATCGGCCGGTCTTTGCTGTGGGCCCCGAGCAGATCAAACAGGTCGGATGGGGATAAGTCGGATAGGAGAACTATGGGTTTATCCGCAAAATGGTGGATATCATGGGATATCTTTGGGATAGATATATGGCATATATGGCATAGAAGAAAGAATCTCGGGAAAATGATGAACAATATTTTGGTCGTTTCAAATCTGACGAAGGAAAGCTGGCGGTTTTGCGGTGCTTTCTTCGATGAAGCTGACTCTGAAAGTTCTCTCTCTCTTTCTCTCTCTCTCTCTCTGGGATTTTGCATAAGGATTCTTAGTCATGCTGATTTTCACCGTCAGTGCTAAAAAACAAAGTGGGGATGTTTCGGTAAGAGCCGGGATGCCCCAGCTTGTGGCCACAGTGATCTCACGTTTTCCTGGGTACTGTTTGGCCCAACATGCAGGCCTTCGACGCACTGAAAAGACATGAACCTGGACCCCTCAGTAGAGAAGCCTTCCTGAAACTCGGATGGAGTATGGTGAGGTGGCTCACAAATGGGTATTGTATGTAAAGTGGTGATTCAATGGGGTTTATGATGGTTTATTTGATAACATGTCCACGTATCAATAAGCTCTCATGCTCTATCTAGTATGACTCAAAGTATAACTGTAATTGTATGTACATTTTATGGGTGGTCAGGACAGACCAAGTGACAGATGGACTAGTGACCCGAGTACACAGGTAGACCGAGTAGAACTTTCCGGAGGTGGAGACGAGTTGGTTGGTAAAAAAGCGCCTGTTTTGCCCCCCCACCAGGTCGCTTGTCAACAAACCACCTTATGCTGGTTTCAACTCAAACCCAGTCTTACCCGATGAACACTCCCACAGTGATTTTCAAGCCCCGTTGAATGCTAATGAAATCGAACTTTCACCTTTCAACATGTTTCAACAATGTTCTTTGAAACTCCCATCTGCAGCAAACATCCATAACATGCTATATATTATGAATATATAATATTGCCTATACCCTATATATATATATATATATACACATACACGTATCATGAGATTTTATGGAACACTACTCCCATCTACAGAAGATTTTGATTGATCATTGAAACATTTACTTGTCCATTTGTGGAACTTCTATCATCTATCCATCTGTTATATTATGGATCTATTATCTATGAATAACATCTATTACCCTCTGGTAAACATACAAAAAGCTATGGAACATCACCATTTTTGACGGGTAAATCCACTATTTCTATGGCCATTTTCCATAGCTACGTTAAATTACCAGAGGGTAATACTGGTTGATAATGGCTAATAACCCATTATATAATCTGGAGAAATGATGATAAATGTCATAGTAATTCACTAAACAATGTACTACTATCTATGAATAACATCTATTATAGAATATCCCCTATTATATCCCAGAATATTCCCAGAATATCCCAGACTATGGGAATATCATGGTCATATTATATATATATATATATATCCCTATCATACCTAGCAATAACATCTATTATTATCAATGGGAATTTCAGGATCCTAAAATGAAGGTACTGTACCATATAAGCCCATGTTTTGTGGGGATATTCCCTTACATAGGCCTTATATAGGCCTTATATATGGTAGGTCAACATTCTCCAAGGAACCTGCTGACGAGCCACGGCGAGAAGACATCGCTGGAGGAGTTGGAGCGTTGCTTCGAGGCTCTGGTGGGCGACTCCGCCATCAACCGCGCCTCGTTGCAGGGCATGGGGATGGGAAACTATGGAAAAGTGGCAAGAAGTCAAGTTGGGGATGGGTCAATACCTATTAATACCATTTTTAGTGGGATGAACATCCATTTACCAGCTATTTTGGGGTTCACTAGGGGTACAAGGTTTTGACCCATCCCCAAGTTGGGAAAATGAACATGGACTCAAGTTGGATTCTGGGTCTGGAAGCACTGGAAGTTGCTTGGGTTTTGATTTGAAAGCAGTCAAAGTTGGGTTTTGAACAGGGGAGGATCGGAAATCAACTAGTCAAAGCGGGGATTTAAGGTTTTTGGAAGGCCGGGGATGAGGATGGTATACTATATACTGTATCATACTGTATCTCTATATATATATACATATTTATCACCACTGTTGGAATGACCAGTGATGCTCTGAATTCCAAACTGGTCCTAAGCATAAAAAAAAGCAGACCATCTGGCAGCTGAGCCTGACATGTAGCAGGTTTTGTTGAGTTTGGACCAGTTCCCACTAAAATTGACATTTTCCAAATGCATAACTTGGGGTCCCTACAAATCTTCCAGGTAACCACTTATCCCAGGATTCATGGATGTTCACATCCTCACTACTCATTCTTACACCTCTGTTGAAAACCAATTTCAAACATAGTTATTACCCTCTGGTAAACTAACATCACTATGGAAATCACCATTTTCAATGGGAAAATCCACTATTTCTATGGTCATTTTCAATAGCTATTTTGACATAACCAGAGGGTATATCTAGATCTTCCATCTCTAGATCTATCCCATAGATTCATCCCATGGTCCCATGGTGGTCTAAGGCGTCCTGGACGAAGAGGTGGAGGCCTTCGACTTCGCCCACAACGTCTTGGGCCTGGCCGAGGCCGAAGCCGATGAGTCGCAGGAGATCGGAGACGGGAGATGTGGAGAGTCGATTGGAAATCGGAATTCTGATTTTTTGGGGAATGAAATTGTTAATGTCTATATTTGAACCTATACTGTATCCGGAACCCATGATCTATCTATCTGTCTGTCTGTCTGTCTGTCTGTCTATCTCTCTCTCTCTCTCTAAAGTTAAGTTAAGTTTTTTTTGTTTTTTTGAAACAGTTTTCAGCGATTTCCAGAATCGGACTGTGTGGCGATAAGGTTTATAACAACTCTGGATATCTCCATGAAAGAACCCCCCAATTAATCTGGTACCTTGGACTAGGCCTTAATCAATCCCATCAAACACTCGCAACGGTGCAACAACCACATAACCAGCGCGCATGATTTATCGTTATATCTCCATGTTTGTTGGTTAGCAATCCCTTCTCCCTAAGGTAAAAAAAAACCTTAGAATCGTAGAATAGTAGAATTCCACGTTCAGTATTGAATTTAATCTATTTAATCTACCCTCTGGTAATTTAACATAGCTATGGAAAATCACAATTTTTAATGGGACAATCCACTATAAATGGTCATTTTCAATAGCTATGTTAAATTACCAGAGGGTAATCTATTTAATCTATTCATGATGAATTGGGGTCCCAAACAGATATTTTTCTAGGGGATGGGATGACATCGAATGGTTGGCCTTGCAGGAAGCGAACGTGGCTCAAGCCGAGTGCTCGGAATGGGCGGGCAACACCACCTTAGCCTTCTCAACGGTGGCGGCACAGTAGTTGAAAACATCTCAGATGATTCCCGTTTTTTGTGATGAAAACGACATATTGATGTGGGAAATAGATGCCAGAAATGCCAGAGATTTACGTGAAATGTGGGAAATGTGTCACTCAATTTCTTCCAAAATTGAGGAAGGAGTCCAAAAGAAAGTTGGGCAAATGCCCATGCATGAGAGTATCACCTGAGTCTCACCGAACAGAACCATCGCCCAATGCTCCAGAAAAGTTGTGCCGGAGACTTCTTGTGAGGTGCTTTATTTGAGATTCATTGTGAACCTCAAATCTGAAGGCAAGTCAACATATCTATATTGAGATATTTTGAGAGTATAACAGTATGATGCAGTATATATATATAGTATAATGTTTTTGCATACCTGCCAAAAGATTGAAGTCACACCCTTGCCAGAACAAGCGCCTTTTCACCTTCCAGCCACGGACAGGGCGCGCCACATGCAGCCGGAAGGTCCGGAGCTTACGGTTTTCTTGGGCTAAAGATGGTTTTCTTGGATTGGTTTCATGGGAATTCCAAGTTTCCTTGGACCATCCCCAACAAGGATTGGATTGTGCGCCTTGTGCGCCACAGTCGTGACGTCAGGCCGGATGGCCACCTTGCGCAGGGCAAAGGCTCCCCAGCTGCTTCTCCCCAGCATGTGGGGAACCCCGGGCCTTGGCACGGCGACAGAAGCCATGAATCTTCATGGTCCCTTGCAGCAGCCATTGAGCGCGGTAGATCTCATGGACCATGAGAAAATCGGAGCTATAAATGTCCTCTGTCCACTGGTTGATGTAGAGGAGTTGACCCAAACAACCGGTAGCTAAATGACAAAACCGGCCCCTCTTTCTTTTTTCCATTTAAAAGGACAAAATTGGCCGGAGCAGCTTTCCGTGCTCCCTAAACACTGCACTTTACATGTCATGCAATGTCAAGTCATACCACAGGCTAGACTTCAGTGCAAACAAGACACAACTGTTTGTTTGCCCCTTTGGCGAGAATCAGATTCTGCCAAGCTTTCATAGCTTTCCCGCTCTAAAAACAATGCTTTCCGTTGAAGATTTTTCCCTTAATCCAATGAACCATCACTTTCCATAAATTTCCCAATCTTGAACCCTTAAACCATTGAATTTTACAAATCCAATCTTTGGTGCCTTTCCCGGGATTTCGACATCCCTTCAGATCCGCCATGGCCCCCATGGCCATGGCCCGGCTGGCACGGCCTTGGGCGAAGCCTTCGGTCGCCCTCGTCTTGCTGGCCCTCCACGGAGCGTCCTTCGTGGGTCGATGGCCGACCTGGACGTGGCGGCGGATGCGGCGCCACGCCGGGCCAGGAGGTGTTCTGCCGGATGGACGACTGAGAGATGCCTATGGGTGGCGTGACGATTTTTTTGGGCAAAATTTTCGAAGATTTTGAATGGTTGAAATGGAGGGTTTCATTGAAAGATGTGGCAGTTTTTTTTTTTCAAAAACCTGTTTGACTTACTTCTGGCCATTCTTTTTCCGGGCTTCCCGGTGCATGGCTACGTTGGTTCACTGCCACCAGGATGGACATGTCGATGGAAGGCCGCGAGGGCGTTCTGCGACTCTTCCCTTCACCCATCTATCGCAAGCGCCTGCGGTCGGATGGCTCGGAACTGAAGGCGTTGAATGAGGAGATCGCGGTGAATTTCAAGCGCTTGATGGTGCGGGATGAGACGCTGGGAAGTTCAAGCTGCTTTTTGTTGATCTTCCAATGAGTTAATGATATCTTAATAAACTAAACATGGGGAATCTACTGGGAATTATATTTAACCATATGTATATATATATATCGTTCACCTAGTGTTTATATCGTACATCAGAATATTATCAACTCATTTTTTTCTGCTCCAAGGAAGGGCATTGAGTGGTCAAAGACCCACTATGCTGGAGGTTATACTTCCTATTTCAGCCTGCCAGCGTTGCAAAAATGGGTACCGCCCATCCAGAAATTGGAGGAATGGTTGGAGCCGCACATACAAGAATTTCGAAAAGATGCTTGGCAATTTTTGGGTGAAGATAGGTGAACTATGGTGAACTGGACATCCCCCAAATGGTTCAATTTCAACATTTTCTGACTGCACGGACTTCTGGGTTCATCAGATTTGCGATTCACTGCTATCTGCTATCTGTTGCCCTAGCAGGATCATTTGAGCTGATCAACATGCTCACACAAAAAGGTAAATTATGTTGAGTTCCATTGAAAGAAACTTCTTACAGTAGTCACCCTACTATGTAAGTAATGGTTTCTCTTTTTGAGACACACCTACATGCCCACGTCGCCACGTTGACCATCGTTGACGCTACAGGAAGCAGGTCTCCGAGAGCCGCAGCTCTTCATGACGGACTGCTGGGCCAATGTGATGGGCCAGGGGACGGAACATAGCTTTCATCAGCACAATCGATCCACGATCAGTGGGACGTACTACGTGCAGACACCACGGAAGTGTTCCAGTCTGCTGTTTGAGGATCCCAGATTGGACAGGTCGGGTCTCAACTGGTGGATCTTGAGAAGTTTTTTTCACATGCCCTGTTTGATGATTCTATGAATATGGGGTGATTCTATATATGTTATTCTATGAATCTGCATCAATTGGATATTATTCTAACAGACCCTATGTTATTCTATGTTATTGGATGTTATTCTACATGTTATTCCATCCAATAGATTGGGAACGTCTCAGAATCTGTGGGAAATTCGCCAAATTCAGCAAGCAGTTCTTTTTATGGACGCATCGACTCCGAGGATTGACATGGCTTTGAAAAACATATGGGCTTGTCTGAACCTGGAGCATTCCTAAAATCCATTGTTTGTGACCTTTTTCGCACATGACAATTGCTATTTATGCTATTTGGGGCTACGCATTTCCTATTTTCAGACAGATCCATATCAAACATGATCAAACAACAGCAGTGCACTTTGCCACGTTTCTAGGACCGTGGCAAAGCAAGAGAGGCAAATCATCGAGTGCCCGGCCATTGCTGGATTTGTGGTGCTCTTTGAAAGCTGGCAGCGGCACACTGTTCCGCCCAACGCAGGCGACGACGAGCGGATGAGCGTCAGTTTCAACTACCACTGGCGCTACGAAGAACCCACCACGGCCCATCTTGAGACGTGACGGAAAAGATGAAAAAAAGTGGTTCCCGGCGCTTCAGGGATGGGTCACAACCTACGATTACCATATAATCATCATATTTGGGGGGATAAACATCTATAAATCTCTATAAATCCCAGCAATTTTTTGATGTTTACTGAGTTACCAGGGTATTATTGACGACTCAGCCCCATATATTGGAGTCGTTTGGGAAAGCAGTGAACTCATCACACCTGAAGGGTACGATGGGGTGCAGTGAATAGCCTCTGGTAAACGTTTACAGTTTGCGAACTGGAAAATCACCATCTTCAATAGATTTTAATAGGTAAATCAACTATTTCTATGTGCCATTTTCAAAAGCAAACTGTTTGTTGATTACCATTAATTACCAGAGGTAACTTACATGGCTATTTCAATACTATTGATGGTAATAACTATCAATGGTTAAATAGTTAAATTACCAGAGGGTACTTGGGTATATGTAACCCGCAGCATTGTACCGCCCGAGGTGCCACTACATAGCAGTGCTCGCCAGGCAGATGACCAGTCACTAGTTGGTCACGGTCGGTTACCACTGGAGGTAGCCGTGTAGTGGGGTGAGTTACTTTGGGTTTAGAATTTTGTAAATCCACCATGATTTTACATGGTAAATATATGTAAATATTGTAGTTAACTCATTTAGTCACTTGAGTCCTGCGAATCGCCGATTCGCGCCTTGCGGGGTGTGCAAAACCTTCAATGGCCGATAGATAGGGGACGACCCTATAGCGATACCCCTGGTTTGCATGATTAGTAGGGTCCATTAGGGTCCCATGTCTGTGGGAAATCAGCAGTTTTTTTGACCTGGAAGCGACTGGTTTTTGCAGGCAATGACCAATGGCGAGACTCAGGCGGCTGGGGGATGATCAACCTGCAACTGACGCCAATTCCCACAAGCTAAGGGCATCCGTAGATCCAGAAACATCTCCAGATCACCATCCCGGATTATCCCACATCTGAAAAACTCATGAAAAAGCCACCCTGAATAATCCATGCATGTCCAATATCCCATAAAGTACTATTCAATCATTCCCATTCAATGTATATATATATATATGTATATATATATATATGTATATATATATGTATATGTATATATATATACACATTATATTTCCAATCTATTTCCATCTATATCCCCAACCATCTCCCTATCTATATATCCCCGCCCCATCCCACCCTCCCCATCCCATTCCACCAGCTCCACTTGGGAGTGCGGGCCCCACTTGGTAAATGGCTTATACCCAGAATCATATATGGCATATCCTCACTTACTGTATATACGGGATTATAGGGGTCATATATGGATTATAAACCACTTACGATTCGTGGGATGCACATCCAAGTTTTTTCTAACATTATCCATCGCAAAGTATTGGTTTGCCAGAAGCTCTGGGCTTTCTGTTCCTATAATCCCTGTCATATCACCATTACATCACTGTTATGATCCATTTTGTTGGTTTGTTGGTGTGTAAACCCCACTATCTAGTTCGATATATCTACCATAAACCATAGTTATATAACCAAAGTTAACCTAATTGTGAACCCCAACTTGAAGTTCGGCATCATAAATCAGCAATTCAAATTTCATGGAACATCACCATTTTTTTCTGGGTGAAATCGTGGAGATCACCATTTTCCCTTGGGTTTTCCCATGGCCAGCGGCAGGTGTCGTCCATGAGCCGCGAGGAGCTGCTGCAGCTGGTGGGGAAGCTCCAGGAGGCGCTCAGCGAGGCGCAGAAACAGGTGGAGCAGGGCCGCCTGAGCTGCGAGGCGGGGAAACTGGGACGGTCGGAAAGTTGGCGGAAGATGAGGATTTTGGTGGTTTTTGAAAAGGACTTAAATATAGATAGAAGTGAAATAATCTGTTCTGTTTTTTGGGTGATTTTTGAGATTTTGTGGATATTTGAGTGGTTGTTGGAAAGGATGGACCATGATAATGATGATTGTTGGTAGGGGGAACATATTTACGGCAGCACGCTAGGATGATGTGGTAGGGATGATAATAATGATGATGGAATGATCGTGACAATTATCCTTTTATGCCCCTGGTGGATGTGAATTTAATATGGTGAGACAGTACGCATGTCATGAATGATAAACATGCAACATGATACGGTACTATTTGGGCATCGCTTCGGAAGCAAAGAATATTTTTTAGGGGGAGGTCAATATGAGTTGAACAATGCTAAACAACAATGCAACAAAACATGTGAACGTACATTTTGAATCATGTTGAGAGTTCCTGGTTACCCTCCCATAATCAAACGTGGCAATGGACAAGCCACCAATGGACAAGCCACCAATGGACAAGCCACCATTTCGCATTAAGACCATTTAGTTTGAGATTTTCGAGCTAGCCACGTTTGAGGACACCAGAGGGTAGCCCAATGAAACCCTGCAAAAAACATGCGGTGCTACCGCCAATGGAGGCGAAGGATGAGAAGATGCATCAACTCATCTACGAACGCAATGCGATGCAGGCTGAACGCGATGAGGCGTCTCCTTCGGGGGTAGTGGGGGTCCACTTGGAGGACCAGAGAAAGTCACTGGGGAAACTCATCTCCTGGTCCCCATGCAGTGGGTTTTCTTGCACCCGGGGGTGATCCTTTGAAATATCTTGAACCCCCATCCATTTCTGGTCATTGGGGGGATTGGGGATGGTGTAACTCAGTGTAACCAGCACTTTTTCAAAGATAGGGCTTTGATCGATGAACATGGAGCCGTGGAGCCCCAAAAACTGCGAAATGGGCACGGCAGCATCTCTGAAAAACTGGTGAAGTAGTGGTGTAGTGGTTGAATCTTAAGAATGTAAATGGTGAGTAACAGGGTCAGAAGCCACTCTTATTGGGGTCCTGGGGTCCGGTGTCATAGGAGATGCCCCAGTTACTTCAATCCTGGTGTAGCGGCGCCATAGGCTCGACATGAGCTAGAGAGCCTGAGGCAGGGAATGCCCTACGAGAGTTTGGCATACTTTCCGCTCCAGAAGAATCGGAGGTTGCCTAAAAATCTCTTCATCATCATTGTTTTAGTCAAAATACTAGCTTTGGACATGTTTGGACATGTTTTTTGTTGGATCATTGGATCATGGATGAAAACCGTTTGGATCATCAGCTTGGATCATTATTTTCTTCCATCAGTCCTTTCCGACCGACCTCAGGACTCAGCATGGAGTCGCCCATAGAAGCGCCCGTTGGACTCAGAAAACTGGGCGGCTCTGGGCGCCATTTTGCATAGGTGAAACGACCATTTCTAGCTGGGTAAATGACAACGAGCTCACTGCGACCTCACTGCACCCAGATTTCTTTGTATTCTTTTCTCGATAGTTAAAACCATATGATAACAATCATAATGATGATCATAACAGTAATGCTGAGAATGATGATCATGATCATGTTGATATGATGTCAACAACAGCCGTCACACCAACAATACTAATACGAAAAGAAAACTAGTGGTGATGATGGTGCATGACAATCATGACAGCAGGAATGGTACTGTAATATACTGTAATCATCACCATCCCCAAATGTCACCCCAAAATGGCAGTGCGTCATGAGATTTCTATGGGTAAAGCGTCCAGAACTAAGGGATCATGCATCCCAAATGGTCATTTTTTGGGGTCAACGATTCGCACTTGGCGGATCGCCTGCCGGCGTTTTTTACGCTGTCGCTAAGGCTTCCCAGACGTCGTTGCCGTCGGCTCCGCAGAGCATGGTCGTGTCACCTGGGTTACAGCCCAGCAGCCTCTGCCTCAAGGGCCGTTGGGAGATCGCATGTTCATGCCAGGATGTGTGTAAGATGCCAGTTGGCCGGTGAAAAGCGAGATGTTGTTCATCCCTCAATGAGACTCAAGAATTGCCTAACCATGGCCATTTGTGGCTTAAAAAACCCGGTTCCACCAAATTTGGACCCCATTTTCCCCATTCAAAATGGGTAAAATGGTCTAATTCCGGGGTTTCAAGCTATGTCTGGACGTGGCAATTTGCCAAGTGTCGCCACTTTGTGAAATTGAGGTAGTGCCAAGTGCATCAAGCCAGATGCCGCCTTACCACCAGTGTCCCTTGGCCTGGTTGCGTGCCAGGTGCCCCTTCACAAAACCATAGGAAACATCCACAGAACTAAGGGTATAGCCGGTATAGCCACTTTCATAAACCTGGGGATGCTTCATGAAGTTGTTCTCCCATATGCCGGTATGATCCCATGATTCTCCCGTGAAATCTCCCACGACTAGAGCTGAACTTCGAGGCCTAACTCCTGGCAGCCGCCCCAATCCGCCCGCGATGGCAAGTGCATTTCGTCCCTTTCCCCAGGTCTTTGTGTAGGGATGGCATGGCTGTGATTGAGCCCTAAACATTGCTTGACATTGGTTGATGGATGTTGATGGCTTCAATGATATATTTTCGTTTCAAAAATCCATTGGGATCAAACATCGAGTTGACCATCACTTTTGAGGCACTTGATTCACACGTTGAACATCAGCAAACCAGAGATATTCATTCGACCAAGGCCCGTATCTCCTGTCTCAGGGGGACCTGAAGAAACAGAAGATGGCCCTGGTTGCCCAGGGAACGGGAAGGGGTCCAGCAATTCTGGTGGTAGTCCATTGACGGTGATGGCTCAAGGGAATTTTCCAATTATTTTTTTAGCTCCTAGACAACTTGTCACTGAAGATGGGTCCAACATGCCCAACATGTTGTGGGGTCAAAGATGTTGACTGATCTTCTGAGGCGACATGTTTCCCGGACCTGATTTTAGTGGCAGCTACCGAGCCTTTGGTCCGATGGCTGGGGGCCCCAGGGGCCCCAGGGGGCCCAGGGGGCCCCAGGGCGGTGATTGAACATGTTGTTAATAGGTAAATCATGTTGAATCACCATTTTACTAGGTAATCTCTGGTAATCTATTGAACATCACCATTTTCAATAAGTAAATCAATGTAAATCATCTATAAAGCTTCCAAGTCCTTCCATTTTCCACAGTGTTAGATTACCAGAGGGTAAGCATGAGGTAAAGAAATTCATCCCAAAATGGCTATCTCTGGGGAAGAGTTACCTGGAAAATGAATGCAAACGATGGTTGTTGGGGGGAACCAACCCTGAAAGGGATGATAACATGAGATGTGCCAGAAAACCGGACTCTTTTCAAATGATAAACCCATCGCACCCCGCAGAAATTCAACCCGTTGGTCAATACCTCTAAATATTGATTAAGAACCATGTTAAAGTTAAAGCCAATTTCAAATACTGTGAACATTGGTAGATACCCTGAACTATTCCTTTTTTTAAATAAATAAATCCTGAAACATTGCTCATATTGGCTACGATTGATTATATCCTAAAAAACAATTTCCTATTGGTTGGCAAATATTGGTTGATATTTCTCGGTGCTTCACCATGTCCAGTTATATATATATACTTAGAACTCGGTGGCTCACATTAACTATAGTTTATAACCTATTAATAACTACAGTATTCATGGGGTGTATAAAGTATTATAAAGTAGGAACTACTTATTACACACTTATAACTTATAACAAAACCCAAAAACGTTATAAGTTGGTTGGACCTTGTCCCCCAGTTATAACAATATAGTTAGAACTTGCAGGGTCTCCATATTGATTATATCATACCCTCAAAATTCATGGGTTGGTAAATATTGCTTCATATTTCTCGCTACCAAGTCTTGGTTCCGAACCGTGGTTCAAACGACGACAATGTCCAACAAAAACCTGGATTCCGGGATTGCGTAACGACAATCCCCCAGCCGAGTTGTAGAAAAAAGCGTAGTAACATGTAGTAACTACCATATTTCCACCAGTAATATATAGGCCAATATAGTTAGACTGGTAACTTGAAAGTTTATCCACCTATAGCTTAGTTACCTACACATAGTTTTGTCCCATAGTTTCTGTTTGAAATATAGTTACTCTCCACTGATAATATAGTTATATAGTCCCATAGTTTACCATAGATTACCAATATACCTATTACCAATAGTTATTACCAATATAGTCAATCCAAACAATAGATTTACCATATATTTACCATAGATTAACATTGTTTTCTGTTTGTTGCTCGACTGTCTTGCACCCGTTGCCGCCGTTTTCGGAACGAGGCCACAGTGCCTCAAGTGCCGGCCGTCCCACCGAATCCCGGAAGGTGGGAAAACGATGGGAAAACGATGGGAAAACGATGGGAAAATGATGGGAAAATGATGGAAGAATTGGTATCCAACCAGGAAAATGGGATTTTCTAGTTGATTTCTGATGAAGGTAGCTGATGATGGTATTTAAGCATGAAACAGGTGGGTTCAACATGATTTAAATATAGAACATGGACATTTCACCATCAAACATAGTCAAACAAAGGAGAACGAACAGGAATTTAACTAGCCAAAGAATTTTTGGATTTACGCATCAAACAGGGGGACATCATGGGACATCATGGGACATCATGGGACATCATGGGACATCATGGGACATCATGGGACATCATGGGACATCATGGGACATCATGGGACATAAACAACTTCAGTGTGTCTAGGGAAAATGGTGATTGGCCAACGGATGGAATGGGGTACCTTATTTTCAGACAAACCCCGGTGGAAACTAAACGGCTTAACAAGGCTTGACATTTTAGCGGTTGAAGCTTGAAACGTTACCGGATCTACTGCTATTCAGCTTTTTTGGATAGGAACTATTGTTTTTGAGGTATTTTCGGAGCATAATAGACATAATGTTGTTTTATCGGGGGAACAACTGGATGGTTGGAGCAAGATTCGATCCGTCTTCCCAGATAGGAAGACGGGACCATTTACAGGACACCCCTGATAGTCTGAGGATAACACACATGTTTTCCTCTGGGCTTACCCTTGAATCAATCCGTTGAATTATGTTTTGTTTGATGAGTACCCCGAAATTTGAGGGTCTATCATCATTATCCATTGGCCAAGTCCATCTTTTTGATGATGACATGTCCATTTTATTGGGGGTCATCCCACAGATCAACTGATCAACCATCAAATCACGCGTATTTTTCAGTTATATATATATATAGTTCTAACATCATTTTTTCAGGTTAGGACATATTTTAGAGTACCTCGGAGTGTCTGCACTTGTTCTCGCAGGGGTGCAGAAAAGCTGGTTGACATCTTAGTCACAGCTTGAAGCTCAGCGATTTATGGCCATGGTTGGTGTGTTTCCCAAGTTTTTCCCATCAACTGGAGACCAAGTGGGGGAACTTACAATTCACCAGAAGGTGAGGGCCCCCCCGTTGAGAGCTAAGTTGAGGCACAGTTCACTTCGTTAACCTTTGGGTTGATCACGGGGATATAACGAACTAGTCAATGGGTTTAACCAACAAACATAACTGGGGGGGCCTCACCTTGCAAGGTGTTTTTTTTACTTGCAACCGCTTGCAATTCCTCGCAGCCCGACATTTGAGGTGCCAAGAGCAAACGGCCCAGAAGATCTTGACATGTCCAACTACGAGCACTTCAAGGAGACGTTGACATATGTTGACGCTGACTTCGTCCCCTTTGGCGGTTTGCCAGGTGGTTATGCCCAATATTGGCCAATATTGGGGCTCCAAAAATCGGCTAAACTCCAAAAATGACAATGATCTTGGGAGGACCATAGATTCCATGAGCCAAGCCGCTCACTCCAAAGCTTGCAGGCACGGCCGACGCAGGTTGCCATGTTCTGTGGTGGAAAGATGATGAACTTCTTGCGGATTTGGGGATGGGATGGTTTTTATTTTTAAGAAAATCAACCATGCCATACATTTGCCTTCACAATGTATGAATGTTACATTATATAATATTATCCCAAAAATAGTACGATGTATGAATGTTGGATGAATATTATCCCAGCAATAGTCAAATCCCTTGCAGGATGGTGCCCCCCAGTGATGTTTGTTGGTTTGTAAACCCCATTAACATCCATTAACTATAGTTATCTCTACCAACACACCAGAGAATTCAGCCACTTGAGCTCGTTTCCGGGGCCCCCTGTGGCCCCTGTGCCGCCAGAAAAACATGCAGCCACCGCCGCCTCACACGGTCCAGCGCTTGCCGTCAGCGCCAGTGCATTCGCAAGTGCCGGGCTTAGACAGGGTGGGGCGAAGTGGACCAGACAGGGTTTTGGGGAGATTTAGGGAAAATCTTGGTGAAATCTGGGTTCTTTTTGTTGCTAAAGTCTCAATTTGCAGTTCCAGATTTTCACCATTTTTCACCATTTTTCAGGGCATTTTTTGATGGTGAACCCCAAGACACTGGTGAAGTCTCCCGCTCCGCATGCCCGCATGCACGCATGGGCGTAGCGCCGAGGCTTATCCGGGTCAAGTGGCTGGCCTAACGTGTGTGGTGCAGCCAACGGGTAATCGTGGTAACACCGTTTTGGGTGTTTCGTGGTATTCAATGGTTAATGATATTGGCAATGCAATGCAATAGTAATTAACCATTGAATACGTGGTATGGTATGATATGGTCAATGGTATGGTATGGTTAATAGTGGTTTATGATATGGTTAACCATTGACCATAACATTGCGTTACATACGTTGCACACGTTGCATTTGCATTGCATTACATATGAGTTGCTATGACATGACGATGTGAATCGCAGTGAGGCGCACCTCAGCTCTTTAGCCTGTGAAACAACGGGGGTTTGGTGGATGAGGGGAATCATTTGAGGTGAAGTAGGTAATATGAATCGAAAACCATGGATAGCAGACACACTGTCACATACCATGGATGCATATGGATGCACATCCAGGCACTGCTGAGCCGAAACCGGTGGCGATTTCAAAACCGTTTCACTAACAGAAATGGGGCTGCATATTTTTTTTGTCCAAAGTCACGGTGGAAACCAAAATTCAAGCAGAAACAGATATGGGCCATATGGCCATTCCAGGAAAAGGAGTACTTAAAAAGTTTGTAATGTGGTAAACAAAGCCCATCATAAACCATCCCATTAACCAACCATGACTGGTCGTTTTACATCATCCCAAAATGGGCTATACCCAGCTGCCTGGAGGTTGCCTTCCCACACGTGATGCATCCCCAGTTCAGGCCTGCGTGCCATGGTGCTTTGGGTGCCTGACGTTGCGTAAACGTAAACCAGAGTTTTTTGGTCCAGGACACCTGTATTCAAATCTGATTTTAAGGTCCCATGTTTTGATCATTTCTGTTGGGTAGGTCTCTATTCTTTTGGTAACATCTAATGTTTGTTGGTGAAGGGTTTCTATCATTAGTCCGCTTAATCCCAAGTCATTTTATTGATTCCATCCCCATTGCTGGTGTTATCCCCATGTTTATCCCATTAACTGTAAACCTCCATTTTGGCTGGTGAAACATGGTGAAACCGCGTTTTTTAGGGCCAACCAGTTATTTTTGGTGCGGAAATCTTACATTCCAATCAATTCCACGCCCTATAAGAAAACCGGCAAACATATTCCTATCATACTCCCGCTACAACCGCATTTTTTTCGAGGGACTCAAGCCTCGCCAGGATAGTGACATCGGCGAGTGCCTCCGTGCCATCTGCCCCAGCGTCATTGGCGCGGATCCCTGGAGCACGAAATTTTCACATGGATCCGAGTGATGAAAATTGTGATGAAAATTGTGAGTTCCTACATGCCAATGAATTTCACCAATTTCACCAATTTCACCAATTTCACCAATTTCACCAGCGAATTCATTGCAGGATGGTTCCCCATGATGTTTGTTGCTTTGTTTCGGCTGAGGCCGCTACTGCGGGCGGCGTCCGCCTGGCGCCGCGGCCGTCCTTAGTGCGGAAGCCCTGGGTTTTCAGGGTGTTTTGAGCAACAAACACAGGGATTGAAGCATCAAAAATGGGTGGTTTTAATGGTGATGAAATGATTAAAATCACCTCTATAAATGGAGGTTTATAGCTGGGAACATCATCTTTGACTGGGGTATTTTGCCATGTTTGATGACACCGGAGGGTATATTTATAGTCATCCTAGAGTAGATAGAAGAAACATATTTCAAGAAATGCTGACTAAGACCTTTTGGACAATTTCAGATTGAATCTACTTCACGATGATGAAAGATGAAATAGGGGGCTTACCCCTTGGAAATGGAGGTGTAATCCGCCCAAATAGGGTTTTAATGAGCAATGGATTTAATAGGTACAAATCTCAAGACAGATACTTTACAAGGAATGGTTATTGTCATTTTATTTTCATTTTGCATGTTGCTGTGGGTAGAAAATGGGTGCCAAACAAAAGAGGCTGGTGATTTTTAGATGAGCAGTTTTGCGATGTATTTGAATTTGTTTCAGCAACAGATACGCATTGATCTACATATATACACATGCATGCAATAACCATGAACATGATTAATACAATATATAATATGTATGTTAATATTTAATATATGTTATATATATATATCTAGGTATATGACAATGATACTGAGCATGATAACAATGACCATGACAATGCTTACAACAATATATAATAATGATATGATTGTACACACTCAAAAGGTTTTTTTTTTTGAAGATTCCATTGAAGATGAGTTCCTTGGAATCAGCAAATGGATAGATCATATGTAGACATAGGCTATTTGTAGAGACATATACTTCATAGGTACATATATCAATTCTTCTCTACATCAATGCAACCAAAAAAGTGCATAAGGGAAGGAGAATGATCCCTGTCTCTTGAGCTGTATGATGAAAAAACCTAAAGCCAACGGGTAAAACTGTGTATGGCTATGCTTCATTGCTGGGTTTACCACCCCCCACTCTTCGAATTGTCATGTCACGGTCGCTGTTTCGCGGGTGATTTTCATCTTCACCCGGCCATGGCTAGGTGGCCATGGCTGCTGGCTACGCGGTGAGGTGACCTAAATGAGAAAACGGCTGCCATCAACAAGTTACCATCTGGTTATTTGTTACATAGCCATGGTATAGATGACCCATAGAAATAGATGGTTTACCTATTAATAGCATGGTGATTTTCCATGGCTATGTTAATTAACCAGATGGTACGTCAAAAAATGAGTGATCTCGTCCCACAGATCTAAGATGATCTAAGCATGTTCTCAAGCACGATATTTGTGTGGTGCAATTCCACTTCTAAGTGACGTCCATAGGCAGATACGATCAGGAGCCCGCAAGTTGAAGTTGATGACTGGCAGCCGTGGGTCCAATGTGTCCTGCTATTGCGTGCAAATCATCTGTGACTGCTGGCCCTTCCGGGGTCGAGCATGGATTCCATAGATGGTCCGTGGGGCATGCGGTAGCTGACACGGTGGCGCATCACCTTGCAAAACTGGCGGGAGATTTCTGTGACCTCCAAATGATTTCGCTGCTTTTTAGGTGACCGAGACCAAATTCTGCGAGTTTTGGTCACCAGACTTGGGTTCAAGACATTGCATGACTATAGGGACTAGTTGATCTAGTTGTCTCATGGCCTGGGTTTGGGATTTTGATATGCGCCCATGTTGCCTAAGCTTGAGCGGTCCATATCACGCCTTGGCTCAGCCCGGGTTGCCGATTTTGCTCAGTTCTGCTGGGTACTGTAGGTGCCATGGGGTTGAGGTGATTGGCGAAGAAGGAAACTCGGGGAAGTTGGTTTTATGATTCTAATTCATAATTCTGATCCATAACCCTCTGAGAATGGTTATGCAATATTAACGCCATTGATTTTCGCAGTTCTATCAACCAACTTTTGACACCCTCGCAACCATTTTAGATGACTCTCATTAATCACAATTCTACCGCCCGAAGATAAAACATCAGACCCCAGGAGTGAACACATCCAGTCAGCAGTGTCAGCCCTGCATTATTTTGACCAACTCCTGGCTAGTGCAATTGGGGAGGAACCATCAAATTATCCATCTATAACTTTTTTTGTGGGGAAACCCCAAACCTTACTTTTTTTGTGCAACTACTATCCCAAAATTGGGTGAAGGGAACATCTACAGGGGCCCCGGTCAGGTAGAACCCAGGGTTGACCATGACCAGGCACGCCGATTGAACGATCGACCATGGCTGAGAAGGTGCAACATGCAGTTTGGGGAGCAGTTCCGGGATGGTTTGCCAGAATGGTGGTTTAAACGACCAGAAATGGTGGTTAAACCAGGGCTCAAAAGCCACCAGCAATTGGGGCGAGGTAACCACCACACGTGGGGGGGAAAAAACACCATCAAACCCATGAAGCATGGGTTAAATCGCAAAATTAGGCTTGGAGTTGAATCACCAGAAAAGGTTCGGAACCCACTAAAGGCCCAAAATTGGATGGCGGGGCACTAATAAGTCATCACCAATGTTGTGGGTCCTTTGGTACCATTTTTTTGGCCATCTAGCATGAGAATGATTTGAGTTTGCACTGATTTCTATTGACTTCTGGTTGTCGTTTCGCCGTTATCAATCAAATCTTGCGGCTTTGCCTTACAAGAAGCATCATGGTTCGCAGCACGGTCAGAAATTCTCTGCCACCATGTGAGGATCTGGAAGACGGTAGCCAGCAGAACCTAAAGCATGGCCAATTTTTGGGTCCTGAAAGGTACTTCGATGTTTGTCGCAATTGGCTAAGTGGTTAATAGTGGCTTATAATCCCTTAGACTTTGGATGTCTTGCAAGAATATACTGCAGTTACTCATCACCGGTGGCTCATCCCACTTATCAAGTAGCTTTTTTTTTTCATCTGGTTTTTTTCTTGGTATAAAGCCCACTTATCCCACTAACAAAACCAGGGATATCACCCAGGATCCGTGGCTCGCCACCAAGTCGATGTTTTTCCGAATGACTTGACCATCTTGACCCACGGCCCCGACCCCAGCCCTGGAGGACGTTCTTTCCTTTGCGGCCGCCACGCAACTGGTGATGCTGCTGGCCGGGCCGCCCATTTTTTTAGGGATCATAGTCATATACTGAGGACATAAAATGAGGATTTACTGTATAATATGAATTTGGGGGTGACCTGACCTATGAATAAAAATGAATAACACACACATATATATATATATAACACACATATATATATATATATATGACATTGAAAAAACACACACCTCTGAGCTAAGTAAGACAAGACCTTTCAGCCGGGTTTGTCGAAGATTTTGGCTCGAAACCCATTGGTCAATTGACATATTCCCCATGAATAACGTCCTTAAATGAAGTGGCCTGTCTCATTTTCACACACACCGACATATATATATATATGTAATGTCAAATGGGTTAAAATTTATTAACATAGTAACGCACATACTAATCAAAAGAACAACAGTATACTACTAACAAAACATACATCCTACAATAGGCCATACAAATTTCAACCAGTTGTTGCTTTGATACTTCCATTTTCCTCACCTTTGAAAAGGTCCTCTCCTGGAGCACCGCTTCCCATTTAGCCTGGTCTGGGTGACAGCCTCAGTGAGGCATGTTTGTTTCCGGTGAGGACCTGAGTTTTAGTTGGTCATAAAAAATGGTTAAAAAACACTAGTTTTAACAAATTAGTGATGACATTCACTAGTTGGTTTTTCAACATGGCAGTGGGTCAAAACCTTGTACCCCTGGTGAACATCAAAATAGCTGGTAAATGGATGTTCATCCCACTAAAAATGGTATTAACAGGTATTGATCCATACCCATTTGAAACTCACCGTGTCAGTTGGTTTGCTAAACCGAGGCCCAAGGAAGGAGCCCTGTCAGCCGCTGGGCTGCCAAGTCGTGTGGTCAAAGGCGAGGAGCTTCAGGACCGTTGTGAACTCAACCGTTGGGTGACGTTGTTTCAATGGAGATTTAACCAACAAAAATAGTGGTATAATATGATGTATAATGGTTAAATGAATTATGGAATAAACAATAGAATTTATCCAACATAATCGATACAATATATTTGACAATGGTTAATGAGAATGGAATCCCAATATAGTTAACAATGGTTAATGATTCTGAAATAGAAATAACCTCTTGTAATGGAATACAATGTGATATCATATTAAACTACATTATACTGGAATAGAATGGGATATGATGGTGACAAATCCAATAATTCACCAGTCCCCAATATGTATGCCTTAGGTTTCCGGCATCGGCTTCACCGTAACAAGTAGAAATCACGATGCCAGCATTGGCTCGGTCAGTAGATAAGTTATGGCGATTTTGGAAGGATACGGATTCCGAAGAACGGGTGATTTTTTCATGAATATGGATATGTAATATGTAATATATATATATATACACACATCCTCCAGTAAAGTAACATAGATATTGGGTGTGTCTGAAAATGGGGTATATTGGGGTATATCCCAAATTTCAATTTACATGAAACACAGATGTGATATTCACGTCGCTTCGCGACGGCAACCGCCCGCACCGCATCGTTGGGCAGCCGCTCGTAACTGCCAATGATGTCGGCCATTGAGACCAAAAACATCCGAAAGTACTGATTGTCGGAAAAAAACACGCGAAGAATTTGATAGCCATGTATAGCGGACCAACGCAGTTCAAAAAATAACGAAAAACATGAAAAAACGGCGAAATTGCTGTTATTTACAGTGTTTTTGCGCGGTGAGAAGCAGAAACCACTGCAAATACCGTGGTTTTTGAGGGTCAGGTGGCCAAAAACACTGTAATTTACAGTGTTTTTTTAACCAACGTCAAAAAACACTGGTATTTACGATGCTTTCATTCACACCGTAACATAAAACAGCGTAATTTACGAGGTTTTTGGAAGTTTTGAAGCTAGCCGTCAAGCATGCAGAAAACAGAAAAACACTGTAAAAACCAGTGTTTCTGCTATCACAAAACGACGAAAATCAGTCCGAAAACGGGTCCAAAAACTCAAAAATCCGCCTCCGGGCCCGGCCACCTGCGGAACCGCAAAAAAAGATGTTGCAAACCAAAAAATTGAGGTCAAAAAGTTGAAAAACACGGGTTTTTTTCACTTTTCGCTTGCCGATTTTGGACGGGCGCGTTCACGAACAGGTGTCTTCCGTACTGTTTTTTACAGTGTTTTTTGAAGGCGAGCGTCACGACCTATCAAAAACAGGAGGTTTTGGCCGAAAAATGGTGCCCCCCCCCCCAGGTAAACCTGTAACCTTTTACGAGTGCCATCCGGAAGATCACGCCCCAGCACCTTCGGTGCGGGCGGATTTTTTTTCTCAGATAAGCCAATGGGAAACCCATGCTTTCCGAAGGAAGGTGATCTACAAATAGGTGGGTTTCGATTGATGAATTACGGATAACCAACCAACAAACAGGGAATACGCACCTGCAAACTTCCATGTTAGGTTGAATCATGTTATATCAACCGTTGACCATAAAGCAATTTATGGAGGGAAGTTCCTACTGCAACTTTAATGAGGAAGTGATGCTAAAACCACCAGATGTTTTGGTACCCAAAGAGAAAAATGTGGATGAAACTGGAGCATTTTGGTCGCACGAAATGTTAGCAGAATAGTCTTGGGATGCGAACCGCTTTTCTGAACTGTCCACACCTTGCTGGCTTATCTATCTATCTATCTATCTATCTATCTATCTATATATATAGTGAAGCTGAGGTTGGCATCCGTTTTGTTTTTTTTCTGGGGGACACGCCCAGGAAACTTTGTCGAACAAGCTTCACATAGGATCGATTCTCTGGATTCGCAGAAAACATGGTCGTCCTCCCTATATCACTGGAGTCGTTTAAGGGGAAAAAAACAGGAAAGCCATGGGTTTTTACCATTCATTGAATGGGATATTCATGAGGGTTTCCTGGTCAAATTCTCCAGTAAAGCAATCCATTGACATGGATAACTGTAGCGTTATTCACCGTTGAAATCTCCTTTTTTTTGCCATGATTAAAAATGTTAATGATTTCAATGGTTAGTAATTGTTAACAATTATGAACCATTATGAAGCATTATATGAAATGTAATCATACATGTTAAGATGCACTTATAAGTCAATCATTAGTATCATATAGTATTATATATAAGTCAATGGAAGGATAATATATATCATACATATATTACAATATGCACGTATAATATATATATCATATAATTGGTGAAGCATATTTGCCAGGATATGATGCCCATGGAGCCGTTGTGGGACATTTTGCTCCCGTTGATCTCACTGGCTGTGGGGACCAGCCTGGGAGCCTTGGGGATGCAGATCACCCTGGGCATGACCTTTGTGCCTGGGACCGGCATTTTGTTGGGGGATGGGAACACATAGGGCATTCTTGCTTTTGGATAGTGTATGTATATATATATATATATGTAGATGGATAGATAGATAGATAGATGGATGGACGGATGGATGGATAGATAGATTGATAGATTGATAGATTGATAGATTGATTGAGAGGATAGGATAGGATAGGATAGGACAGGACAGGACAGGACAGGATAGGATAGATAGATAGATGGATAGATGGATAGATGGGATAGGATAGGACAGGACAGGATAGGAAAGGATAGGATAGATAGATGGATAGATGGATAGATGGATAGATAGGATAGATGGATAGATAGGATAGGATAGGATAGGATAGGATAGGATAGGACAGGACAGGACAGACAGACAGACAGATAGATAGACAGATAGATAGATAGAGAGATAGATAGAGAGAGAGAGAGAGATAGTATATGTAATGTTAGGGACATGGGAAACAAATCTTTCGGATTCTTGAATGGTCACTGGCAGTTGTCAGAGCTTCCGAAGTCCAAACACAGGTCCCAAATATCCATGGATAGGTCTAGGGGAAAATCTACGGGAAACCATGACATGTCCCATGAAATATAGGGGGTTCCTGCAAAATGTCCCTGAAAAACCAATCCATTGAACATATCTAGTGATTTAGAAAACCCAGTAAACCCCATTAAAGCTGCCATAAAATGGAGGTATATACATGACATGTGCCTGGGTAAAACCAAACAGCTTGCAAGGTGCAGCCCTTGTTGCTACTGCTGCTCCCCTCTTTCCTGACGATCTTGGAATCCTTCCACGAACGCTTGTTGGCTTGGTTGCTTGGCACTGGCAATGCTTCAATGGGTCTGGAAAGCCGCACCCGCAGAAAAGGTAAATCCGGATGTTTTAATTTTTTAGAGGGAAACCCATCCTCAAGTGCTGCATAATTTCTCCTGCGATGAACTTCCACGAACGATGGAATGGAATCCCTTGGAGGTTTGGTCATGAATCAGATCTGGTTATGTTTTGGTCAATTTTAGAGCCCACCTTTGCTTTGCGGCTTTGCATGAAGGCTATTTCGATGAAGGAGCAGGTGTCCACAATTAGTAAGACTCAACTCTTGAGAGACAACATCCATGAGAATCCAGTTGGGTGTGTCTGAAAATATGGGATGAGGCACAATTTATAGACATCATGGCAAAATAAGGTTTTTGAATAGTGGTGTCCAATAGTTTTCAGATACATCTGCCATACATTATAGCCAATCTAGTTATCAACCAACTTAGCAATCATACATCAGCTATAAACTCCATTAAATCAACCATTTTTGTTGGTGAAGTCACCGATGTTCAGACTCTTTGGTGCCCGGTGGTGCCCGGTGGTGGAACGGCGGTGCCCGGTGGTGCCCGGTGCCAGGCACCTGGGTGGGATCTTTGGTCAGCCAATGTTGGTGGCACAAGTGGCGATCGCTCATGCCGAGAGGCTGGTCATTGGGCCTTGGGGGTTGGTATTTTTTACCTTTTTTTTGCAAGCCATATCCATTTATAATTGGGATAAGCATGGATAAGCTAAACTATAGCAAAATCTGTGGTTGGGGCGTATTTTTTTGACCCATCATCTAAAGAAAAGTGAAAAAAAGTGGGGCTCTGAATCTTTGAAAGCTTTCTGATGAGTGAATCAAACAAGAATTGGAAGAATCTAAATCAATCAGAAAGAAAAGTGGTGCCTCAAAAATGCAAATCTATATAGGTGTTTTTTGAGAAAATGGGCACGTAACTCTGATTTTTTGCTGCACATTTGACTGGGGAAGATGCAGTTTGAGACCATTGGGTTTGGAGGGTTTCCCAACGTTTTTAGATACCACACCCAAATATCATATTGGTGATATATCTCCATGTTATCCCCATGAAATATCCCCATAAAACTGTTGCTGTGGTCCTTGGAGGATCTATCATCGTATTACTTAGCATCTGGCTACTTATTGCCTGCTCAATAAGTCCACACTGCGTGGGTTATTCAATTTATAACTCGGTAATTTTGACCCTGCAAACACAGAAAGCAGTTACAATGCGTGGGGTTTTCACCACCACGTACCTCGTACCCCCTTCTTTTGGGGAAAGTGGGTGTCAAGTTCCCCGCGTCCAGCGCCAGGCATGAAGGTGCTGGCTGTTTGAAAGCCTTTGGAGTGCTGGTGGGGATCTATACCCTTGGGGCAGCGCAAGACTCAGGTTACTTCTAAATCTCAGGCCATGAAAAAACGGTGTGTTTTGGAGAAGAAGTGCGAGGCACACCACTTTTGGCATCGAAGTCGAAAATAACTTCAAATATTCATTATTATACACCTGAAGTAATTATACAAATCAGTGATCAGACATTTTTTTGGCTTTCTGAGTGGCTTTTCGTTTGATCATCATTGAGATTTAGTGTCCAGCAAGGTGCTTGGTGGTCTCATTCGCAGTCTACTGCAGATGCTGCCCTGGCCATATGCCCATCAGGTGCCAGATGTTCCCAGTCGGTTGATGGAGAGAAAAATCCACCGAAGAATGGGGAGCCAACCATTGAATGGATTTACCCTCTGGTAAACATACAAAACACTATGGAAAAGCACCATTTTCAATGGGTAAATCCACTATAAATGGCCATTTTCAATAGCTATGTTAGTTTACCAGAGGGTAAATGGTGCCAAACTGACACTGCTGTTTTTCCCAAAAGGCCAATATCCAATGACGCTCCAGCAAACATAGGGATGGGAAGTGCTGTTGCAACACGATTTTTGCCTTGTCGAAAACAGGGCTATATCTTTGGTGATTGGTAAATCCACCATGTTTAGACAAACCTCTTTATATCCATTTGTCATATGTTGATTATATATATATATATTATATTCATGGGTTAAATCACGTTTTTGTAAATTAAATCTCTACTTGGGCGGGTTAAATCCCCTACATCCTCATTATATCGTCATTGTATCCCATTCCATCCTCATTGTATAACTCATTATATATATATCCTCATCATATATCCCACTATTATGTCCCATCTTATCCTCATTATATCCACATGAGATATCTGGTTATATATACCCTCTGGTAAATTAACATAGACCCTGAACATCACCAATTTTAAAAAAGGAAACTCATCTTCCAACCCCTATCTATATACCAGGGTCTATGTTAATTTACTGGAGGGTATATATATATACACACTTATATCCTCATTATATCCACATGAGATATCTGGTTATATATACCCTCTGGTAAATTCACATAGACCCTGAAAATCACCAATTTAAAAAGAGGAAACTCATCTTCCAACCCCGTTTTCTACCAGGGTCTATGTTAATTTACTGGAGGGTATATATATATATATAGCGACCTCACTGCGACCTCACTGGAAATCATAGTTAATAAGGGAAATCATCCCAAAATGGCCTTAATTCAGGTTAGTGAATTATTATAATTTACCCATATATATACACAAATATCCTCATTCTATCGCCATTTTTTTGGGTGAACACTCCCCAATTTTTAGACATGTCCAAAACGGATAGGCCTGCGCTCAGCTGTTGATCCTCTTCCTGGCCCGGAAACCGAACGGAGTAACGGTCATGATTTGCCATGACCAGTCATGTGTTTCACTAATGGTTCGTAACGGTTAATCTCTGGTAAACATACAAAAAACTGTGGAAAATCACCATTTTTCATGGGAAAACTCACTATTTCGACTCGGCCATTTTCAATAGCTATTTCAATAGCTATGTTAGTTGCCAATGGTTAGTAATGGTTAGTAATGCTTAGTAGTGGTTAATAATGGTTAATAACGATTTGTATTTGGTTGGTGGTTTGGAACATTTTTTTATTTTTTCCATATATTGGGAAGAATAAGCCCAACTGACTAATATTTTTCAGAGGGGTTGAAACCACCAACCAGATATATACCCTCTGGCAATTTAACATAGCAATGGAAAGTGGTCAATTTTTAGAGGATTGATGATGATTTACCTATGAAAAATTGTGATTTTCCATCGGTTGCTGAAGTGGGGATCCCATAGTAAAACCATCTGAGCAAATTATAACGACCTCACTACGACCGAGCCCTGGAATCATGGTTAATAAGGGGAATCAACCCCAAGATAGCCTTATTTCAGGTTAGTGAATTATTATGATTTACCCATACATATATATATAATTAATAATAATAATAATCATAATAATTAATAATAATAAGAATAATTGTAATAATAATAATAATAATAACAATATATATAATTACAGGTATAGGTCAAGTCATTGGGTAGCCCAATAATTAGATGGTTAATACTATATACTAAAATCTGTGGACATGTGTGCACAACATAATGTAATACACACACAAACACACACATACATACATACATACATACATACATACATCCATACATATATATATATATGTACTTCCATATATTTCCATATATTTCCATATGCGTGTGTGTATATATATATATATTCTCAGGTGAACATAGATACATATCGTTCCATCCCTGGAAACAGGATGGTTTGCCTGAAAAAAGGTGGTTTCTTCGTCCATTTCGGGTGTATTTTTTTTCTGAGGTCGTGGGCAACTTGATGACGATCTGGCACAATGGCCACATGCTGGGGCACCACGAGGATGCCATAGTGATAACATCCCATTGACCCCCTTGATATTGATGAACACACTGGGGGTTTTCATGGGATGTAAAAACACATGTTGTCACGAAAAACCGACTACTATATACCTATGATATTTCTGTATCTGAGAATATTCAGATCCATAAGTACCCTCTGGTAAACTAACATAGCTATGGAAAATCACCATTTTTAATGGGAAAACTCACTATAAATGGCCATTTTCAATAGCTACGTTAAATCACCAGAGGGTACCCAGCATGTTGATCCTTGTCCCCAGGAGCACACGCCCCTGTTGAGCGAGCGCAAGAATCTCAAGGTCTTCAAGGAGTCTGCGACCTGAGACCGCCGGCTGGGTAACTACGGATCAAGTCACTGCTGTACCCCCAACAAGGCTGGTGGATGCTAAACTTAAAGTTTGAACATCTGTGGTCTATTTGTGAAGTTGTCCAAAAAATGAGGAGACCCCCCCAAATCCTGTAGTTTCGAACATGACGTTCAATATTAAACTGGTCAGTTGTGGTGATAGCCCATTTTCAGACACACCCAATACATATAATATTATCTGTATCGATGTTATGACGTAAATAAAGAGATGTTCGTACATATATATATATATAATATACATATATTTATATGTACATTATAGTACTAGACCATAGAAAATGATGCAATATCTCCATACATAGTCCAGCAACACTGTCACCGCATGGGCCCAGGCGTTGCAGCAAGTTCCTTGTGAGCGAAGTGCAGCGCGGCCTACGGTCCTTCAGCAGTTCTTCCAGGCGGAATCCGAATAGATGAGGCCCCCCAGTGATGTTTGTTGGTTTAGATTCGCCCCAGTAACTAGTTCGTTATAAATACCATAAACCATAGTGACATCTTGGACTTATAAACCAACTTAGCTATCGAACGAAGGCCTCACATTGTAGGGATATTATGGGTATGATGATAAATTAATGTATAATAATGTATATGTATATGGTTTAATCAAGACATCCCAGTACATATCTCTGATCTAGCTGGATCAGATATCCATTCATATGATTTGATATATTATGGTTATATCCTACAGAACAAGTCTTTTGGGTCCAAAACAACAGCCACCTTGGATCAGATGGGACTTGATTGAACCATGAAACACAATTAATGTAACAGTGGCGGTTTCATCAGAAGCAAAGGGTAAGTATATTGTCATACATAATGGATGGATAGAAGCAGCTAGCCGCAGCTAGCCTACTTTCGCAACAAGATTCTTTATTTTTTGTTTAACATGCATTTCTGCCGTAAGTTTCTTCGACAAGTCGTTTCGTCTTTTTGTCTTTTTGACATACTGGAACACTGCCCAGCTTGGAGGCAGTGAAAATCCCCATATGAACATAGTCACTACAACAGTCTGATTGACTCTTTGATGATTTTGAAGACTCATGATTAATCTTTGATATTTACAATCTTATATATATATATATCATATTGCCATATATCACATTATAGCTGCTGTAGCTGGTCAGCCATTTGGTATTGTGTTTGGAACAATTCCACATTTTGATCCGATTTCCCAACAGCTTCCGCATTCCCAGCCAGACAGGCACCTTGCAGCCCGCGCGGCGCTGCTTCTGGGTGTGGGAGCCCACCGGTGCCAGGGGTGCCAACAATCTCAGTCTGGGTCCAATAAACAAACTACTCTCTGGTAAACTGTCCCATAACTATGGAAAATCACCATTCTTAATGAGTAAATCCATTATGAATGGGCATTTTCAATAGCTATGTTCGTTTACCAGAGGATAATAACGTTGTGAAAGATGAGCCCCCTCATTTTCAAACCGGGATGAATCAGAATCCATGTACCGTATTTCGGGGACCGAAGATCTATGAAAAAAACAGCTGTTTTGATATGATCAGATGACCCAGTTTTCAAGTGCAAAAACAAATCCGCCGGCTCATTTCCCTAAGTCAACAAAGTCATTAGTATTAATATACCCTCTGGTTATGACTAACATAGCCATGGTATAGATGGCCCATAGAAATAGACGGTTTACCGCTCTTAATAGCATGGTGATTTTCCATGGCAAACTGTTAAATAACCAGATGGTAGTATTAATATAGCATTTTCCAGCATTCAACATGATCTATAGCCCATGTTCAAATCAGTCGCTGGCGCCACAGGTCTGACCTGCATCATGGGCCCTGCGTGACCCTGGCATATGACTTGAGAAAATTGGGGAATGGGCCCCTGTATTTTTTTTTGATAACATCTTATAACTAAGCATAAGGGGAATAATACGGGAGATACAACCGAACTTCGTATGATATTTTTTTTGTTTGTCTGAGAATCGGAGATTGATAATTCAAAAGTGCTGTTTTTGGTTGGGACAATGAGTTTTTTTTTTTTTTTTTTCGCATCTTTTTTCACCATCCAATTTCGGGGGTCGCCTATTGACAAACCCATCCGTGTCATTGGCTGGCCATGCCCAGAGCCAGGCCTTTACCTGCGCTGGATCTCTTGACTTTCACACTGCAGGGCGGCACAGTGACTCAGTGGGAAATGAAAAATTGGCTGTCAATGAGCGAAGCTTCTATCGATCCATCATCATAATCATCATCATCATCATTCATCATCATCATCATCATCATCATTCATCATTCATCATTCATCATTCATCATGCATCATTCATCATTCATCTTCCAGATTCAAGTGTTGAAAATCGCGTTTCAGCTGGTTTCTGTGGACGAACCCCTCAAAATTCAGCGTCCAGAAACGGTGTGTACCCAGACTGCCATTTGAGTTCAAGCAATTGGTTTATAACCACCATAGATCCTGGCCAAGTTATAAAGCAACTCAATTGTATCATAAATCCGATAAATCATTGATAAATCAACTATTCCCCATTCTTTTGCTGGTTACCCTCTGGTAATTTAACATAGCCATTGAAAATGACCCAGTCGAAATAGTTGATTTTCCCATTAAACATGGTGATTTTCCATAGTTTTTATGTTTTTTGTATGTCTACCAGAGGGTAAATCCCATTAGACCCCAGTTAACCACCATAAAATCCCATAAAATCCCATTAAATCACCATAAAATCCCAGTTTTTTGTTAGTAAATCATCCATTTTCCCCCATGGGTCAAACAGGCCGCGACGGACTCAGGCATCCCTCGCGCGCTGCTAACGGCGCCCTGGCGGTCTTCTGGTTCGATCTGGTGGGCTCCATTTCCTATGCCTTCCTGGTGCCTTGGTGGATGGTTGGCCTCCCCCAGTGATGTTTGTTGGCGCTAATGATAGCCATATATATATATGTTGTATATATATATATACTGTATATATACATATGTGTATATATATATAAACATACATATATATATATATATTAATCAGCAAAGCAATGAACAGATAGTGATAGCGAGAAACAATGTTAGTAAAGCAAGAACCAGCCAAGTCTTCATGATTTGAACCACAAAATTATGGTAAACTTGGGGATTCCACGATGTGTTTTTATTGCTTTACCAACGTTACGTAGTCATCTGGCATCCTGAAGTAGATAGAATATGAGATTTTCAACGATATTCCCATGTATCCGTGAGGATTCTTTGAAATTTCCATATTCTATCTACTCCAGGATGACTATCTATACATATATATATATATACAAAGCCAGATATCTATAAATAAACCCAGATAGATATGTATATATATAGATATGTACAGGTATGTTTATAAACTATAAACCCAGAGGACCATATGTATATATATATATACATACATACATATACATATGTACATATATATATATGTATATATATATATGTATATATATATATATGTATATATATATACATATATGTATACATATACATATGTAAATGTATATATATAATAATATACATACACATACACTACTTGTACGGATATATCTACCATGAAACCTGGTTAAGCTCATTACAAATTAACCACCTTGTAGCGCTTTTGTTTGGCAATACGTGTCGATCATCCCTATGATGTGAATATTGCAGCTGTTTCCCGTTTGTTTTACCTAGTGTTTGGGGACAGATCGATGACTTCCGGGGGTCCACCAACTTTCAGAAACACTTGCGGCCAGTCTGAATTACTGTCCAGTAAACTGACATAGATACGGAAAACCCCCCAAACATGTAGATATGGCTGATCCTAGTATTAGTTGGTTTATCATCCCATTCTTATCCCTCTTCAATATGTTGCACATTATTTTGGAACATATAATCTCAGTAGAATCAATTACCGTAATTCCAAAATCCAATGTTTTGTGAATATGCAATCTTACTGCAGTATCCCATTGTTATCGCGAGATGATTATTTTTCATAATCCTATTGTAAATTAACAATCCCAGTATTGAAAAAACATAGATCATGAATAGGATTCATCTACTTATCATCCTAGTTGGTTCATGGATTCATCTACTTATCATAGTTGGTTACCATCCTACCATCCCATGATTTTCTCACCGCGGACTCGAAACCGGAGGTCCCAATGCTCGATATCTTGGGAGATCCGGCTCGCCGGCTGCGAGGTCGCAGCGGGAGCGCAAAAGTGATGACACATGATGAAACCATCAAAGTTTCTGGTGAAAGATGGGGATTTTGAGTGGGGATTTCAGTGGGGATTTAATTGGTGAAACATCGCCGATTTTGGTCAAAACTCATACCAGATGTGGGGTGAACATGAATATACCAGCTGAAGTGATGTGAACTACAGGGGCTTCGAAGCTTTTGACTACCCATTTAGAGTCTTGAACCATACAACATGGGGGGTATACTCCAGGAATTCTGCTTGGTTGATGATCTTTTCGGGGTTATCCTTCACTTTAAAGTATATATTAATATATATATATATATTAATATATATATATATGTATATATGTATATATGTATATATATTCTCCAGAGTAAATGGCCATGAATTTTGTGTATACCTGATTTTGGACAAACATGGACAGACACATTTCTGAAGCTCAGGAGGTTGCCGGCAAGGCTGGATCTAGTTGAAACGTTTGGAAGCCGTTGATGGGTTCCCCACTTTCCAGTTTGAAGATATTTGTAACTGTTGCTACCCGCTTATCTCCATTTGGGTATGGATCAATACCTATTAATACCATTTTTAGAGGGATGAACATCCATTTACCAGCTATTTTGATGTGAACTACAGGGGTACAAGGTTTTGACACACTGCCATTTTGCAATAGATTTTTCTTCTTGGCATCTCAGTTTGTTGGAGCTCCACTCCGATCCATTTCTGACAAAATGCTATCCATTGTTGGGAAAAAGATGGCTGGCCAGGTCTGGATCTGTTCTACTATCCATGCTTCGGATCCCTGATGCTGGCATTCTTCGCAGCCCCTCGGCGACACCTGAGGATGACAAGGGATGTATTGAGGCTTGGAATGCTCATGAGAAGTTTCTAGGAAGGACATCAGGGGCAGGACGTATTTTTTTTGCGGGGTTTGTGATTTTGAGGGGGGAACATGAGCCCAAGAAATGGGAGTGTTAACTACCAGGTGGACATTTTGTGGAAACACACTCCGAAATAGATCCCCAATCCTCCGGAATGTGGAGATCATTTGGGTTGGTTTGAAAATTAAGGAAAAAAACAGCATCTCATAGTTTATTGCCATGATTTTGTTGCATTCAATTTGTTTATCGCTGGCTGTGTCAATGGTGTTTTTAACCTTCTTGTCCCTATAAACATTACCCTCTGGTAAACTAACATAACCATGGAAAATCACCATTTTCAATGGGTAAATCCACTATTTCGACTGGGCCATCTATACAATAGCAAACTGTAACAGTCATTACCAGGCCGGGTACCATAAATTGGTGTTAAAAAACCACATATTTTCCTCACCTCGATGTCGTGATGCCCCGAAGATCTGAGGCCAATTTCCACTTCACCACTGCGATGAAGGTGGCGAGCCGTGGCGAGCCGTGTCGCCGTGGCGAGCCATCGGGATGCTGTTGAGACCCAAAAGTCATGGGTCACAAATGAGATACGAAACTTGGGTATAGCAATGAAATATAAATTGAAATGGCAATTTCATGGGAAAACATGAAGGTGTTTGTTTCCCCTTAGATTTTAAGAGCCCCCGAAATAATGATAGCTGATTGATGGTAGTTTTTGATCGCGCCGCGCAAGGTTCCTGAGTTCCCCATCCTTGTGTGGTAGGATATACGTCATGTGCAGCCCCAACCATAAACCACACAGGCCTAGCCTAGGCAGTCATAAACCAACTTAGCTATCACAAAGCAGCTATAAAAATATCTATAAATTACATTAAATCATCATTTGTGTTTGTTAAATCACCATTTCCCTATGGTGTTTTTAGCCACACCATTTTGGGCCAATCCAGTTGGAGGTATCTGTGACAGCTGGCCTCTTGCTGAGCAGCTGTTGTGCAGTGGTGTCTGCCGTGCTCACGGCAGATATGTCGGAGAAGGATGGGGCAGTGCGGAGAGCACAACCCCAAGATGGGCATTGTGGCATCCCTATGACCGGCTAAAAAAAAAAACCTGGTAAGGTAAGATAGCAATGGACTTACTCAGCATTTTTACTGGGAATCATCCTGGCTTTTTTCTATAGTCAAATTACCAGAGGGTAGTGTTTGGTGATGCACTTTGCGTTGTTGTCCCTCAGTTGATTGGAATCTTGTCTCCATGGATTGTGAATCAATGTTGCTGGGTAGGACCAGGGATGTACATGGAAAGTTTCCCTTCAGATGAGTCCCAGCTGGATTTTCTAGAAGTTTCTTCCGTGAATCGGCCTAAATTTGTGTCCCCACTGTCGTTGTTTTTGGTGCCGGGCATCTGAGGGGGCCCCCGCTGTTGTCAGTTTTTGACATTACACTAAAAACAACGTCATAGACGAGGGGGGGGGTGGGGTGGGATAATAGCGTCATTTGCTGTACGTTCTCATGCACTTGCACACATACGTCATGCTACGCTGCTGTACGTTCTCATGCACTTGCACACATACGTCATGCTACGCTGCTGTACGTTCTCATGCACTTGCACACATACGTCATGCTACGCTGCTGTACGTTCTCATGCACTTGCACACATACGTCATGCTACGCTGCTGTACGTTCTCATGCACTTGCACACATACGTCATGCTACGCTGCTGTACGTTCTCATGCACTTGCACACATACGTCATGCTACGCTGCTGTACGTTTTCATGCACTTGCAGATCGTAGGGCGGGTGTTAGGTGGATGGTTATGGATATGTAAATGATGATGATGATCATGACATGATGATGATGATGATGATGATGATGATGAAAATGCTCCTGATGCTAAAGTTTCGTTTTTCAGCGTTTTGTGGTCCCCCCTGTAAAATGTTTGAAAAGTGACAACAGCGGGGGCCCCCTCAGATGCCCGGCACCTTGTTTTTGCCCATCAACTCGCTTGCCACCATCACATGAGTGTTTCGACAGGCTGAACAAAGCAACAGAAGAAGGTCGAACATACATATACCATGAAGCACTATGTAGACAGTCTGGCTACTGTCACACCAACTATATGGATATACTGCACATATACTGGATGAATTATCCATATATATATATATGCATATTGTACGGATTGTACGTATGCAAATTTAGAGATAGAAAGGCATCTATGTATTCGTTCGTCTCAAAATGGGTTACCCGCAATTTTGAATGGGTTATAAATAATCATTTTCCCATCAGGTGGCCATGAGTGGGGGGTATCCCCAATCTGCGCCAGGCCCCGCATTTGGCAGATGTGGGTGTGCGCTTGGTCCGGGTGCACAAGATGCTGATAAGGCTTGCAACGATAGACATTGAAACACTAAAGATGGGGGGTTTTAGCCAGCCAAATATGGGGGATGAACCAGCCAGCTTAGGGAATTTTCACATGATTTAACCTAGAAAAACAGAGGGATTTCAACCGCCAAAACAGCTGACCTAGTAACTGACCTTTAAAAGCTGAGGGTTCAGGACCAACAGGTGGGATTTCTCCCATGGAGTTTGATGCAAGTTGAGTCTGATCACACTCTTTTTCATTTTTTCAGTATGTACTTTTGAATCCGTATATTACATACACACATTATATTTTTTTTCATATACATAAGCTGGTTTGACATATACATTCAACATGAACATGAATTTGCTTTATATTTGGTTTCAAGCTGGTTCTTTCAAAAATCGTTGTGGTCTCTCCCTATTTTGTGATCGAGTGATGACATCATGTCTGGTGCCTTTGGACTTGCAAAATGCAATGCAACCTCTGTCCCATTAATCCACAGATTTTCCTGGTTTTTTTTCTCCCCATTTTCCATAGCAAAACCACTTTTTGTTCTGATTCTTCCCACATTTGATGACCTTAGTTAAATCATGTTAAATCCAACTTTTTACAGCTTTAAAAGTTTTCAAACATCTTGAAACAAGAACCAACTATGACTGGTTGGTGGTTTGGAACATGAATTTTACTTTTCCATTCAGTTGGGAATGTCATCATCCCAGCTGACGAACTCATATTTTTCAGAGGGGTAGGTATACCACCAACCAGTAATTATATAGTAGATATATCATGATCTATCCCATTACATAATGGATATTAAATGGATATTAAATGGATATTCATGGATATTCATGGATATTCATTCATGGATATCATATAGATTGGCCATAAATCTAGGCATTTATATCATATATAGATATACATAGAATACCAGATATGATATTTTTTTATATATTAATAGAACATACCTTTTTTTTATCTGGGTTAAACCCAGATGATCTCCAAAGGCCTGGGGTCTTCTCTGTGGCTCCATGGCGCAGTACATCGGAGCGCAGCTGGGACAGGTGCCGGCTATTGCCGGATATGGAACTTATATCATATGTATATAATAAGATGGTGGCTTAAAGATGGTTTTTACCATCTTTGTATCATATGATATATATATATAGAATATAAAATATGTATATTAATACATCCACAGCATCTATCAATTTTGGACATGCATATAAAGTCGCAGCATCTTCCAGAAATTCTCAATGTATCATATCTCCAAGATGTTATTGATAAGAATAATAATTTCCAAATTTGATGGTACATACTTATGTCTTATTCATATCTCAGATGTCTTCGATGGTCCATCATGAATCATGATCCAAAATTTTCTACCATCGGTCCATGGGTTTCAGCCGTGCGACGCATGGAACGACGCCAGGCACTCTTCTTGTGGAACTCCTGGAGCGCTGTCTGCGGTTCCGCCTACATCTGCGTGTGGCTGGCACGCAGGTGGACATACCAGGCGGAGCTGTGGGTGAAACACCATCAAAATGCGAGAGAAAAGCGACAGAAACACGATGAAACATGGGGGAAAACCATGATATTTCACCATGGAACATGGATTGACCAACAAATATGGGGGATTTTATCATGAAACATGGGAGGACCAAGGGGATTTTACTACCACAAATATGGATTTAGAGTTGATTTATGGTGGATTTGTGTACCAAAATTGGGGTTCAAACATGAAGCATCGGGATATAATAGGGATATAACAGGGATATAATATGGATATAATAGGGATATAATGACATATAACGGATATGATATAACCAACAAGATGATGTCTGGAAACGAGGGATTAACTCCCCAAATGGCAATCAAATAATCAGGAAAATGGCGATACACCATTAAATTTTGGGGGTTCCCCTGGATTTTCAGACAAAACCCACTTGATTGTTTAACGACTCTGAATGATGAAAACAGTGACATCCATGGTCAACTCCTGGTAATCAAGCATGGCTTGCTGGAACATTCCCAATTCGATGATTTTCCCTCATTTTTAACGGGATTTCTATGGATTTCCCAGCCATGTTTGATTTTCCCAATGGTAACTGGTGAGCCAAGTATTTTGTGTTAAGCGATCTCTGGCAGCCGTTTCCTTGATCTCTTGGGACGCGCGTCCCGGACGCGCCTTTTACGCGCTGGGTGTGCCATGTCACTGTCATCCTGTTGTGTGGTCCAGTCTCAAAATGAGGCCAGTGCGACAGATGCAGATACAGCGGCTGAGTTTCTGAGCAAGTTTCAATCCAAGCATGCAGAAGTGGCAAAGTTGGTGGCGGAGGAGAGGTTGAAGTGATGGTTGGGCAGTAGAGGTTCTTGTATGGGAAGTTATGTGCATGTGATTGATAGATATTGATAGGCCGAACTGCTGTGAGGTACCAGCAGATCTTGCAATCTCAAGCAGTAAACACCACCAAGGCACTTAGGACTTTTGATGAGTGGGTGGCCTTATGGGGTAGATTATAAATCCGGCATCCTCCCAGGAGGAAGACATGCTGTTGACCTTGTCCTTCTTCTTAGAAAAGATGCGCTTCGAAGCGGGTCTTGGAGCAGGACACCTGGAGGCAGCCACACCGGATTCCCAGCCGGAGCGACAAGTCTCCGTCAGCAGCGACCAGCGCGCACTGCATTCCGTGCAGTTTTCCAAGAGGGTCAGTGAGAAGCCCGCGCCCAGCGATGATCATCTTCATCATCTCCACCATCTCCACCCGGATGCCGATTCCTCGGGCATCTGGGATTTTTTGAAGTTTTTGACATCTTTCCATTGGACCAGAAATGGGGGAAACGAATCTCCAAGATTTTTCAGTTTGTTTTGGCTCCGAGGCATGAAGCCCACTCGATCGCGACCCATCCCTGCCTCGCTCGGCAGCTTGTCCCCAAGCGCGTCACCTTCGCCCCAAAAAAGCCGCAATGGCCGAGCTCATGGGGACTCGTCCAAGGGAAGTTCCATCGCGAGATTTCCGGATAGCGTTGGTAACATGTACTCCATCAACGGCTTGGGAGATGCAGGGCGTGAGATGCGGAGCTCATTTGTAGACATGGTGAATTCTCTCCAATATTCTCAAAACCCGTCCTGCTGCGGACGCTTCTTTGGGAATGCACTCCTTTCCATCTCTGGCTTCTTTGACATGCTCTATACGCTGAAGGAACCTCATCGGAAAGGCTGCTTGGCCAACTTTGTCGGCAGCCAGATCTTTGGACTGCTGTCCACCATTGTCACTGCTTGACGGTTTCAGTGGATTTTCGATTTTCAATCATTTTTGCTACCCCCAGAATGAGATAATCATGAGCTGATGATATCAATAGGATTTCATATGTTTTGGACCCTTTTGTGGCTCTTTGCGCTTAAAGGTGATTTTGACCAATGCAGTCTTTATCTTCTTCGCGACCGACTATGAGATGCAGAATATTGGCGGCTCAACCCCCATGTTCTTCAGGGTTACGGCTTCCCAGATTTGCTGTTCAGGTTTTTGTGAAATTTTCCCGGTCACCCGAGGTGTTTTTTCGTTAGCACAGATGTGGAGAAATCCCGTGTCCCGATTGGAAACTGATCTACAAACGGCATGTTGTGAATCCGATAATATCCATATTCTGAACCAATCTGAGAAGCATTTTCATAGCAACTGGAAGGATCTGGTTCTATCCTCTTGTTATGTCCTGGAAGTCGGCTTGAAACTGGTGGTGCACCGGGGCTTCTTCTTTTGGAACTCAGAATGGGCCTGGAACGGCTTCGACTTTCTCCTGGTGCTTTTCTCCATCGTCGAGAGCCCTGGCTTTGCCGAGATGTTTTGAAGCTTCCCAGTGGGAAAAGGGGAAAGTACGGTTTTTTTAGTTGTCATTTTCCTCCATTTTCCATTGTTTTGGGTATGTTGGGGGTCCAAGTCCTGCCAAATCCTGCAGGAACCTCTTGGCCTCTGAAGTGCTCTTCGCCAGTCAACGCAGCAGTGATCCAGTGAACTTGGGCTTCCTGAGACTCTTGCGATTGTGCAAGATCGTCGCTGAGATGATTTCAGTTGTTACCTGTTGCTTGTTTTTTTTTGGGAGTTCCTAAAATGAGGGTACCTTGAAATGGTTATGGTTTGTAGCATTTTGTAACTAGGTTAACTATGGTTTATCCATGTTTATCCTATATACTGTAGATATATCATGATATATCTATAGTTTTAGGGGTTTCTTAAGTCACCGGGGGATCCCCAAGTCACTCCTTAAGTTCCTTAAGTCATGGTCTACTGACTTGGATGACTTGGTCCATGACGAAACGGAAACCTCTATCTATCTTTCTTTCGGTGCAAGAAACGGAGGATGGGTCACTTTGTTCACTAAAAGAAAAATGTCGAACATGGTTGATAAACTTTGGATCATTTTTTGGTATCAACCATCTAAATTATCCCCAGGTTGACCCAAAGCATTGGGTTCAAAGGGGCCATGGGCGCTGTCCTAAAATGCTCATCATCTATTCCGGCGGAGTTTGGAAGCAGGACCTACCAAGGTGGAAGAACATATATCATATATGGCTATGCGTCAATACCGCCTGAACATCCATAAATCCCAGCTATTTTGATGTGAACTGCAGCGGTACAGGGTTTTGACACATCCTTTTTTTTCTCAAGATATATATACATACGCATGTATTTAACTATTTACTTGTTTTGTTTTATTTTATTCTCTTCTATTTCATTTGATTTATTTATGTACATGGTCTCTTTGAGGCACCCTTTCCGGGCGATCACGCTACGTTTTCAAGCTTAGAAGGGCTGTTCTTTTTTCGCTAAGGTCAAGATCCTGCGGATCTTTCGCACACTGAGGGTCTTCAGCGAACTGCGCTTGATGCTGCCTGGTTTTTTCTCGAACCCGATTGAGGGAGGGGAGCAACAAAAATCGTGGTAAAATGGGATTGATATCATGATGTTTCATTGAGAAATGATAAATACATTGGGACAGAATTATTGGAATCTACTGGGAATATCCCGGCGAAATCTACTGGGAAGAACTTTTTAATTTTTACGGGATTATAATGGGATGATGGGGAATATGACTATATAATATGACCGCTCATTTTGATGAGCATTGGTTGATGGTCATCATGAATGGGGAATATACCCGGTTCAAACCAAGAAATCATGAGGATATCGTGAGTGCTTGGTTGATGATTCTTAGCATTTTATGTGATTTTATGTGGAAATATTGGGATATAATTAATATAGTGGGGATTATAAAGAGGGTACCCCCTATTGGTGCCTTTTGAAGCAGATGCCATGAATCAAACATCCAGGCTGGATTGCGTGCTGGGATCCCTGTTGAATTGCATGTGGTGTATCGTCATGCTGATCTTTGTGATGTATATCTTTGCGCTCTTGGTGCAACAGACCCTGGTTGGCTTCCTTCAAGAGGAAGGCGACGAGAGGACTCCAGAGGAGATCGGCTTGCTCTATCAGTACTTTGGGTCTGTCCAAATCACCCTGATCACGCTTTTCCAAGCGATTACATCTGGAGTTGATTGGCATGTTCCTTACGAGGTTCTTTTGATTTCCGGGTCAATACTTCCAGCAGCCTTCGTTTTTTATGTGGCTTTTGTTTTCATTTCGGTCTGGAATATCGCGCCTTGGCTGTGATCCGGTGTTGTTTTTCGACGGACCTGGTAGTAGCCTTGAGATTCAAGGTATGCTTCAATTCATGAAAAAAACATCAGTTTACGAATACGGGGACCCAATCTTCATGCTCCTCACAGAGTTTACATATCCGGGGCAAAAAAAACACCATGAAAACTCAGAGCTCTAGGGTGATCCCGGGAAGGTGTGGTTCACGAAGCATGGACACCAACTAGTCAAGCTGCAAGAAGCCGTGGCTCCAGTGATCACCAGTTTCCTTCAGTCATATGTGTATATATAATATATATATATATATACATGTACGTGTGTATATATATATATGTATATATACTTGGTATTATCTTTGTATTATAACACTAGTGCTGCACAACATTTAAGAACATATTGAGGTCGTATCACCAGTGTCATTAATCCATTGATATCTTCAGTCATCGTTCAACTCATGGGAGATCATTGTAGGAGACTCCTGGATATCCTCTTTCGATACATCAAACTCGATTGGTGTTTTCCAATCGAGTTATACAGAGATATTATACTATGTCATATGTATATATATATATATGTGATATTTTCCAATTGATGTCATCTTCTGAGATGCTTTGAACAACCACAGCTCGATGGTTAAAACAGATTTTTCCTTCATAAAGTTAGGTGTGTGTTCGTTCGTGGCTGAGATTCGCCCGCTACAGCAATGATCAGCAATGCGGCTATCGGTAGTATCCCCAATAAGGTTGATTTATAAACGCACAGCAAAAAACATTGGGTTTATGAATGATTTATAGATAAATGATAGATAAATCATATATAAATTATAGATGGATTTAGAAATGATAGATAAATCATGTACATGAACATTCATTCACTGTAGATGCACTTACTATTGAAGCTTCAGTTACCCTAGGGTACACGTTTACATCGATGTGGACAAGCCGTGAATCATAAATGGTAGGCTTTCCACATCTATGTAACACATTTACCGATAGATAGTATCTCATTTTTATCATAGATGTATCATATATTTTTATCATATGGTAATCACATGATTTTTCTACTTCAATGGGGGAGACCTTTAACATAACTATGGAAAATCACCATTTTTAATGGGTAAATCAACTATAAATGGTCATTTTCAATAGCTATAATCTTCCAATAGACAGCTCATTCTTCGTAGCAAACCGATGGCGAGGTCACCAGTACCTTTGTGGAAAAGGCCTTGAAGTTAGCGCAGCCGGACATCGATCTGCTGGTGGTGGAGCAGCAGTTCCTGGGCGATGGGGTGATTTTCCCTGGTGAACAGCGATTGAAATCGTTGGGATTTATAGGGATGTTATGGATTTGAATCATTTACTCCTCAGTTTTTTTTGAGGAATCAATATCCCTCCAATCCTCAGGGAATACAGGGATGTAAAAAATGAGGGACAATGGCAACTTACTGTGGATGGTTGCGAAATCCTGCACCACCTTGAATAGTAAAAAACCCTATAAAGAATGGGATAAACTAACCAGCAATCAACTGGCAGGATTTCGCAACCATCCACAGTCTCACCAAAATCATGTTTTTTTTCATGGAATATGAATGGAATATTGGTTCATACCCTCTGGTGTCATCAAACATGGCTGGCTGGGACATCTTTGGTCCTGTTTACAGATGCCGGGATTTCATGCATCAATGGCGGATTTTCCAGCCACTGAGATGACGACCTAAAGAAAAGGGATCTAGAGAGGTTTAAAGAACCTGATTTCACCAGCAATATTGATAGGCCCTATATATTTAAGGGCTATTTTTTGGGATTTATTCATGGGGATATGATCAGCAATATGGTGTTTGGGTTTGTTGTCCACTTGAGGGGTAATCCCAAAATGACAATCAAACAATGGGTAGACCCAAAAAAGAGCACCAAAAGCCCAAATTGCACTGAAAATGACAGGGTCACCCCCCATATGTTGTTTCCCTAAACCATGGATTTTGTAGGGTTTTCCCCATCATTTTCAGTGAACTTTTGCCTGGTTGAAAAAAATCACTTGCCAGGTTGAGAGACTTTGAAGATACCCAAATGTTGGCCCAGCTTTTTGCGGATATGCTGCAGACCGATGAAGAGGGAGAACATAAAGTTGCTTGGAAAATGCTGGGAATACTTTGGTATGTTTTGGTTATTTTTTATCGCCTCCCAAAAACTTTTTTTGGGGAATCTACTGGGGAATACAGCAGTTGGTGCGTTTTGAAAACGCCATCTCGAAATCCGAGGTTGGCCTCAAGGAGTTTCAGAATCTGCTGGAAACCTATCAATTTAGATCCTACCTACAGACCAGGGGAATTGATATCAAAAATGCCGAGACATTCTTCAAGATGCTGGTGGAACTGCAGGGAGAGCCAACCATCGATGCAATCACCTTTGCGAATGCATGTGTTCGCATGAAGGGGGCAGCAACAAGTATAGACCTTCAGACGGTGATGTTCACTACGCACCTGATGAACAAGGAACAGAGAAGAGCTTTTCAATTCATGTGCCTTGGTAGTAAGGATGATGCTAGTAGTTCAATAAGGACCATGATGACAATTCAGTAGAGCCAATGATGGTAATTCAATCCTTTGCATCACGAGTTTTTCTTGAGGATGATGATTCACTGGTAATTCAATGAGGACAATGATATAGACCACAGAATCATTATTTGATGTCAATGATACATCATAGTAACCCCCAAAAAGATAGAAAAGTCGTGTACAATTATTTAGTAGGACATTCCTCTTCTATCTTATATTGCGGGTCGCTATATTGGTATATTTGGTATGCTGCATTATGCTTTCTTCGTGCCGGTCGGGGTTGAACAGGTACAACCGTTTGCAGAAGATTGAGTCAATGCTCACTGGCGGCAACTGGTCCGAATCTGTGGCATCACCCACAGGTGTTTCGCTGTCACGGGGCCAGAGCACTGTGAGCCGGGAATTTTGACGTGCCATTTTTGCGTCCTCCATCCTTAAAGGATCTGGGAGACATGTGACAAATGACTAAAAACTGGTGGAATTGCACAAAACAGGCTGCCTTTTCCTCGTTTGGAACAATGATTTCGTACGCTGTACGACATTTGCATGATCCCGCCCCTTTGAAACCCATGCCGAATGCTGCAGCTTCAGCAAGTCCTGCATCCATATATATTATATAATATATATGTGTGAAAGATGCCCGAAGGACCAAAAACACACAGCAGGTGGTTGTTGATCAGTTGATCCACCAGACAGCTTGGGGTCATGAAGGGCACATCTATCAGCTCCGAGTCAGTTCGCAAGTTTCCGTGTTTGGAAACTTTGGGTACTTGAATCACTTGAATCATCCCAGTAAATCACATGGATTACCTTGGAATATCATTAGCCCTTATGGATCGCTTGGATGTGCATCGGAATCGTACCTGGTTTAGCCACAGAAAGTCAGCCCTTCACGCCTTCGCGCCCCGGGCCTCGCCTCGCTTCGCCATGCAGCCAGAACCGCTGGTGTTGAAGGTGGGACTGGAACGATGATTTTTATGGTCATTTTATAGGAATGTTATGGTCAATTCACGGTTTCATTGGTAATTTTGGGTATGTATCAAAATGAGGTACTCCAAAAGCCGTCATGGTTTCTGGTGTTTTATAATGATTTGCGTCAATTTTCCCCTTTCAAACGATTGCTAGACGATGGGGTATCCACATTTTGAGACAAAGTCATAAGCAGCTGATTGCTGAATTCAGCACCCTTGGTTTTCAACTGACTTCCCATGAATCAAGCTGAGAGAATTTTTCTGAAGGGTTGACAGCTACAAAAATCGGTGAGTTCCTGGTGAGATCATCCCACGGATCGACAATGGTGAGATCTTGCCCTGGTGATCGTAAGTCCTCGATTCGTAGCTATGTATATAATTGTATATATATAATATACCAACATATATATATATACACATATATATATATACATACATATATTATGCCATGGTTATAACTATGTATTATGCCATGATTATAACTATGGCTACTAACCAAAAAAGCGATTGGATAATCTTCCAAGCAAATGGAGATGAAACATGGGGTAGGTCTCGAAGTTATCTCAAGCTTTGTCAATGTGTATCGATGCCAATCAATGCCAATCAATGCCAATCAATGCCAATCAATGCCAATCAATCAATCAAGCAATCAAGCAATCAATCAATCAAGCGATCAAGCAAGCAAGCAAGCAATCAATTAATCAATCAATCCAAGACATTATATGATATATCTATAGTTAGGCATCATTATCATTAATAGATATCATTATTACTATCATCATTATCGTTCCATTCTTATACCATCATCATTATCAATGCGATTACTCTTATTACTCTTATTAGTATTATCATCATGGTTATTGTATTGTTACTATTATGCTTAAATATATAGTTATTAGTATATACATATATACACACATATATATATACATACATACACATACACATACAGTCATACAGACACATATGTACTGTATATACATATATATATATATCATATATATCATAGACACATGTGTCTACAGATATTTAAAGATGAATGGTAGACCTGCCATCAGGGCGCTCCCCTTGCCCAGCCTGTGCAGGTGATGCGGCTCCGACAGCCCAGCATGGCGCCGCTGAGCAGCGAGGTATCCCTGGACGGCCCTGCGGTGCCCAAAGCTTTGGTGCCCATGGTGCCTGGGATGAGATGGATGGATTATGACCATATCTGATTGGTGGGACCATTAAAAATGGTGATTTTCCCACAAAAAAAGGTGGTTTTCCATAGTTATATGGGATAAGAGTATATAATCGGATTGGTGGTTTGGAACCATGGAATTTTATGAATTTCCATAAACAGTTGGGAATGTCATCATCCCAACTGACGAACTCCATCATTTTTCAGAGGGGTAGGTATACCACCAACCAGATATGATATGGATTATACAATGGGATGTTACAAATAATCATGACCCATAGTTATCCCATTCAAATCCCATATAAAAAATCCATCCACAAGCCCCATTGAATGGATTATGTCATGGGATTTGAATGGGATATACCGACAACCCCCCTGGTAAACTGTTACAGTTCGCTATTGAAAATGGCCATAGAAATATTTTTTCTCTAGCTATTGACAAGTTGGTGATTTAACCCGGAGTCAGGTCAGTTTACTGGATGGGTTTAAAGTGAGATAATTGCGGGGTTTCCTGAGATAGAAAAGGAAGGTACTGATGATGATGATGATGATTATTATTATTAATCATACCATTTGTACTGTTATTGTTGTTTGATTTGTTTGTATTATTGGTTGCAGCGTTGGAATCACTTCGCTGAGTTGATTGTCCCCAACGGCTCGAGCGGCCAGGCGCTTCAGAAGTGCCTGGTGGGGGAGCAGTTCACGGGCTATTTGCACGTCACCAACACCAGCGGCCATGTGGTTGACAATGTTGGTTTGCGTGTGGAGATTGATATAGGTGCGGGGGAAGCTGGCCACCAAACAGGGAACGATTGGACCCAGCTGTCCTGCAGGAACTTCCAAGTACACCTTGCTGAACACAGCAGCTTGGCATTTTTCATTTTTCGGCGAACGTCATCCCGCCAAAATTTTCAAATCACCATGAAATCACCTTGACATCACCATTTTTCTTGGTTGAAATCACCATTCTTGTCAATTTTTCCCGGGGAACATCTACAAATTTCGCCGCCGCCGGCTCTTTGCTCAGGCTTCAGCCAGTAAGAACCTGCCAGCAGGCGGGGAAAACTGGTGTTTTTCCTATGGGAAATGGGGCATCCTCCGAAGATAAACAGGTGTTCCCTATGGAACCATCAAAAATGGGGGAAAATGGTGATTAAATGGTGATTGACCTCTAAATTGAGCTTTATAGACAGGGAGAATCATGAAAGTATAGATTTTGGTGGATTTTCCATTGCTGCTGGCATTTGAAATGGATGTTTTTCCATCAGAAAGAGGGATTTAACTCGCCAAAGGTTTTAGCCATCAAAGATAGGGATGGAACATGATGGAACCAATGGATATTGAATATGGGTGTGTCTGAACATGGGGTGTTCACCCAGGCTTTATAGCAACTTTTCAATCGAACAGAATGATGATCAACGGGTGCATTGGGCTCTATTTTTGAACAACCCACTTGGGGTACCAAGCAAGTCCGTTGACCGTGGCTCAAATGATGTGTTTTGGATGTTGAGAATCAGAAGAATCAGAGTTTTAGACACAGCCCCAAGCAACAAAGTACCCTCTGGTAAATTAACATAGCGAACTAAAAAATCACCATTTTTCATGGGAAAATCCACTATTTCTATGGCCATTTTCAATAGCTATGTAACAGTTTACCAGAGGGTAACCAAAGAGCGCAGTCAAAATGTGGTGCTTCGATGATCAGCGATCTCAAGCTGCGAGGTGATTCTGTGGATGCGTTGGTGGAACACCCACTGAGCACTGCGGGGACGTATGCTTTCTGGACGGCAGCCGTGGGTTTGTGGAATTTGTGGAACACTGGGGTTAGGTTAGCCCGAAATTGCACGTTTTTGCAGTTGTAATGAGTAAGATGACCAATGGATTTTTGCTGTACTCGAGTTTTGGAGAAATCCATGTGATTTGACAACAGTTTTGTCACCCGGAAGGGCAGGACGTCATGCGGAAGGCGATCTGCCAAGGAAACAGAGCTCCTCATTTTGTTGGTGTCATCTGTACAACAAGTGGATTGGGGTACTCTATTGATAATACGCTACGAGCGGTGGTTATATCATCTTAAATCTTCTATCCACTATGACCTGTCAAGACTTCATTTGCAGAAGCACTTGGTAACCCCCCAATCGGATAATTGAGTCACACCTTGGTGTCTCACAAAATTTCTTCCTGTTGGTGATGAAGCCTTTCTCAACGGATAAGCTTTGCAGAAGCTCTTGAGTGGGTCATGTGTTGCTTCAACGGTCATGGTCCACCAAAAAATCAATTTTCAATGGGCGACAATCCTCCCATGGATTAGCAAGAAATGAGATCATTTCCGATATTGAAGTCACAACTACACAACAACATACACTATCCGTACAGTATGCATATGCATAGATTCATAGATGCTAAAAATAGATGAATGGAATTTAAGCATCAAACAAATTAACCAACGTAAATATCCAACTAAATAAACACGTATGTGTATATGTATATATATATACACACCACATACATGTATCATACACATATATACATATATATATATACATATATGCAATGTATGTGTACACACATATATATACAAATATATATACAGCACATATATAGTATGTGTATATATATATATCATATATATATACACATGTATGCACACATATACATCGACATGTAGACACGTGCGGAATATCGAACATGCTTGGCAAAAAAACACCGTCCCGAGGCGCTGACGTGCATCGTATTCTACAGCTGCAACGGGGAGCAGGTTCCGTGGGTCCATCGCGCTCTGCTGTTTCTTTACTCCTCAATCCATACTCCTCAAGAGAGCCACACCATTTTTTTTCCTTCAAAATGTCTTTGCTGCTTGACTCGACCATTTTTTTTCACCGATGGATCCTCCTAGGAAGCATCGCCGCCAGGGTCAATTCCGCCGCGCCTATCGCTTTCCTGCACTGGCACCCTTCGCGGTGTCGCAGCGCGTCGTTCAGATGGACTCTGGGCAGGCGGTTCTTGGGGAACTGAGTCATGCCATGGGCGAGTCACGGATCACTTCTTTGGCAAACTTGGGGAATCTTGAGAAATATGTTAAATTTGGTGGAAGATGATGAAACCATATAGTAACATAGTATCAGAGACAGGTTGGTTACTTGCAGATTTTGTCCTCGCAAGTATTTTTGCTTAGTAACAAATCACGTGCGGAGATTCTTAGAGTAAAAGTTATACAGGGCATTAACGTCTACCTCTCTTGGTAGTTGTTTGAATGTATGGAGTGATGCTTCTTGTATTGCATATACTTCATCTAAATCCCATCCCCCCATTTTTTTCACCCCCATCTGAATGCTCCCAAGCTTAACTGATGTCATCCCCTACATCTACAATGGTTTTTAGATGTTTTTAGGTTATAGGCTGATGTATTCATTATTAATAACATTAATCATATTATTCTCCATACACTATGAAAACCACCATGGTTTTTAGGGGGATGATAATGCCTTCCATTAAAAAAAAACCTGGGAGGTGGGATTCCGTAGCTTCCAAGGATCGACAGCTGCTGGTGGAGTGTGATTTGGCTGTCGATACAAAGCTACAACGAACGGGCAGGACGGGGGTGACAAAAAATGATTGGGGATACACGCCCTATATCAACTATGGTTATCATGTATATATATAATATATATATATACAATATATAATATATATATATCATATATATCATATATATCATATATATATATATATCATATATATATATATATCATATATATCATATATATACAATTATCTCCACTTTGTAAGTGGAACAACAGTCCCCAAGTCGTGTGAATTTCACCGTGGTCTCCAGTCTCCGCGACCAAGGTTTGGTGGAGAATTCCACGGAGGGCAGCATTTTTCTGCGACGCGGAGACCGTTTGGGGATGAAAAATTCCATGGCTTTTTAAAGGGCTCATCTATAGCTGGTTGGTGGCAAACGTTCAGCATTTTGCTGTGGCAAACGTTCAGCATTTTGCTATGGAAAATCACCATTTTTAATAGATAAATCATCTATAAATAATCCAGTTGAACTAACATAACTACTGGTTGGTGGTTTTAAACATGAAATTTATTTTCCATTTCATATATGGGATGTCTTCCTTCCCATTGACTTTCATATTTTTCAAGATGGTTAAAACCACCAGCCAGATAGAAATGTGGAAGTAAGTGTTAGTTGGAAATGTTGGAAGTGAGTTGGACATGCTCAAAACCCCATAAAAATCCGTGGGAAATGTGGATACCACCTGTGGAAAAATGTGGATACCAACTATAGAGTGCAAATGTGGATTAAAAAAATGATAGCTACTTACTTTTCTAATAAATCGTGGGAAATGTAGATACCACCTGTGGAAAAATGTGGATACCAACTATAGACTGGAAGTGTGGATAAAAACAATGATAGCTACTGACTTTTTTGGTAAATCATGCGAAATGTGGATACCAACTGTAGACTGGCCCCACACAATAGCATCCAAGTTATTGGTGATTATCAATGGTAGAAGGTGATACTTAACAAATGTGGATACAAACTAATAGATGATACAACTGTTAGACAAAAACATGATGATACAACTGTTAGACATGATTTTTCATGTTTTTTTTTTGTGTGTGTGGATACCAACTGTAGACAAAAACTTTTGCTATAAATGACTACAAACATGGTCATGTGAATGTTCCCAGCTTCATTTTCTGGGGGTTATATACTACTATTGTTCAATGATATGCCGTGGACGAAACGTCAACAGATCTCCTCTTCAGGCATGCAAAAGTAGAGGTATTTTCTCTTCAGCCATGGAAACAAGTTTTAATTTCCTCCAAACTCATCTAAAGTTTATCAAAATTCACCTGAATTCATCTAAGATTCATCTTTCAAACATGGAATTTCCCCTGACACCACAAAAATCTGCCTTTTCTCCATTCGTCACCTCCGATGGTTGTTTCATCTAAGGTCCTCTTGGGGACTGGACTGTGCTGAGGGTCTGCAGAGCGAGTTGCTCACTGAAATGGATCCCATCATAGGCGAGCTTTGATGGTGGAAGGGTGGGGAATATCTTCAGTTCATGATTCTATTTGGTATAATATATATATATATATGTTATAGTGGTATATAATATAATATAATATATATATATATATACCACAAGCCTGGTATTTTCAACAAACACTGGCTTTTTCTCTACCACTCCTTAGTATATTCAGTGGTATGTATATATATATTAGACAATGTTTGTTGAGATTGCTACAAATCAAATCCGTTGATAAGGATATTTCATGGGGATAGATAACCAGTCGATTAATGATTAGTTATCCAGAAAGAGAATTCATCAGTTGTAGGGGACATCTTCAGCTTTTTCATGGCGGATTTGCCGAAACTGGGGGTGTCAGGCCAACCATTTTATGGGTATATATATATATATGTATATCTGATCATGTGATGGGAAAAATTGGATTTAGCCATCACCTTTCGAGGTTTTCAAGCATGGGAACACATGAGGATCATGGATATATGGTGGTTATGTGGGGAAGTGGCTACCGGGGCTTGGAGACTTGGGTCTCCATATTGACGAGCTAAAAAGTGCTGGATTTTTTGGCAAAGGTTGGTTGTGAAAGTTGGGGATTAAATGATAGTTAATAGCTCATTTATGATAGCCCAGTTGGTTCTTAACTAGGTGACTTCTATGGCTTATGCCAGATGTAAGATGATATATAGTCAATGGGCGACCGAAACTAACTTCTAACTGGAGGGCCTTAGCAGTGGAATGATCTGCGCGAACCAACGGCAGGTAGTTCAGGGCCGCTGCTGAAACAGCGCGGGTGCTTCTCGCTGGTCTTTCGAGTGACCCCACAGGATGAGTCAGTTGACTCGGTGCCGCGGACGGCACGGAAAGTGCAGACGGGGAAGGGGCGAAGTGGATGTGGCGGGTTCGGTACCTGAAAATGATACGAAAACAGCAAGTGTTTCCAGGGTTCATCATCATTTTCCCTATAAAAATGGTCACAAATTTTCGGATTAAAACCTCCATTTCCAGATCCAAGAGGATGGGATGAAAGGACTTGGAGAAGCTGGATTGCACCGGAGAGATGATGTTCTTGGATTTTTGGTGGTTTCATGTGGTTTCAATGTCTTGGTCTTGCTTGGCCATTCCTCCAAAATCTAAAAACACCTCAGAAACCGTGGTTTATTGGAGGATGAAATCACATATTGACCATGCGATGGGGGTGTTTCACATGAATGGCGGGTCCGGAGATTTCATCATCGTCTCAGACATTTCTTGGTGCCAAACATCCAAAGATTTCCATCAACTTCAAGATAGCCCATAATAACATAGCTATACAATACTATACATAGCTATTTTCCAAATCGATTATATGTTGAATAGGCAAATCATGGCAAATCATCGAACTGAAGTTGACTTTGACTGTATCATTCATTTTCCATAGCTATGTTCGGAGGATATTTTTGTGAAGCCGAAGTCCCGAGGCCGCGCTGCGAGAGCGGGAGGCCGTGGGAGTGCTGAGCCTCTGCTGGCAGGTGCCCGATGGTCCACGCGGATGCATGGAAGGGCACCAGATTCAGGTGAAGGCTATGGCTGCAGGGAACTCAGATGGGGATGAGGATTGGATATGATTGGATGGGTGGTGAGTTTCTGATAGTTTCTGTTAGAATTAGTAGAGTTTATGGAAAGCTTTGGGGGTATATGGGTCAAAAAATTAGATATCCCTAAATTTGGATGGTGAATAGTAAACATGAACAGAAGCTGCGGTTTTCCGGGGCCTGAACTTTTGACCCGATGGGTTGGGATGGGACAATGGGGATAGGATGGCACTTGGATATCACTGGCATCCGTGGATGAAGGATGTTCAGGAGAGTTCTGCAGATGCTTGAAAACCATCCCAGGGCTTCCATGAATCATGGTCTCCACGCTTGCGAGGTTTGTCTGGAAGTTGGGTGGCCCATCCCATTTTGTTGATCATTTTCCTCTGCGATAATTAAGATGACCATGTTGTCTTTGGCTTGAATCTGTCAAAGAATCCCCGAGAATTTCCACGTTCCCCCCACAACAAATCTGGTGCTTCCACCGTCGGCGCTGAGGTCTTCGACCTGGACCTTCAGGTGGTGCAATGCCCCGCCCAGGTGAAAGTGGAGGAGCCCTTCAGCTTAGAGCTGCAGGCCAGCCGACGTCTCGGTCGTTGGGGTCGAGTTTGGTTTGTGGTTATTGAACAAAAAGACGGGGTGAACATGGGAGCTGGAGGCTATATGGCTATATGGTTATCCCTGGTTGATGAAACACTTCAAATTTCCCTGTAGGATAGTGATGGCATTGACTACCAAAATGGTACCCCCCCCCTATGATCAACAGCCTGGCCGTTCGCCTTCAGCCTGGGCAGGTGACGAATCGGACTGGGGAGCTGCTGCAGCCCAAAGTCTCCTGGCGGACTTTCCGACGTGGCATTTTTGATGGTCCTGAAAGTTGGAGCTTCGGGCCTTAGGGAAAATCATGTCCCACCCACCAGGAAAACCTTCCCATAAACCCGACTGGTCCTTTCAGATCCCAAAACCTATGGTCCCAATTTAGACCTCTATTGGGGATGGTGTTTTTTATGGATGGTTTGCCTAGTTTGCCTCCATTGTATTCTCTGTACGCACATTTCAGGATGCACTTTCTGATTCTCGATCTGATGACATCTGCTCTCTGGACATATTCAGCTTTTTTGTCAGGTCTCTGAATCACCAACACCCTGGATCGCCCAGAATCCCATTTTTTCCATCAAACTTGATATTCCCATATTATTAAACCATTGATTCCATTGATATTCTGTATTTTCAATATTGATATTCCAGCATATTCCAATCAAATATGACCATCCGGCAATTTCACTCAGCTATGGAGTTACTACGGCCCATGGAACGTTCCGTAAGATCCCATCAGTGATATTCCAACATCTCCGATGGATTATAATTTCCTATTGATGTGTCCATCAGGAACTCCGGTGACTATTGGAATAGGAATTTGAAGATGAAATTCAGTGGGATTCACTATTTTTCACAAACTTCAGACAACTATTGATATTCCCATGACTTTTCCAATTTTGAGATTCCAAATCATTTTCATATTCCAATGGAATGTTCCCATGACTCTTCCATCAGCCATTTTCCAATGGATTTTCCAAATCATTTTCCAAATATATATCGAAAATGGAAATGGCTTGATATTCCCGTCATCATTTTCCAATCACATTGATACCCATAACTTATCCCAGAACTATATACAAATATCTCCGCTACTGTAGTTCCCCTAGTTCCATCTAGTTCCCATGACTTTCCATCATTTTCCTATCATCTTCCCATTTCCAGCCGATCTTCCAGCCATTTTCCAATGGATTGTTTCAATTTTTTATCGGATGATGGTTTCAAATTTACAGGAACACCCCCAACAAAAATGATGGTCAAAACCCTGGGTTTCCAAAAAAATGATGGTCAAACCCTGGGTTTCCGGTGAAGATTTTCCCTTAAACCAATCCATTGATAGGTTGGCTTCGACCTGCGCATGATGGGCGCGGTGAAACTCCAGGGGCCGTGCCAACGGCCCCTGCAGCTGCAACCGGGGCAAAGGCGGCGCGACGGGACGGGACGGGACGGAAGGTGGGGAAGGTCCCTTGACCAAAACCATAGAAGCTGGTTGGTGGTTTGGAACATTTTCCATATATTGGGAATGTCATGATCCCAATTGACGAACTCCATCATTTTTCAGAGGGGTAGGTATACCACTATGAAGACTTGGGTGATGAATTTACATGATTTGTTGAGGGAATTTGGGTATTTTAAACATGGGATGTATAATTTGGAATGGGGGGATCTAGCCATCTATATGTAGAGTTTCAGTGGTAATATACATGTTTACCTTCAACACTGGTGGGTATCAGACAAACAATATCATGGGGATATCATGGGGATATCATGGGGATATCACGCGAATCTGGGATATAGAAGTTCTTCTGCATGGTTTGGCCTTTATTTAAGGGAAACACGAGGTTTCAAAGTGCCATTCTTTTAAGAGTAAGACATGGCGAAGGGATAGACTTGGCTACCCTCTTTGACTGAACCAGGTTAAACACCACCCGCCGGATGAAAGTCAGTCTCCACCATAAAGGTCCAGAAGCAACAAAATAGACCAGCAATAGACAATCAAAAAAATGGATCTTCCCAGACGACCTCCAAAATCCGGGCAGAAATCCAACCCATCCAACCGCGATTGATGCTCCCTGCAGGAAACGGCTGCCGATCGAACTGGTCATCACCGTCCCTGGCCTCCATACCCTGCAGGGTGTGTCTATTGCTTGTGACAAGGCCATGGTGGCCAGGAAACAAAAATGGACGAATTTCGGGGCCCTTTTTGATGGAAAGGATTGACAGCTGGAAATGAGCGGCGAATGACACTTTTCTATGGCATTGAAAAGGGGAATGACACTGTTTTCTACCCAGATAAATGATGATAAATCACCATTTCATGCGCATGTTGCAGAAGGACGAGATTTGCAGCAACCCAATTCAGAGCTGGGATGCATTGTCAATTTATTGCCGTGAATGAAAAACGTGACATGTTGAAATTGTGAAGAGTAGCTAGGGCTGGGGTTGTCACTAGTTGTGGTTGGATTTTTGTAGTCATATTATGTCACGTTTGGCTACTCAGTTGTAACCCCAAGTCTGGCGGTGACACCGTAACTTATAACCCAACTTTCCACCTGGTCATTGGCAATGCCGTACCAGGGAGACAGTTTCGCCAAACAACTCCCTTTGCATTGGCAGGTGGGACCTGAACGTTTGGACTTCGGAGTGCTCTGCGATTTGCTCGCCTTCTGACGAAAAATGAAGCGTGTTCCACGTGCGTTGCACTGTTTGGGGCGGGGGGTGTTCCCGTTGCTTAGCCGCTTAGCCGCGTAGCCCTCACAGCAAGGAATAAGAGTAAGACGCCACTATTTATTGGCCAGTTCTACTACCTTCTCTCGCTATTACCCACCCGCAGGAAGCTACAGGGGATTGGATAATACCCATTGCCTTCAGGCGTCAAGACTACATTTTGAATGATCTTGATGGAACAGCAGAAAAGTCGCGCCCAAGCGACCCCTGTGGGTTCATGAGTAGGACTTTTTCTAGGCTTATCAGCTGAATTGCTGAAGGTTGCCATCATATTTACCCTCTGGTAATTTAACGTATGGAAAAAATCTCCATTTTTGATGGGAAAACTCACTACAAATGGTCATTTTCAATAGCTATTTTGACATAACCAGAGGGTATCCACAAAAAACCGGGAATCTCAAGGCACCCCCCAGGTGGTTTGGCTCGGTGATCTCCCGAGCCAGGCGCTAGAAACTTCATCCTGACGCGCGCATTGGAAGTTGCGGCTCGTTGAGGTCTGAATTTCTAAACTGCACCCAAGGTGAGACGACTGGAGTTCACGATGGAAGATGGGGAACAATGGCCATGATATGCCATAATAGAATGATAAGGGATGGCCATTCGGCCATTGTATGATGTCATCGGTATTGATCGAGGTAGTGATATGTAGTGATCATCCAAGTCGATGCGGAGAGATGTGCCTGTTTTGAAGTGCCAGAAATGAAGGCGTTTTGAAAGAGGCAGAACATCAAAGTCTATTTGCAGCGTGAAACTCAACTGACAGTTTCTTTTCTTGTAAAGATAAGAATGATATATGATTATAAATTATATGTGTAATTATATATATATATGGCATTTTCCCATTGAACCAGGATAGGTTTTCTTACACAAAAATAGGGATTTCTCCACTTTCATAGCAATTTCCTCTGTAGGTGACACTTGCAGCAGCTTTTCTGGCACATCTCGGCGTGTTTCCAGCACTGAGGATGGTGGTTCAATGGAGTAATTCACCAGTGTAGAATATGACCAGTAAGAACTATTCAGAACTACTTGTACTATATAAGGGTGTTTTTTGCATTCCTGGCAATTCCAGGTGGAAAAAAGACCTGGATTTGATATTGATTCCATAATTTCATCACCTGGATTTGCTGAGGGTGATTCTGTTAAAAACATCGGGAATCTGGGAAGCGACTCCAAGACTGTGGCAAGTCAGCAAACCAACCTCCGTGCAGCACTGTGCAAATGGAATTCAGCCTCTTTCGACCAACCGCTCCGGCCCATTCCGGCCCATTGGCCGGCCCTGCTGTGACTGCTGTGATGTGAAATTGTGCGATGGGAGGGCTTTGGTTCTGAACGGGAACCATTTGATGTGGAGGCACTACTCAGTAGCCCCAAGCAATTTTCCAATTCACCAAAGGTAGAGCCTTCGTTTTTGTCCTCCGTCCACCAAATCGTTTTTTGAGATGGGTTGCGCATGCGTCATACAGCTTTAGACTTTCTTCCAAAGCTTGACAGTGCTGCTCAAGCCTATGCAAAAAATATGAAACAACCAAGTTCCACAGATAGATCTTGGTACATTCCACTGAACGTTTTCCGTTAGACGATACACATCGCACAGAACAGACGCAACTTGCCACGTGGACAGCGACTTTTCGTGTGGGACCTTCCGCAGCTTGTGCGGTGCGGTGCCATGTCGTCTTTATCTGCAGCATTTCTTCCATCCCTTCCGCGGGGGCTTCCCAGCATTGCTTGAAACGATTGGTGGAATAGAGTGAAACAGTGAGCCAGTGAAGCTCTAGGAAATACTTGGACACATTCTTTCGGTCACCAGAAGTGTCTGAAGACAAACATACGACTTCCGTAGGCAGTTCTAGGTCATTGAAGGCAATTCTGCTGTCTTACCATCCATTTTTCATGGTAAATCATGGAAATCCCATAGTTTCCTGTGATTTTCCTGAAAAAAACCAATCCTTTCAGCTGGAAGGCGCTTCGCTCCGCCAATCTTTCAAGCGGGCGTGCAGGCAGGAGCACAGAAAAAGTTGTGCCACAGTGGAACTCAATTGGGGTCAGCTTAGACGGCTTAAATCATCTTAAATCCACATATTTGATGTGGTAATCCCAGCTCAAAACCGCCAGCAAGATACGAAAAACACGCATCAAAAACCACCAACCCATCGGTTTCTGGGTCCAGTTGCGTCAAGCGCAGGCGCCTGCGGCGGTTTCTCCCGCGTTGAGTGGAAGCGATGGACGTGAACGGAAAGGAGCTTCAAGGTGGCCAGCATGGTTCACCGAAAAACAGCGTGGGTTGGTGAGGTACAAGAAAAAGGATCTAAGCAACTAGGGAAGAACTAAGTGTGGGTATACAATCTCTATCTAGATATTGATTGGATTGGACTGGATTGGATAATTTGGGATTGCCTTGGATGGAAGGATGATAGGTAAACAGATAGATCGATATATTCGATTAGCTTCGATTGCTGTAGGTCAGATTGGATGCTTCTTTTCATGGAAGTGTAAAGGGGTTTGCAAAGCAACAAACATACCCTGGAGGCCTTCATATATACGTGTATATATATGTACGTATATATATACAAGTATATATATATATACATATACATATGTATGTATGCATATATATATATATATGTATCCCATGGTATTCTCCATGACATCGGCATCATATCCCATTGTATAATTATATATACACACATCATTATATATCCCTATTAGAACTACGATATACCCATGGTATTGTGGTATCCCTAGGAGATATATCCTTTTGGGGGGGGGTCACCACCCCCTTTATCCCATCAGTCGCCTCGCCACAACGTGCGAGGCTCGGAATGGCCCTGTGCATGGCTGGCGCCATGGGTGCGGCGCGATCTGCGCGGAAGGACCCAGCGGTTCCTGAACAGTAGGGGAAGTGATGATCCAATTTTGACTGGTTGATAGATGATAGATGATGGGTATAAATATACGGTTATAAACAAATGATAGCACATATATATATATATACATACACATGTATACATATGTATATATATATATACATATGTATACTGTATATATATATACACATGTTTGTATGTATGTATACACACATCATCTCAAATATTGCTGGAAGGATTTTAAAGAGCATCCAAGATCCTGGAGCAGTTGGAAGGGGCCATTGATGGCCGTGATGGCGACAGCAACGCTGCGGAGTGGTGTTTTTCCTTGGCCAACATCAACATGGATTGATTCGAGGAAACCAAATCATAGAAAACCATGGTTTTTTCATGTTTTTTTCCCCAAATTTTGTTGTTGTTTGTGACATTTCCCTTACAAAAAAATGGTACATCAATCCTGTTGTCCACACCGAGCCGCTGCGCGGCCAGTCCTCGCGACGTGTGCAACAACCCGCAGATGCTGAGACGCCACGACTCACGCTGGGAGCTGAGTGAAGATCAAACTCAGCTCCCTCTTGGGCAATCCCATCCCCTGGATAGAGATGGATAGAGTACATTTAATACCTGGAATAATCCCTATGATTAACATTATTAATGGGATAATCCCTATGATCATTTAAGTACCAAGCCAGGCTTTCACAGGAGGGTAGTGAATATAACATGGCTGACAAAGATGAATTTCTCATGGAACAACTTGGGCACAGCACAACTATGCACAACTTCTCCGGCCGTCCAGGACCAGGAAGAAGTCTGACCCACAGAACATTACGATGCTCGACATGGGCACGGCCTACACCGCCACTTGGATCTGAGTCTTGTTCGTGAAGTCGGTGGTTGCAGTTCTATTTCTATGGATGATGATAGATGTGTGTGCATTTTATCTAAGCATGGATCATCATCCATAGAAATATATACTATAAGATCTATGTAAAATATGCATTTTAGATATATACAATATATCATTCCATTATATCTAAGCATGGAACATCATGGATCATGAAGCAGCAATATATACTATAAGATCTTTGTAGGGGCCGCTGTGCATATGGCGAAGGATTTTGGTGGCTTGCGGGAAACGTCAAGCAATGGGGTAATCAAAATGGCTTATGGAAAGCCAACCCTGGTATACTTACACATATACATTTAAGTTTTTATAATAAATGGTATTAAGAATAATACATCATATATACACATCATATATATATATTCATGTATATATATATATTCATGTGTATATATATATATTCATGTATATATATATATATGCATATATATATATTTACACATTATATCATTGCTCTATGACAAACAGTAAATGTGCATCACATCACAGAGAATCCTCTCGTCATGTGCGTCCGCAGTGTGAGGTCAAGGAGGATCTCAATAAGCCCACCATCACGACCGCATCCGGTCACGAGGATCCACTCATATCCTGGAAAAATGGCGGGAAAACCATGGGAAAACGGAAAACTGGAAACTGGAAACTCATCCTAAGAGTCTAACTTCATCATATCTCCCAGTCTGTTGGAGATGTGGTTCAAACATCAATTTGCAGGAACCAGGAACCATTTTGTTGATGTTAAAGGCATGGTTTCCTGTAGCCCTTTTCGCATTTCCCGTTGCCATCGGCGTGAGGAGAAAATCACGGTGCGCAAAAGAGAAAACGTCAAAGATCCCAAGGAACTAATCAGCGAGGCGCCGTCCGGACGCCAACTTCCCCAATGATAAGAGGATCAGTCCGTATATCAATCATCAAGTAAAACCCATAGGATCCATGTATGATACATATGCTAACATTGAAGGTATATTGATGGTAAATGTTACCATATATGGCAGCACCATGGATCCTATGGGAAATAAGTAAACCAGCATTTCTGGGTAACCGGTGGATCCCACTTTTGTTGCCTGCTTGGAGGATCCCACTGCTTGGTGGTGATTTTTCCATAGTTATAATGAATCATTGTTTATAACCATTATAACCATTAAGTTTAGATTCATTGGAAATCTTATAACCATTATAACCATAGAATAACCATTGATTGGATAAACCACTTATTTTTTTTTCGGAAAAACGGGCGGATCCTAAGATTTCCCACATCCAGTGGGATGATGATCCTTGACCGACCAAAAAAAAGTGAAGGTGGCGGCTGAGGCGCCCGACATGGACGAGGTCGCGGGATGACGAGCCGTGGGTTTTTGGCCATGGGTGAAAAAAGCATCGGAAGCCATGGAGATTTTTGGCGGTTTAAAAAATTCAATGGTGATTTTTCCATGGAGTTTTTCTGGCTAAGTTGGTGAATACTTCGAATTTGGTGAAGCCATGGTTTTTATGGTTTATGGTAGAGATATGGAACTCGTATTTTCTAGTGGAGTTTCTTGTTTTTTTTTTTTCTTTTTTTCGGATCCCAAAGGTCACCGGTGGATTGTTTCAATTCTCAACTGGTGACCGTTGGATGATTTGGGGGTATTTCCAGGAAAGGTTCACCGGGTTTCACTCCCGGTTTCTACCATGAGGGATTGTATACCAGCCATTTATG